CTTTAACCGTGAGTTCATTTATAGCGGTCATGGTTTCATGACATGTTTGAGGTATTTCAGATTGGGAGGGGGTTGAACCATTTCAGACTGTAAGGACTGGTATACTATTGGAGGACTCAAGACTTCGGGGGAAGATAGGGGAAGACGTTCATTGGCATTGAGGGGTTTCAGAGCGTAAAAAGTCATTCTTGTTGATTGTAATACAATATATGAAATAATGCTTACCAAAACTGTTCCTACGAATGTCACAAATATGAAGGGCTATAGCACATTAATTACAACAAATATTCACTGCAAATCACAATGCCTTTGAGGACTGTTTCTTTTGAGATAGTGGCTGGCACAAACACACAGGGATTACCGGAATGAAACAAATATCTTGGTTAAGTGGAACTTGATGTTGTTAACACAGTGGTCGTCGATGAAAATGTCAGTCTTCGAAATCACCTCTTGATGGTTGAGGGAGGGGTGTGACGAAACAGGTTGTATCCTGGAAAAGTTGCTGTTCCCCGGGACGGCTGTAGGGGTTGGCCTATTAGGGTGGTAACAATGTCTCCGAGTAAGAACAATGATGACAATACTGATGAGCACAGAATAGCTTGAGGATAGACGAACCAGAATGCTGGTTGTTGGTTGTTGTCGTGATTGTTGTGGACCCCAGACGAAATAACGATTCACTTTGTGTTGACTAACTTATTTATCTTGTTGCATTGGGTTTGAGGTACTGAGGATCGAAGCTCCACCAATATATCCGCCGTAGAAAATGTATGTTGTTCTAGGGGATACTTCTTCAATATACGACACACAAGTCCGTCTGTGGGTCCACAACGTTTATTCGTGATCTTAATATGTCTATATAACTACATAGTAGTATGGCCAAGCATGATCTCTAAGGCGTAAGAGGGCCAACCTGCCTAGCCGCTGTCCGAGGGTCAAGTCCCACTCACAGAAAGCGTACTATCTTTAAGCCTCACTGTCAGACTGCAATGTATCGTGTTACGTTACATACATGGTCAGCCTGCAGTATCCCGCACCTCATCCACAGCTTCAGTGGCCAACCGGCCATTCTCTGGCATTAATTACAACCCGCTGACCCGCACATGACATACCCCAGCTGCTGTTATAATTTGTATTGGCAGCACTTTGTTTATTTAAATAGATATAATCAACTTACTTAATTAAGGGAATATATAAAACGTATATACACCCCCTGTTAAAATATATAGACTCCCTGTTAAAACCTATATACCCTGCCAAACTGCCTATGATAAATGGTAAAATTCATTATCACAGTTTAAGTGATATTCACAAATGTATGTAAATCTACTTCGTGATGAATGAAGCATGGCAATAAATGTATGCATCTGATTCTTCATTTGTTCTGTATTCTTTGATGAGAATGAGTTTCGTTAATGAAGATCACTCTCACAGTGGATAGGACTTTAACTGGAGAATAACTGGAGAAAAAAAAATATATAAGTATAGGCGGTCTGTGCACATGTGGTGAAACTGATACCTCATTGATTTGATAATCGGGACTTGGAAATCATAGTCTGTCATTAAATTGATTTTAAAATATACGGTTTTGACTGTAGTACGTCCTGACATCATACTATTATGTTGTAAACAACTTATCTTATCTTTGTAAGTAAAACAATTATTGATAACTTCCTGAATTCCAATCGTTCAATGAACAGAATTATTCACAGCTCTGGCGTGAGACAACAATAAATTAGATGTTACCAAAGATTGTCCATTTTATGATCTTAGGCACATGTCGGCGCACTTACATGTGAGCCGTCTAGACGACTGTCTGTTTTGTAATTAAATGGCAGCTGCCATCCACCCGAATACTTAATCTAGAGACCTATTAGTGTCTTGTCGAGTCAAATGCGGGTCTCTCTCTCACCTTAGGGAGAATGCGACTGTAAAAGCCCCTCGCTAGACAGACAAGTACTGAATGTTTGAGATAAATTTAATATTTATTATATATAGTTTAAACTCAATAAATAATTCATAGTCTTTTTATTGTTCAAATTACTAATAAAACATATTTTAACTTGTTCCTTCTAACCATATTTCCAAATAATTACAAACCATTCCAAACCATTCCAAACCATTCCAAACATTCCTGTGTTGGAAATATGTTTGGAAATGTTGCCAATCCGATTTTGGATTTTCTGGAAAGATCGATCCTTCCAAGCTTTGGAAAGTTTGGAATGAGCGATCTTTCCATAGCAACCCAACTTTCATTCCAAATTGGAATTGACGCTCCTTGGTCCCGTGTAATCACTTACATTGCGACTGCGTTGATTCAGATGATCAGGTGCATTGTCTGCGTAACTACAGTATATGTTAGGGGCCTAATGAGTTTGAAACAGCGTGAGATATAACGAGCACAAAGAGTACTTCAACGCCACTTCGTTTGAGCCGAACTTGAATTCCATTGAGAAGGTGTCGAATTATCAATATGTCGAGAAAAAGTGAGTGAGTAAGTTTGGGGAAACATATTAAACAGTACTTTAGTATAAACAGTTATTTCAATGCGTGTCAGCTTGATGTGGAAGGATGTCCAAAGTGGCGCAGGTGTTCGTGAGTGAGTGAGTTTCGGGAAACGTTTCAAAGAGTATTTCAGAAACAGCTGTATAACAGCGTGTCAACCTAATGTGGAGGAATGCCACAAGTGAAGCAGGCCTAAGATCTGGACCACTGTGGTGACACACACCCTTGGGCATGCCACAAACCAATGACTGTGGGATCGAATCCCGGTTCGGCCCCGTTATGTTTCTAGGTTTGTCAGCACCATACCCGTGCTCGTGGGTTTCACCGAAGTGGTAAAAGTCTGAGACCTGCATCACTTCAGGCTTTCCTCCAACAGTAAGCTGACACGCCGCGATATAACTGGAATACGTTAAACCCAACTCACCCACACACTCGTATCGTAAGAGGCCACTGAATGGAGTGGGTGGTAAGGCTCTGGACTTGGTTGACAGCGTGTCATCGTACCCCAACGGCGCGGATCGTTGCCGTTAGTGTGGCGTTGAACAACAAACTATTTTTATAAGCCACACGTTTGGCGTTTTTCCTCCTCAACAAAACCCTTTTGACGCTTATGTAATGTATGTCCTCGCTGTTTGTGCGCTTGTGTTAATAAACCTTTTTGTTACGTCCAAACACAACTCTGTCGAACAATTCAAAGTATGGGCAGTTTATTGTTAATGTCACTTCTAAGGGCTTTATGACGTTTTCAGTGTTCCGACACAGTTCACTGCACATTATATAAGGCTATAAAAGGGTATGTAGTGCTCTCTAGACCGAAGGTTAATAGGTTGTAGAAAATGAATAAAAGTTATACTGAAAGTTCAATATTACATTCCCAGCGGTAGTGAACATAATATAATATCGACGCAAACACAACCCCGAAGGGCGCCATGTTTATTACTTATAATACAGTTTATATTCACACGAATATTATTTAAATGTGCTTAACATGACACTGTTATAGAAAAACAAAAGTTACATATTTTGTTCAGGATATTCGATATAGCTTAAAAACAGTTAACATGATTTCCATTCACCATAGCTGATCAATTATCAGCGCCAATTATCTGTTGGCTTCCCTTGTTTAGTTTCCACTTTTTGTTTTCTTATAACTTTTGTTGTTCTTACAGGTACATTTATATAGTCTCTGCCTCATAGTATTCATTCACCCGATGAAGGAATAAGCATATACTCCAAAACTTTGTGTTCTCATTATGAAGAAGTTGACATCATTAAATTCTCTTCCTTATGTGTATCACTTCTAAATGCCATTCAAAGACTTAGTTCAAATAATGTCTCAATCGCACCTTTAAAACATATATGTTAAACATAAGATATAAATATTGGAGCCTTATATAACTGAGTGGTAACCCAAGAACAACAGAGGGCTTGTATGAGTCCCATCTAATCGTCCCTTTCTTACGACTATGACAAAGAAAAACGTCAACGTAAATATATAACGTCTTCGTAAATATAAAACGTAAACGTGAATATAAAACGTCTCCATAAATATAAAACGTAAACGTAAATATAACGTCTCCGTAAATATAAAACGTCAACGTAAATATAAAACGTCTTCGTAAATATAAAACATCTCCATAAATATTAAACATCAACGTATATATAAAACGTCTCCGTAACTATGAAAACGTCTTCGTAAATATAAAACGTCAACGTAAATATAAAACGTCAACGTAAATATAAAACGTCTTCGTAAATATAAAACATCTCCGTAAATATTAAACGTCAACGTGAATATAAAACGTCTCCGTAAATATAAAACGTCAACGTGAATATAAAACGTCTCCGTAAAGATAAATGTCAATGTAAATATAAAACGTCTTCATAAATATAAAACATCTCTGTGAATATAAAACGTCAACGTAAATATAAAACGTCTCTGTAACTACAAAACGTCTTCGTCAATATAAAACGTCAACGTAAATATAAAACGTCAACGTAAATATAAAACGTCAATGAAATATAAAACGTCTTCGTAAATATAAAACATATCCGTGAATATAAAACGTCAACGTATATATAAACGTCTCCGTAACTACAAAACGTCTTCGTAAATATAAAACGTCAACGTGGATATAAAACGTCTCCGTAAATATAAAACGTCAACGTGAATATAAAACGTCTCCGTAAATATAAAACGTCAAAGTAAATATAACGTCTCCGTAAATATAAAACGTCAATGTAAATATGAAACGTCTCCGTAAATATAAAACATCTCCGTAAATATTAAACGTCAACGTATATATAAAACGTCTCAGTAAATATCAAACATCTTCGTAATACAAAACGTCAACGTAAATATAAAACGTCAACGTAAATATAAAACGTTTCGTAAATATAAAACATCTCAGTAAATATTAAACGTAAACGTGAATATAAAGCGTCTCCGTAAATATAAAACGTAAACTTAAGATTGTTTGATTGATTGATTGAATCAGGTCGGCTACATCAACGTCGGAGACAGCGGGGACGGACAGGAGGTCTACGTGAAGGTGTATGCTCTGGCTCTGAAGACCAAACACACAGAAGGTAGCAACTACTACTACTCCTCCTCCTCCTCCTCCTCCTACTACTACTACTACTACTACTACTACTACTACTACTACTACTGATACAATAACGTCTCCGTAACTACAAAACGTCTTCGTAAATATAAAATGTCAACGTAAATATAAAACGTCAATGTGACTACTACTACTACTACTACTACTACTACTACTACTACTACTACTGATACAATAAAAAATACTACACACAGCAACATTCCAACAATATAACGGCGGTCTGTAAGTAATCGAGTCTGGACCAGACAATCCAGAGATTGATATCATGATATCGATGCACACAATTGGGATACGATGACATGCATCAACCAAGTTAGCGAGCCTGACCACCCGATCCCGCAAGCATAGGATGACCTATTCTACCCCGGATCTTCACGGGTTACGAAGTCCGAGTTTGCTCTATGTAATTTAACATGAACCAGGAAGACTTGTGTGTCTTTATCATTAGCTATTGATAGTGAAGGGAATGTTACTCAAGCCCCAGCACGCTGCTACAGTCTGGGGATATACGGATGACAGCACACGGCATGCCTCAGTTAGGCGTTGCCGAATATACCTGGCACGTAACATTTGTGAATTGATACATTGCACAAAACAGGCTGTATTGAACATTAGTGTACCCTATGAACCCTCGCGTGTTGTGTAGAGTTAAGCACACACTACTATACTCTACCCTATCCCCGAATCTCCATATGTCAACCAACCCACCACCAACAAACACCCCAATATCCCCCCATTCCCACCATGTGCTCATGTGAAGCGTGAAGACATCTGTAAACGTAAAATGCGTGTCGTTTCAAGTGACACTAAACCCGATGAATAGTTAGTTGTAAAACAAGAAATTGTTCCCGTAATAGATTGATTTTATCTCGATAAAATGGTGGAGAGGTCATAGATATGATGGAGACGTCACTGAACGGTTCCTCTTTCGTCACAACTCGCTCTTACCCGCCACCTGCAACAATACTCGTCATCTAGATATTGTCGAACAGTGTTGAGTACGAAACCACAAACCAGTAGGAATGCGCGTATGATTGATTATAAAAGCTTTTCTCCAAAACCCCTTCGTTTGTATTATTTCTTTATAAGTAGAGTCTGAAACAGACGAAAATGACACGAAACTGAATATCTCATGGTTGTAAATGTCAACCGTGTATTATTAAGAACATATCCATGCAAACTAACAAAGCAAAATGGCCATGAGAATGACTCGAGTCGCTATTCGGCTTGACCCGGAATGACACGAATGGTCACGGATGCGATTTTCAAATTTTGCATGACAATTCGTCACTCTTCCTCCAAGTCCTATGATGAGCAGATTGTTTATGGAGTTATTTGGGAGGTATCTCTGTTTAATCTCTGACAACAAAATATGGACCTTTTCCAATCTGATACCAGTAATGAGCGGCTTTAGAGAAAATATCTGACTAATTCTGTGAAGTATTGGCTATTTGGTGTGTAGAGCCGGTTTTTCTTTATAAACATGAACGTTTTTTTCTAGTGTTAAGTTAACACTGACATTTTTTTTAAATACATACATATTAAAGTTGCTTTACAGCTGCTAAGTCCAATGCTTGCTGCTAACTCGGCGGTAACATTAAGTTTGAATTGGCTACATAGTACACGCCTGCTTGAAATCCTAAATTTAAAAAGAAAATCGTATCTCGTATTGAATGTCACAATGAACTTTTTTTTCTACTCCTAGTTTTCGTGAAGCATTGGAAATCACGTTCCAACTGATACGAGGAATTTTATAAATAACAACCTTAGTGCGTGGTGAATCTTGCATAATCTTCAAAGTCAGTCGACTGATAAAGTATTCTTTGATCAAAGCGTCGCAACTACCGTAATGTCACGCCTGGTCAGTTCATTTTTAACAAACTAGCTGTCACTCAAACAGGGGAAAACGTATTATCGCAAATTCAACTTATAATAAGACCAAAACACAGAATTTTCCGAACGATTCAATTTGTTGCTTTGAAAGGGGGAGCCGAACGATTTAATTTACTGCTGTGTGAGGGGAAGCCGAACGATTCCATTTGCTGCTGTGTGAGGGGAGGGGGGATGTGAAACATTCAGTTTGTTGCTGTGTAAGGGGGAGCCAAAAGGATTCACTTGTTGCTGTGTAAGGGGAGGCGGAACGATTCAATTTGTTGCTGTGTAAGGGGAGGCCGAACGATTCAATTTGTTACCGTGTGAGGGGAGGGGGATGTGAAAGATTCAGTTTGTTGCTGTGTTACGTGTGTGTGTGTGTGGGGGGGGGGGGGGGGGGGGGCAAAAGGATTCACTTGTTGCTGTTAAAGGGGAGGCCGAACGATTCAATTGGATGCTGCGTAAGGGGAAGCCGAACGATTCAATTTGTTGCTGTGTGAGGGGAAGCTGAACGATTCAATTTGCTGCTGTGTGAGGAAGGGGTGGGGGAGGGGGATGTCATTGTTGCTGTGTAAGGGGAGGGAGGGCAAAATCATTCACATGTTGCTGGGAAAGGGGAGGCCACACGATTCAATTTGATGCTGTGTGAGGGGAGGGCGAACCATTCAATTTATTGCTCTGAAAGGGGAGGCCGAACGATTCAATATGTTGCTGTGTAAGGGGAGGCCGAACCATTCAACTTGTTCCTGTGAAAGGGAAAGCCGAACGATTTAATTTGTTGCTGTGAAAGGTGAGGCCGAACGATTCTATTTGTTGCTGTGTAAGGGAAGGCCGAACGATTCAATTTGTTGCTGTGAAAGGTGAGGTCGAACGATTCTATTTGTTGCTGTGTAAGGGGAGGCCGAACGATTCAATTTGTTTCTGTGTAAGGGGAGGCCGAACCATTCAATTTGTTGCTGTGAAAGGGGAGGCCGAACGATTCAATTTGTTGCTGTGAAAGGGGAGGCCGAACGATTCAATTTGTTGCTGTGAAAGGGCTAGCCGAATGATTGAATTTGTTGCTGTGAAAGGGGAAGCCGAACGATTCAATTTATTAGTGTGTAAGGGGAGGCCGATTGATTCAATTTGTTGCTGTGAAAGGGGAGGGCAAAAGATTCAGTTGTGTCTGTGAAAGGGGAAGCCGAACGATTGTTTTGTTGCTGTGAAAGGGGAAGCCGAACGATTGAATTTATTACTGTGTAAGAGGAGGCCGATTGATTCAATTTGTTACTGTGAAAGGGGAGGCCGAACGATTCAATTTGTTGCTGTGTAAGGGAAAGCCGAACGATTCAATTTGCTGCTGTGTAAGGGAAAGCCGAACGATTCAATTTGCTGCTGTGTAAGGGAAAGCTGAACGAATTAATTTGTTGCTGTGTGAGGGGAGGCCGAACGATTCAATTTGTTTCTGTGTAAGGGGAGGCCGTGTAAGGGGGGGGGGGGGGGGGGGGAGTGTTAGCTCTATTTGCTGTTGATACTGCCCTTGTTGTCAAGCTAGACATAACATGTTTGTTAACATTTGATAACCTACTTCATGCTCACTTTATATTCTTCTTTAATTTCAGACACCATCGGCCACCGTTTGGACTTCTCGAAATGGTAATAGTTAGTAGAGAGAGCGCGAATACGTGTAAATATCTCTTTGCTCAAAGTATGTTATTGGGATAGGACGGAAATGTTAAGTGTAGCCAATGTCATGACCTCGTATCACGGTATGACAATGAGTGAGTGAGTGAGTGATGGAGTACAAGAGAGTGATGAAGAGAGAAATGGATTGAGTGATGGAGTGACAGAGTAAGTGAGAGTGAGTGATGAAGTGAGTGAGTGAGAGATGGAGTGATGGAGTGAGTGAGTGATGAAGTGAGAGATGGAGTGAGTGAGTGAGGGATGGAGTGAGTGAGTGAGGGATGGAGTGAGTGAGTGAGGGATGGAGTGAGTTTATACTGCATCCTAGGTTTGCAGTTATTAGGGTAGGTAAGCGTTGCTACACGGACTGGGGCCAAATCCAGTCTGGGGAAAGACGTTGTAACTACTACCGTTTGTGAAGGTGAGACAACGTCTCAAATAAGACAGGGTAAATGTAATCAATCGCAAAATATATCTTACACTGCCCGTTATCTCAAGTCTTCAAGATGTGTCAGGCTTGACCATGATATATATATCAGATCTTCATATCTACATTCAAACTGTATCTCGCAGGTTCTCGTTTGTGATCACGCCCCATGGCGAGATTCTCCACGTCTACCACCCTCCCGACGACGACGATGAAGCTGTTGCCATGAAGAAGGGAGCCGCCGCCATGTTCGCGTCTCGTCTACATCAGGCCACTGAGGTAATGACTGACTGTTATGTCAAAGTTAATCAGGGGTCTTTGTCTCCCGGAGTTAAACTGGGCACCGATGGGGATTCCGGGTTAGACATGATCCCAGTTCCCCATGCTTAAAGTAGGGGCGGACTAATGAGGGTCGAATGGTGACATGGCTGATTGCGTGGCGCTGTGCCTCGATGACGTGGACCGTTCTTCATGCAGTCAACCACTGGTTTGTTTGATCCAGTATCGATGATTCACAGACCACGTGGTATTGTTGGAATATTGTTGGAAGACTTTCAAATGTCCCGATCACATCGGTGAGTGAGTGATGGTTTACGCCGCTTTTAGCTGTATACCAGCAATATCACTAGGAGGGACACCAGACATCATCATTATACCTGTTAATTAAACTCGGGTTTTTAGCGTGACGAGAGAACGCTTTAACATTAAGGCCACCCCATCCCCGTGAAAACATGTGTCATAATGCAGTGAGTGGTCCATTTGCACACAACGATGAAAGCATCAACCCTGTCGTAACTATAATTTTACTTTAAACAAGAAGTATCGATGAGTGTACAGTGAAACCTTCTTAACTTGTCCTCGGGACCATACGTGGGAAATGCATCGAGTTACTAGTAGTTCGAGACAAGCGGAAATCCGTTACTTCACCACAGTGATTAATTAGAGATTCTTTCTCAGTCGATTCAGATCTACCTCGTAACATCGACGTAAACGCTATATCGAGTGGACGGATGTCAACACCCATTCTTTTCTGCTCCTCACCACATAGTATTAGACTCCCTGCGTGGGCATGAGTGGCCCGTCGTCAAAAACACGGCCATTCTGAAGGCAGAATTACTTCCCTTGGGCGTCCCAGAACCCTATGATAATAGGTTCGAATCCCACTTTTATCCTCATTACGATGCTTTGTTTGTCAGCAAATTCCAAAGTCGTTATCATCTACATGTATAACCTGCATAATTTCCAGCTTTCCTTTTGACCCACGGGAAATGTCAAGTTTCAAAGGAAAGTTTTGAAATGTCGGTATGAAAATTATGAGATATGTTCAAGTGGCTAAATTTCTAGCGTTTTTGTTTCTTACACTTTTGGACTGCTGACATGAACAAATATTCTACTCAAGAGAAGTTAATGAACACTCGACTCCTTCATATGATTATAGTTTATCTGCAATATCATATTTAAAGGAAAAATTAGGGTGGTCCTTAGCTTCTTATGAGTAGTATAAATCATTATGACTAGAATGAGCAAAAGGGTAAGTGTTCACCCAAATGAATATTCTTACCTATGTCTGTTGTCAATTGTTTTTCAATCTACATCTAGGAAAAGCATCTCGGGTGAAAGACTTGCTCATCCTCAGATTGTAGTTCAACGTCTAACCCTTCCCTTAACACCCTGGATGCCAAATCTTCACAATCGGCATCAGATACGATGGCACTCATTAGCCAAGTTAGAGAGCCTGACCTCCCGATTCTGTTAGTCTCCTCATACTCCACGAATTGGTTGCTGAAGACCAATTCTAAACCGGATCTTCACGGGACTGACAGCCAATTGTGTGTTGGAGAACTAATCCAACAACGCTCGTCACGAAATAAACACAAATGAAAATTTCAAGTCTCTAACACCCTTACAAATTCTGCCTCCCTGTCCCGACGGGAAATTTGTCGTCCGGGAATTTTAACATTTCATAAGTTCTGCTTCCTCGCTTCCACCGCTGCCTTTTGTACACAGCTAACAAAGGTAACCAATGAACAGTCGAGGCCTTTGATTACGTTTTCATGCGATCTGGGCATTCCCTCGTTGTGGTTCAGCGTCCACGAAACGGCACGTCGCAGCAGTTATATCGCGGCGTGTCAGCTTAATGTGGGTGGAAAGCCCGAAGTGATGCAGGTCTCAGACGTTTACCACTTCGGTGAAACCCATGAGCACGGGTGTGGTGCTGACAAACCTAGAAATATAATGGGTGATTCGAACCTACAATCATAGGTTTCTGGCGTGCCCAAAGAAACGGAACTCTGCACAGCGAATCACGGCGCCTTAGACGACTGGGCCACCCGTGCCCCCCACTCGAGCATGGACCAGGCAAACTAGTCATTGATAATATGAGAAACGAAAAACGGCGTCGGGTGACTATAACGGGCAGTCAACTTTCTTGACCACCCGATCAACTTACGACCAGCATAGACAAGAAAGACCTATTGTAACCAGGAATCTCTAGCTGAGTCAGTACAGTGATGATTCTGTTCGAAATATGGACATCATTGAAAGGGGACACAGCATTCACGTGCCTATTGATAGCTGAAGACGTTTAACTGACTGAGCAATTATCTCATGCATGTATGTCAATGTTTTCTAGTTATGTCATTGATCCAATCGGCCCATGCTACAACATTACAGTATTTGCAGTCAATTGTCTGCCTGTTCGTACACTGCTTGCAGAAAAGTTCCCATTGACAAACGTCTTATGATCTCAAGATTATTAACAGATGCTAGTATGCATATATAACTTTGAATGGGATAGATACAGTATTTATCGGAATACAGATTTAATGACCACAGGCAGTACTTATCAATTGAAAAAATGGAGCATCCATTTGATTTGTATGGGGAGAGTGGTGGGGTTTTGTTTGGGGAACAACAATTTTCTCCGAGCTATTTCCAACAAACTATTTATTTACTAAGCACCCTCAAAGAAACTATTCATTTTTTTCACCAATGCCAACAATGTTTTCATTTGGGGAATATTTCTGAAAAAAATATGTCACGGTGAGACACGCCATTCCTGTCGGAACATATATTTCGCTCTAGCCTTATTACCTACAAAACGTCAGTGCTATAAAGTGATATCAGAGAACAGACAGATCATGTGGACATGATAAACAATAAGCCTGTCTACAAAAAGTCAGGGGATCAAAGTGGTCCTAGGTGGAGTGTTGCGTCCCTTATCCGTTTCACGATCCTCTGAACGTGCGTTTGAATCCACGATTCATCGTTACCCGACGGTTTGTTGCTTATGTTATCGTCCACTGGTTTAGGGTGACCCTATTGCAGCAATCCTGATTGAACTGATTGGGATGCAAAGCAACATTCGTTCTCTCAGCATCCATAGCATCTGGGTACAATGTATTAATCACACGAACATTAAGTTTCTTGGTTGTCTTTTCAGGGCCATGTCCATGCAACTGACGACGGCTGGGGCTATCACGTGAGAGAGACTGGAAATGAGGGTAAGGATCTGGGAAACGGTTTTGGGAAGGTCATGTATTGGGTGTCAGAGTTGGTGTTGGTGGTCGTGGAGAGGTTGTTGGTCGTGGAGTGGTTGTGGTCGTGGAGGGGTTGTGGTCGTGGAAGGTTGAGGCCAGGGGGTTGTGGCATTGTTGGCCAAGTCACGATTAGCAGTAAAAATCTAAATGAAGCCAGTATCAGAGCATCACACATGGAAAGGGAAGCACGCATATCATATAACGAAATGGCAGGTGAATTGCTTAAAAGCAAAATGATCTGAAAACATTTTTATTTCATCTTGATCGTGGTTATGTGTTTTATGGAAGTTCTATTGCATGCAAACATGGACAGTTACACAGTCTCATTTTCCGAGAAACTGTATAGCTGTTTGGCTGATATTTGTCCTCTTCTTTAATAGCTGACAATTTCCTGATTTTAGAACTCATTAACGCTATTTGAGTTTGTGTATCTGTAACATTCATACTCCAGGTCCCCACAACGCCACCTACACTGTGCGGCCGACTCTCACAGGTCACGTGTTCACCAAGACACGACACCCTGGCCACCACCCCGTCAAGCATGCGACGTCAGAGTATACCAAGGTAGATGACGTAGTTTCTGCCGCTGACGATGAAACATATTACGAAAATAATGTTTGAAAGTGATATTGATTTTAAAAATCTTCTGCAAATTCAGTATACTTTCAAATGACAGTTCATAATGGACAGTGACTATATTGCTATTATGCAAAATGCATAAGAAAGGTCAATAAGTCCTTCCAAACCGGAGGAATCAGATTCAGATTCAGAGTGATTCAGATTCAGTTGCTCATCTGTGTCCTTTTCATCACATTGTTTTGGGCAGATTAAAGCCTGGATGCAAACAGGACGAGCGTATAACAAAACACACCTTTGACTTCATCCCATTTTCCGAACGCACAATTATTTTTCAGGAACGTGCACGTGCTCCACCCACAGCTAATTTAGTAGTGATGTGATTCAAATTGGAGAATTTCCACGTAACTCGGACATCCCCATTCTACATAATTTGTTGTTGTTATTTCATTTTATTTCTGTTGACAAATCATAATTAATTAGTCACAGTTATCACATGAATATGCAGGCACTGAGAGTGACGAGTTCATCACACATGGAATACGATCCAAGAACTCAAAACAACTGAATCAAATAATAAGTACCTGTTTGTGTTTAATCTGACTAAACAACATGGCGTGATATGGCAGAATAAGCTTAAATCAGGAATGTCTTCCAAGAAACTGAACCTGGGTGAAAGACTCACATTGAATCAATATTTATATATTAAATTGCTATAATGTTGATTTATGACTATGTTTTCAGACGTTGTATTACGACTCTGCCCTTGGGACTATGCACACCATTCAGGTGGAGGAAAAGTTACAGGTCATGCATAAGACTGCAGAAGGGTGAGGATATTAAATATTTCCCTTGAGAACATCTTGATTTTGATGTTATCATATTTATATACCCCACCCTTGCATGAGGAGGTGGGGCAGAGTGACAGTTTGCTATGCAGTGCTGCGTCTCTTAGTCATGCCACGTGATCGTGGGTTCGAATCCTGGTTCGCCAAGACTGTGTATCTAGGTTTGTCAGCACCATAACTGTGCTCGTGGGCTGCACTATAGTGGTAAACGTGCAGTATTTGCATAAATTCCAGCTTTATCATCATCACCATCTTCCTCTTCCTCCTCCTCCTCTTCCCCCTCTTCCTCTTCCCCTTCTTTTTCCTCTTCCACCTACTTATCATTATCATCCTCTTCCTCCTCTTCCTCCTAGTCATAATCCTCTTCCTCTTCTTCTCCTTCCTCTTCCTCCTCATCCTCATCATCATTCTCTTCCTCCTCCTCCTCCTCCGCCTCATTGCCATCATCATCATCATCCTCTTCCTCTACATCGATTTTAATCACATGACCATCTTTATACTCAGTCTTAATAAATTAGTAAATGGGTTGAGTATAACGCAGCTTTGAAGGTATTTCAGTTATATATCCTATGATTTGAGATTAATGTGAGATAGTGACACTTTGGTAAACCCCACAATCGCGGGCCTCTCTCGGCCTCAATGAATATAGATATTATATAAGGAGCACCACACTCAAAATGATTCTAATAGTAAGCCAATCAGTAGACCTATTTAGTACCGTTGATAACTGTGTACATTCCTCAGTATTAACCAATACGACTATGCTTATTTCTGATTTTTAACTAGATACAACCCGTATGAAAACAGTCGCCCTGTAAAAGCGGTCAACAACTTCACGGAAATGGGTAAGCATTTTCAAGTAACGACAGACCCCTTACGGCTGTCAACGGTAGTAAAATATTTTAAAGACGCTTCTACTAATGTCCATACCATCTGTTTGGATGACTGCATACTCAGCTTAATGCTGTGTACTTCAACAGTTATTGTGTGAGTTTGACAGGGCAGATGTATATTTTCGCGACAGTTTTTTATAGACTAACACAGTGCCCAATTTATCCCAAATACAATCAACTAGAAGGAACTATATATACAATTAAATGAAAGCATTCAGTAAATTCATACGCGGATCCAGACACTTATGCTGACGAATGAAAAAGATTTTACTGAATCAAGAAATTAACAATGAATTGACTAATTTGTGGCAAACAAACCTGAACAATTTTCCATTCTGTTCTTTAAGCTCCTATGGGGCACTTGAACTGTTTCATCACGATTCGAGAAAATTAACGTTTCCGTTTTATGAAGAAGAGTGTTTTGAAACTGTAACACATAAAAGTCTAACTGAGTACTGTCTCCAGACTACCCCGAGATGTCAGCTCAAGGCAGAGGAAAGTTGGTGTTCCTCAGCAGACACAAGGCCGTCAGTATTCCCAGCAGACCAAAGACAGACATCACGAGGGCGTCCATTCATATCAAAGAGGTAACAAGTTTAGCTTTAACAAAATGTTGTATACTTTATTAATTTGAATTATCCAGTGCAATTCCGTTAATGAAGCGACAAAACCCTTTCCATATCCGATAGAAATCTCTGCATAAAGAACAGTCGATAGTACGAATCATGACAGGCCGAAGTATGTTGAGATATTCTACAGATACAAGTGAGAAATGGGCCTGATCAACTGTTTACAAAACTAGCGATTTATATCCTCTGCTATTTGTGCCCTACTCATATCTACATTTATAGTCAATCTGATACATCAAACATTTTTTTTCAGGTGTTAAACTGTTAGGGTGAACATAAACATGTCTTTTCGCACACAACACAAACATTCCTGAAAAAAACAACGTATGATTAAATCAAAAGTCTTCAAGTCAGAGATGATTAACCAATTCCCTTCATCATGTGATCTTGTTTCTAAAGTGTTAGAGAAAGGAATGAGGCAATATATATGTAAAGAATCAATACTTTTGAGACATTATATGCAGAGAAACTCTGTTGTGATAAACTTTAAGACAATTAGTTATCTTGGGTTATAAAAAAATATGACCAAAAAACGTTAGGGATCATGAATAATTGTGGGGATATTTTTTGCAGTGAAGAATGCATAAAATATAACCCCAAGCCCGTCACACTCCTTTATTATTGTGTTCAGGATATATCATGCTAACGCTTTTGTCAATCGGTCAACAGACCGGATAGACAAGGAACCAATCAAAAACGAGGAAACAAAATATACGTATGTATTTTATAGGAAAAAGGTATTGGACGATGAATTAAAAATGTACCTTCTCGTACTGCAACGCAGCATCCTGAACGTTTGTACGTTGGTATTCCAGGTGAAGCGCCAGAAGCCAGCAATCGATGTGAACGAATACCTGCAATATGTGAGGGGGAACCTCACTTGCATGCGAAACGAGCCAGAAAAAGGTACAGTTACGTGTATATATGTCCAGGAGTTTTGACAATGTGAAATCAATGCAACACTGCCGTGTAACATTCAAGGCTATACGGCATTGGCAAATATAAGCCTCTAAATCATATAGTTGATCCAATTGTAACAGATTGCACGTAACCACAACTGTCCATTTCCATAGGTGTTTTTCAAGAAATGAACGACGATTGGGAGTTGTTTTTTTGTACAATAAAACACTGCAGGGAGAATAAACCATGGGGCGCCGCCCCGAGTGGTCTATTCTCCTTGCAGTGTTTTATTGTCTCATCTCTCCCGCTGTTGGATGCGATTGTTCATCGCGTTTATTTGCGTGGCACACCTACATCTATGGGGAACAACTCACTAGACACTCCTTCTAAAAATAACGTCGTCCAATATACAACGTTATCAAGTTTCGAGCGCATGTTCAGATCTCCAGCAATAACGTCCTTATAGAACAATATTTTATCTAGAAATTAGCACTCTTCATTGTTTTTTGCGTTTAGAGCTATCTTATTTTTAGTAATAAAAGAAGAATCTGGATTATTTTTTTCAGGTTCGAAGAATTTGGACAAATGCTTCACGGGAATTGTATCTGTTCTCCAAGACTTACCTGACCAGGCGTTGGTTCTCCTTGCTGAAAAGTACCTGACAGATAGGCCGAGGTGAATAGACCCTTCAAGTACACAAATTGAAACAGTTTGAAGGAAATGACATCATATAGATCAATATTGTATGTGACGTCAGTTACGAAAGCAATGGTGAAAGGAATCTTCTGCGTACATGTATGCATACACATTTCGTTATGTACATTATTTCAAATTATTTTCGTATTAAAACGGCCCAGAAAGTTTATCATTTACCATCGAAAAGTGCATTTATTTTTCTACTAATAAATATATCAAACAAATAGTATTTGTAAACTCTATCAAAGCTGAATGACATTATCTACCACATCATTCCCTTTTTTGTGCACTTGATGTACAATGTAGGTCCTTTTGGGTACCAGTAAATATCCTGTTACCCTATTTAAGATGCGAGTTTTACAGAAAATAGCTGGTTGCTATGGTACGAAAAAGCAAGTCCTTTCATGGTGACCTCAGCGAAGATGAGTTATCGTTTTCCGTGTAGCTTACTTATTTTGCCCTGAACTGATGCAAAGTCTGGCACACTAGAATATCATTAAACCACCATGCTTACAAGGGTACCCTCCATCTCTTTCAGACTGACCAAGACCTTCAAGGACCAGAACCATATGTTTGATGCTATCGCTAGTCTGACCACAGACCTGTCCCAGCAGCTCCTGCTAGACCTTGTGCTCAACAGATCCAGACCCGACTCCTCCCTGGTGAAGAGACTCATGTTCCACATCATCTCACTTGATGGACCACCGATAGACGTAAGTGTAACTATGTGTGTTATATAACAGTTACAAGCTTATGTTGTACATAATCTCATTTGATGGACCACCGATAGACGAAAGTGTAAATATGTGTGATATGTCAGTTGCAAGCTCATGTTCCACATCATCTCACTGGATGGACCATTGATAGATGTAAGTGTAAATATGTGTCATATAACACTTACAAGCTCATGTTGTACATCATCTCATTTGATGGACCACCGATAGACGTAAGTGTAAATATGTGTGATATAACAGTCACACGCTCATGTTGTACATAATCTCACTCGATTGACCACCGATAGACGTAAGTGTAAATATGTGTGATATAACAGTTACACCCAAATGATGTACGTTATCTCACTTGATGGACCACTGAAAGAAGAAAGTGTAAATATATATGGTATAATAGTTACAAGATCATGTTATACATGGGATCACATATAGACGTAAGTGTAAATATGTGTGATCTTACACTTAAATATCATGTTCCCCTTATAATGCCTTGTCCTTTTGTCACGATTGAACAGAGAAGCGCCGACTATATGGTGTGTAAATGTGCAAACAGAATTGTTATAGCAATGTTTCCTTTTGTTATACTCGATATTACACGAAGTCTGAAGTCTCCACAAATCACGTAACTGTTATTCGTCGCAAGAACGCTGATCCAGCAAAGTGTTTTTAACTTTGGTAGCCGCGAACAAGGCTTCTACGACCAGTTGTACTATTAATTCACGGAGTGTCAACTTTACGTGGTAGAAAGTTCAAAGGGATCTAAACGATGCGGTTTCAACTTATATCCACGATTATTCGGGTATTTTTTCACATGTTGTACAGAATATCATCACGAAACTGAAGAGCCTGTGTTTTGAGCGCGATAAGGCCCCAGTGGCTTTACAGGAACAAGAAACATATCACAGAATGGTGCTGGCATTGGGGGTGGTTGCTAGGCGACTGTTGGACGCTGGGAGGAAGGGGGAAGCGGTTAATATTGTCCTGAAGCTTGAGGGCTGGCTCGGATTGCACGGTGAGAATTACGTTTTGATTGTGTTTCGTCGTACCCGATGGCTTTGACCTTTGCGTATTCCAGTCATAGGTTTCTCTGACTCTGACTCTGACTGATACTGTTCTTACAGATCGACTGACATAGCCTTAATATTACTGACTGCAGCCTTAAAAACTAACCGTGATCATCATTCAGTTGTCGATTACGTATCTACAAATCTGTTCCAGATCCCTGGATGTTCCGTCAGAAACGGTCCACCATGACAGAACGTGAAGTCCTTGATGACGACCGTTGGAGAGTTATCTTGCTGGGATCTCTGGGTAATGCCGGTCTCGACCAATCATTTGAGATGATTGTGTCACATGTCAACACCACCAACTCTCAGTGGGTGAAGCGAGCTGGGATACACGCCATGAGGAAGTACCGACACGAAGGGGTATTGGAAATGATTTTAAACTAACTTTTAAACAATACTTCAAATGATTTACACAGTTGAGACAGTACATTTTCACTACCGAATATTTTCTGTAGCGAAATCTCTGAAGTTTGCAAGTCGCCATGACCATACTTTAATTCGAGATCTCAAGTAGGAGCTTTAATTATATTGTCTGACTATGCCAAATTACGATCTTACTCCTTCAACATTTGGTTTATTTGATTGATGCTCGAACCCAGGATACAAAGTCTGCACATTATGTTGGCAACAAATATAAACAGGCATCTCAGCAACGTTGACCACGACCTGAAATGGGCAGTTATGCGTGTTATACATGTACGAATTATATATAACCTGTTGCAGGCAGCACATCTGATGTTGAAGACAGTTGTGCATGTGTGAATGATATATTCCCTGTTGCAGACAGCACATCTAATGTTGAAGTCAGCCTGTATGTATGAATTATATATCCCCTGTTGCAGGCAGCACATCTGATGTTAAAGACAGCCTGCATGTATGAATGATATATCCCCTGTTGCAGGCAGCACATCTCATGTTGAAGACAGCCTGTATGTATGAATGATATATCCCCTGTTGCAGGCAGCACATCTGATGTTAAAGACAGCCCTGTACGATGACGACGAGAAGGTCCGATATGAAGCTCTGCTACAATACCAGGCCCACCCAAAGGCTGCCATAATCGCTCCCATGTACAGACAAGAAGGGTGAATGTTGAATGATTTTGTGTGTTTAATGATTCATACATTATCCTTTTTCGTGGCACCATGATATGTTCCCTACAAAGCCAGCAGCTCATGGTGTACCAGCTTGTACGAATTGTACCTTCCTCAATACCTCATTGGGCCGATGGGTAGCTCTGTGGCTAAAGACTCTTGTTCCAGAATCGCCATGAAAAGTGTCAGTAAATTCTACTGTCTTACTCACTCATTTCTGTGTACCTCTGGCTCCCTAGCTTGTTGGCAGTAGTCGCCTGGTTGTCCTATACCACGCTATTTACTTTACAGTTGCATCCTTTCCACTTGTATAATGAGACTTGGTCTCTTACGAGCCCCCTACCCGTGTCCGTTGGCATCACCTTTGACTTTGACTCTTTCCTTCAAATTGAACTGATTTTACGCAATTGAAAAGCTGTTGAAAACATAATACATTGATACATTACAGTCCTATGAATGGATCCATATTTCACGTGGACCCCCGCTATGTTGGCAAGCGGGACATTGAGGTACACGACCGACACAAAAGGGGACTCTTTGATGAGAAGATCGAATTCATACTGGCTTCACCAAGTGTAGACTGGAAGAAGATGCTTGGGTCAACAACCATTGGAGCGTCCTTTGGACTGATTATTAACAACGCTTTAGACTTCAAAATAGGTATGCTAGTGTCAATGCCATACATGTATATACCCTTATATCGTATCCAGATTGTTCAAGACAAGACGGCTAAAAAAAATAGATATTCATTACTTACGTAATTCAGATTCAAATGTAGACGTTATAAAACATCATTGTTGACGTTGACTATTATGTCAGGTTGTCATTTGAAAACATTTGGCGAATACCAAACCCAAGTAATGTTGAAGCAATCCAAACCAAAGTGAAAGCAATCCAGAGCAATTCGTAATTCCTACATTTGAAGGATTCTGAGGAACGGAAGTTATTTGACCTTCAATTTTTTTTATTATTTGTCTCTATATATTCTGTATACTGTATCTGACAGTTTATTTCGTGTTTCTTCAAAGCTTGAAAAGAGGGCAATTCCTTCCAGTGCTATTGCATATGATCACTGCATGTTACAGAGCCTCTGAGCGGACACATGAGAATAAACATCCACGATGAAGCTTTCGCCCGCATCCACCTTGGCTTCAAGGGAGAGAACCTGGAATTCTTTATGGGGAGGATCTGCTTCAAGGGAGGAGCGTCTTACAACCTGAACATGCTGCAGGTGACCTCACAATGCAACCTGTTGAATCGCACTTCTGTGGGATCGAGTCTGCTCAGCTTAACCACTGTTGGCACTCAACTATTTAGGACTACCGCTGTCTCTCCCCAACCACCACCCCTCCCTACCAACACTCCTGTCTGCATGATGTGTCCATTCAGGACCATCAGCCACAACCTGTAAACACATGACTTTAATGTGCCTTTAAACGTTTCCAATATTGTTTCCAACGTCTAGCGTTCTATTATATGTCTACGCTCAGTCGTATTAGTAGTCAAGACGTCTGGAGCCCTACAGTGTAATAGGAAGACAATTGATTGTCAAAATGCCATCAAGATTACTATCACATCAGATTAAATCTGAAAACATTTTTAAAAGAGAATATCTCTTGCAACTGTCATTATAATATTATATTGTTTCTTATGTGATTCGCAAAGATGTCTTTTTAAGGGTTTATTTAATTGTGCAGTTCTTCATGTCCTTGTCGGGGTCACGGGTGGCCGCGATTCCCTGTGCAGAGTTGCGTCCCTTTGGCACGCCAGAAACCTATGATTGTAGGTTCGAATCCCGGTTCGCCCAAATTATGTGTCTAGGTTTGTCAGCACCATACCCGTGCTCGTGGGTTTCACCGAAGTGGTAAACGACTGAGACCTGCATCACTTCGGGCTTTCCTCCCACAGTAAGCTGACACGTCGTGATATAACTGGAATACTGTTACAAGCGGCGTTAAACACAACTCACTCACTCACTCACTCATGTCCTTGTCCATGTTGCAGGAGTACGGCGTGGACAACCTCAAGAAACTGGTTGAGCTCTACGACGCTGTTAAAGGTGATGCTGCTGGCGCTCTAGCGACAGGTCTGGATCTGTTCAAGAGCATCGTTAGTGGAGAGTTCTCGTTTGCTGACATGATAGAAGATTTCAGGACGGCACTGGAAGAGCTACCAGATAAGGTGGAGGTTTTGAGATCATGTTAATGTAGCGTTAATGTTGTCATGTATGAAGGGGCGGTTGCCTCTGGCATGTTATTGATATGCGATCTCTGAAGTTACTTTAATGAGTGAAGTTATGTCTTAATTAACTGTCGATTTATAAAGAATGGATTTTTGTCTGTTACGCCAAATGGATAATTTTTTCTATGGATACTCCATACTGGTTATCATGTTGCGATGGCATTTTATAACTTAAGTGAAATTATGTCAAATTTGATTCCAAACTGATTTCATTAGTCGTGTAGCATTTCGTAAAGAAACGTGACTGGGATGTTTGATAAAGTTGAACACAAAAACAGACGGAGATTAACCAGTATTTCCTTATTGGCAAGGTAGATGTACATGTAAAGGTGGTATGTTGCAGGTTGTCAGTGTTGGGAAGAAGGCATCAGACGCTATGGAAGTCCTTGGCGAGCTGGATGAGAAACAGCTGCCTCCCTTTGCTAAACCTGCCAGGAACCTTGTGTTGAGAATCACAAACCTTTACAAGGAAGTCAAGTCATCGGTGCTCAGCTTTTACAATGTAAGTAATTCCACAATACTTGTGTGTTCTTGAATATCTTGTTATAAAACCACCCGAAATTCTATTTGAGCATTATTTCTGTTAAATAATATTATAATTCCATGTCTTTGGGTATATGAAAGTACATTATATAGCATAATTGAGGCCTCGGAAGGTTACCCTCTACTATTTGGATGTCAGTTGGGCAGGATGCTCTTAGTCCGCGTGCCTGGGGAACTATTATGTATTGATTCCCGAGGATTGGTCGTGGCTGTAGACAGTATTTCAGTTAAGCCACGATGTATCAGCTTAAAGTGGGAGAAACACCCAAAACGTTTACATGAAATCCATGTAAAGGGGTCTGGTAATTTTGCATATATCACAGCCTTGCACCATTGGCGCCTCAAACCACCCGGTAGGCTGAGGTTTTGTTGAACTGAAAAAAATGAAATTAATACAACATACAATACAATAATGATTCATCATATGTTTTGTTCACAAAAAAAGAAACAAGGAGAATATCACTAGGTTGCCCATTTCAGCAACTGATGGAGACAGTGACGATCATAATACCCAGGGCAGGGAAGATGATCTATAAGGCTATCAAGGCTATCATTGATAGCTTTAGGACGTTCAACAAAGACCCAAAACAGGCAATTTCTACTGTCGCTGGTAACGTCATCACGTGAGTACATCATCATGCAGTTACACATAGTGCGAGAGATTATCTTTCGCCAGGCAATGGTTTAACATATTGTTTGTATTTTTTAAATGTAATAATTTGGGTTCATCTTGTATTTTTTCAGTATTGGCCTAGAAGTAAAGAATCTGGTACAGGCCTTAAACAAGACAAAGAACACATTATTTGCGACCATAAGTAAGTGTTTTTGAATTGGTAAAATCGTTTTGGTAATGACAAGAGTGAGTGGGTGAGTATGGTTTTACGCCGATTTCAGCAATATTCCAGCAAACCACGGCGGGGGACACCAGAAATGGACTTCACACATTGTACCCTTGTCACAGGTACAGGCGTCAGATCTTTGGTCCCATTGTTGTACCACATTTTGAAAACCACCCCTGGCTGTCAGACCCGTCTACATGGGTACAACGGTAGACAACAACGTTGTCGACTGGTAACAGAGTTCCAGCAAAAGGCCACCACGACCATCCCTTTGGCCCACCAACCTGATCTCAACCTGCTTGAACACATCTGAGGCGCAGGATGCAGAAGCTGGACCAACCAGTAGCCAATCTACAGGAACTAGCACAAGCATTGTACAAAAGTCACAGAACAGAAGTACAGAAGAGCATCAGAAATCACAGAACAGAAGTACAGAAGGGCATCAGAAGTCACAGAACAGAAGTACAGAAGAGCATCAGAAGTCACAGAATAGCATCAGAAGTCACAGAACAGAAGTACAGAAGAGCATCAGAAATCACAGAACAAAAGTACAGAAGGGCATCAGAAGTCACAGAACAGAAGTACAGAAGAGCATCAGAAGTCACAGAACAGAAGTACAGAAGAGCATCAGAAGTCACAGAACAGAAGTACAGAAGAGCATCAGAAGTCACAGAACAGAAGTACAGAGGAGCATCAGAAGTCACAGAACAGAAGTACAGAAGAGCATCAGAAGTCACAGAACAGAAGTACAGAAGAGCATCAGAAGTCACAGAACAGAAGTACAGAAGGGCATCAGAAGTCACAGGACAGAAGTATAGAAGAGCATCAGAAGTCACAGTAATTTTACCTTTTACATGTATGTAGTTGTATTACTGTTATGACTACCCTGGTCTAGAGTTTCACCAAATTGATAAGCATCTACAAGCTGTATCACTTTGGGCTTTCCACTAACATATAACTGACTAAGAATCCGTCATAAAGATCAATACTGCTAATACCAGGGTTAAAGCCTTTTTTTACCTGCTTCAACAGAAACCCCCCCTGACTGGATGAACCTAGCTTCCCAGGTGATAGAGATAGTGGAGGCGGGGTATAAGGCAAAGAAGGCACTGCTGGAAGGTGGGGAGAAGTGGATCAAGGAGGTTGTGAAGGGGAAGAGGGATCCTGTAGCGGAGTTTTCCAAGGGGAAGACTAACGCGGTGAGTGGCTCGATATCATGTATATGTTTTTTTTAAGCACTAGAGCTAGATATTACCCTTACAAGGATACTGGCATCCCCCCATTGTATTTGGCCGCATCACTTCGGGCATTCCTTCCACATTAAGCTGACACGCCGTGATACAACTGGAATACTGTTTCAAGCGAAGTTAAAACCCAACTCACTCACTCACTGTTACCCTTCTGGAGGATGCTGGCATCACCTCATTGTATGTGTTGTATTATGGACTTGGCCCTCGCGGTATCAAGTGAAGTAAAGGTCCACAGTATCTCATGCTTTTCGCAAGGACTGACTAAAGATGATGGGGGATGTCAGACTCTTTCACATGGTTGATTGTGCCACGGTTGCATGGGTCGTCACTCATGTTTTGTAAGTCACTGGTTTGTCCTGTTCAGACTGGATTATTCACAGGCCATGAACAAAAGCTGGAATACTGGTGACTGCAGCATGAAAAAAAATCATTAATTGCCTATGGACCAGTCAGATCAGGAACTGACCAGGTGGATATAAAGTTTGCGAAATCAATTGCAGTATAAAATACTCCACATGTGAGATAAAAGCATGAGTGTATGATGGACAGGAGCTTTGTGTCAGAAGTGGAACATGTGCTTTATATCGGTTTTCCCCACTATAATCCTTCGTATAACAGAATGGTCGATCCCCTAAACCTACAAATAGTCTATTTATGCATGGATTGAACAGTACTGTTCAAATTTTGTAGACTGCACTGAGGCAGGAAGTTGTGACCATGCTGAAGGACATTGTTGATGATGTACTGGCTCCTCTTATACCTCTAAAGAAACTGGGAGGGAAGTTCTTGGACACTTTCAAAAAGGTGTTTGATCTCATCAACAGTGTGAAGACAGCTTACAACGCGCTGAAGGAAGGGTAAGGAGAGGCATACACGCAATAAAAATGATTGTTGTTAAATAGTAATATTGCTATCCTCAACTAGTATATATTTTTGTCGGGGCGGTCGGGTAGCCTAGTGGTTAAAGCGTTCACTTGTCACGCCAAAGACCAGGGTTCGATTCTCTCATAAAACACGAACGCGACTATTTCTGTGGAAGATACCTTATCGCAGGTATGAATTTTTGTCCAAAAGGCATAGCATTATTTATTCATTTTATTACATAGTTGGGTGTCCTGATATACATTTCAAATAAACCAACCCGAAGCAGCATTTGTGTAGAGAACGCATGCTTGGCTACTAGCTATCTATTTCGTTTTTCATGTGGAATCCTTATTCAAAGTTCATTCAAATATGGTGGTTTGTGAGTTAAAGGGAGATAGGAATTTGGAGTATTTTGTACATTACCTTATGTGACCTTCCTACTCCTATGAATCTATGTTCATAATGTTTCAGATATCGTGCAGCCCGCTCTTTGATCGACCGTGTCTTCGGCCCCAAGTGTCATAAGGAGTTCCCCCGCACCCTTCGACTTGCTGGGGGTGGATGCAATGGGCGTGGCAGCTACCCCTCCGAATTGAAAAGTGGAAAGGAATACGAGCATGAAGGGATAGATGTGACCATTTCTTCTGGAAAAGACGTGAGTAACATTTGTCGGTCTTCATCTTCCACTCCTGGTGCTAAGAGATAACGTGTGCGGTTCTTTCGTAAACATATTATATTTTAAATGATACATGTATTTCAACACTTTTCCAAAACTTTAAAATAATACGTATTTGAACTTTTCAAAAGAATATCAAAAGAAAGGAGTAACTCTTTTCTGGAGAACGTAAGCATTTCTTGTACTAAAGAACATCGAAACAAAACTTTAAGTAAAGAGGTGTCGACACTGACATGTGGTTGTATCGTTTGATCATTCATAAACAAAAGCTAACTTCCTAGCGAAGCCTCATCAAAACGTGTTCGGAAATATTAGTTTTTTCATAAACCATGTTCCCTTTAAAAACAAGTTTCACATTCTTTCATGTTCATATTCCGGTCCAATTTCTCTTCTTATATTGCACATAGGGCGCGGATGTAAATATATGTCAAATCATTTGAGTATAGATATTTTTGATCGGGCGTTTTCGGAGGCTTCCAAGTTATTCCATTAGTTTTATTGTTTGCGAAAAGAGCCACAGCAGTGTGACGTTGGTACTTGTTGTTACCCTGCCTGGCGCTCGGCATTGAGGGTCTTAAACAAGGACTGGTCCGCTCGGAGTCTGTATACTTTGTCTATATGCGGTATATATATTAAACTGCGACTGGTATCTCTGTGGGCTTCCACTATAAAATTGGCTTTAGTCCGGACAAGTACAAGCAGCCACACACACACACACACACACACACACACACACACACACACACACACACAGAAGGGCATGTACTTGCAATAATCTTGAACGCGACGTTAAACCCCATCTCGCCACAACGCACCTAATAAGACACAATTAGATGTATGAAGCATGTGCAATGAAGGCAACAACAGAGCAAGTTGACATGTGGTCATTTTACTAAAATAATGTTTAAAGTGGCATCAAACCCAAGCTACTCACTCACTCACTCACTTGAGGTATATGTCCATAACAACAACACTATATTCAACTTCTCCGCAGATTGTGGCTCCGTTTGCTGGCAAAATTAGGCTGTCTGAGAATCCCAATGAGGTCATCATCATCCCGAATGCAGGATCTCTGAAGGAAACTGAGGTCATCATCACCAACATTGATCCCGACAGCTCCTTAAACATCCAACATCCAGGTGACTCTACTTACGTGGACAGCCCAGTAAGTCGTGAATTGCAACATGGAGTAGACAGTGACAGGCTTCTGAGACGAAAGGCAATAAATACTTACTTTTTTGTGAAAATTGTATGAATGGCTGGAGCTACCGGTAGGGCATGCCTACCCCTTTTGCGAACACCTGGTGTCACCACAGATTTTCAGTCGTCCATTCATATACTTTCTACAGCTGTTTGCCCTTTACTCAAAGTGCTATCTGTTTCGGCAGAAAATCTAGCTGGTTATTCTCTTGCACTGACAATTTATATTAAAACCTCGAAAAACATTTGGAATCGCAGCTCACGTTTCACGTTACATACTACTATGTACATACCTAAATATATCTCTGAATGGCCTAACATGCATAAATTGAAAAACATGTTTATCCAACATTAGAGTAAGAGATATGAAAAAAATGTCCAATTTGCTTTGGTGGTCAAGCTCGGCGATTTTGCGCGTGCTACCGAACGTGCATCATGCCATCAACCACCGGTTTAGATGACCAAGATATTATTTAAAGATCCTCTGATAAACCTGTACTTTTACGTACTGGGATATAATTTTTAAAAACTTCATAGTTATACCTTTGTACTACCATTCACAACCAGTCAATTGCTCGTCCTTTCTTATGTCAAGCGTCGTCATAAATGTTATCTTCAAGTTATCTGACATTATAATCGCCTTCTCGTATGCTGTCTGTAGACGGCAGATTGAAAGTGCAAAACCAAATTGTCCTTTGTTTTGTCGTGGGTGTTAGGTTCTTATATATGTCCGTCGATTCATTCCAGAAATTAAACATCTTCTTTCACTGTTGTTATTGTTCAAATTCATTGTTCCTTCGCTATTATGCCAACTGAAATTTTTTGTTAAATACTTTGCCATGTCTTTTATTATAACTGAATGTATGCCCCAGGTGAATGCTGGACAAAAGATAGGCGTGGCGGCCAACTCCCCGTGTGGGGGTAACGAGCATATCCACCTCGCCCTGAGAAGGAAGGGTGGCTATGTCGACCCAACACGCTACCTGGAGGTCAGATTACCCGAAATCCCGGAGTGGGTGCAAGAATGTGACGACTACAAAGTGGTGTTTAAGGCAAGTGACATATTTAGCTTTCTTTGTTAAAAAGGGACAGACACGTAAACATGTACGTGTACTTGCTGAGGTTATATTTATCTATGTATCCTAGATGTAATTAGCTTTTGTCCCAAACACGAAAAGTAAGCAGTCAAGCTGGTGTCATTTGCATAACACGCGCATTTGTATAAACACAAACTGTTACGTGTTTTCTATAGACACATGCTTTGGCATATGTCGACATACAAGTTTTCTATGTACACATAATGTTACATATTATGTGACATATTGTGTTTTATACAGACACAAGAGGCATTATATTTGTTGTGATTGATTTCCTAATTCTTGTTCAGTCTGAGACTATAGCTGAAAATTGCATCATCTGTCTGGATGGTAAGAAGGACAATGACACCAGTCCAGAGAGAGAAGGAGAGGAAATTGAAAAACCTGAGGATCTTGATTCCTCAAAAGATCCTACCTCAGTCGCCGACGCCGAAAATGGTAGGAGTTCTTCATTTTTAACTATTGAGTTACCAGAAGTTTCCCGATAAAATGCGGTAAATATTAACGAGTGTACTGTTTTAGGGACATATATTGTGAAAGCGGTGAATAACTTATTGTGTGTCATGCTCCCGATACTTCAATGTTTGAACGATGTTACACATTCAAGTAAGTCAAACATTTATTATATTAATTTTGTTTATTCAAATAAGACAGGTGACACAGTCTGAGATAACAAAATGTACAACTTTATGGATAACAACTTCTGATTTATTGCATACAGCAACGTTTCGATGTATGTTCTGATACCCTTATGAAGCTTGAGTGATAACGGTTTTAGAATCTACATCGAAATGTCGTCATATGCAAAACATTAGAACTTGTTATCCATAAATTTGTACGTTTCGTTATTTACTCTGCAACTTCTAGAATGACAATGAAACAGTTAGTCTAAGATAAATAATACAAATGCATGATAAATAATGTTTTCAACCGAAACTGGCCCCCACAGGAGATATCGCTTTGGTGAGATGAATCGATCTCTCCTTCGAGATATCGATGTAATGAAATTGCTCACAATGATTTGCAGACAAAGCAGGTCAAACATTGTTACCACCAGATTCGCATTTCAGTCAGCTCTTAAAACAGCCAAAAATTACTCAGGAACACAGCATCTCAGCTGTGCAACTTGTAAAAGATGAAGACACAGAAAGGCCTTTCCGTGCAACATACATGTATCCCGTAGCCTTCTAACTGTACATTAATGTGAAAGTTTGGGACAGGACATATAGGCAAAAAGAAGGTATCCCATGGACATTAATTGTGCTCCCCTACTTGCTACCCGCAGAATCGGAATTTGTGCTCGATTGGCAAAATGAAAACAGGAATTTGGCTAAGATGTGTACCTGAAGTTTCAGGTATATCGATGGTCTGGCATCGTTCAATAATGGTTCCTTCCACTGATGTATCTTCTTGACCTGAAAATAAACTAGAAACCAGTGAAACGCAACTTCTGTTTCCTATTTAGATAAATGCATACAGATTTACAAAAAGCTACCAAATACAATAACGTATGACAAGAGGGATGACATAAACCTGCCAAAAGTCAACTTTCCCTTCTAAAGAGGACATTTTCAAATGTGACGCATCAGTGACCAATGATGTCCGATACAATTCATTAATTTGAGTTGTACCATATGTCCCTGTGTTTGTTTCAGGTAAACACTTGAGATTGACGGGTGCTCACATTATCACGAACACTTGGTATCACTGTTTTATTGTGATTCATAAACGCATGTTTATGATAAAGAATGAATCGTACAACTACAACTACCTGCTATAATTGTGACTACTTTATATTTTACCTCTTTTATTTCAGAAAAGCCAGATTCCATGTACAAAAAGATGCAGCCTCGAAGACCACAAATCCAAGAAACGGCCAAGAAAACCAAAGATGGTGGTGAGTAGATGCTGCTGATGCTTTCATTAGACTCATATACAGTCCCTGCTGGTAGTATCGATCGAGATCGATGCCTGAAAAAGTCTACACTCAGTGTATGTATGTTTTCGATAGACAGATAAATCTGACACGTTGTGGCGTAGGTGTCTTTTCTATCGATACAATCGGTGACGATTTTTCTTTGTGACATACATGCTGTAAAACATGTTAATTGCAAAATATTCCGTGATGGGGAACTACTTAATAAGTTATTTATTATTCCAAGCTATAAACTCACTGACCGCCGTTCACATGAACCTACATTCTAATACCACCAAATATTTATTGCAGCTCTGGCAACCCTCTTCCAGAAGGCTGGTGCTTTTATGAAGAAGTTCTCTATACGTAATCTGAAAATGGGGTCTATCTTGGATCTTCTAGAGATTCTTGGCCTTGACGAGAGTCAGGAAAAGATGGCCGAGGTCATCAGAACAATAAAGGTATTTTTTGAATGCTGGACTCATGTGAAGCATTGTTACTGTCTGTTTGGTGGGACTGTGGCGAACTCCCTGGACGATGACTGACAGTCTGTCCTATAAAAGAGTATCGTGCTACCTGGACCATGACAATCTCACAAAGCAACCTCAACTTAAATGGTGATGGAAGATCAGTGTAATAATATACTGTCCAGCTATTTGAACCACTAACGATGAGCTGTATCGTAAACAACCCACATACCATTTATCATAAATATGTGCACGTGTTTCTGTGCTGCAGGATCTGATCGACAACAAGCCGTGTTTCAACCCGTATCAGATGACGGACGACCAACTGAGGACGGAGCTGACCGAGAGGGGGATGAGGGCAGAGGGGACCCGGGAACATATGATCAACTCCCTCACCACGCCATCCAACTGTGAGTACACAAGGTATTCTTATAACTTACTGATATAAAGTGGGGACTCGGGAACATATGATCAACTCCCTCACCACGCCATCCAACTGTGAGTACCCATGGCATTCTTATAACTTACTGATATAATGCGGGGACTCGGGAGCATATAATCAACTTCCTCACCAAGCCACCCAAATGTAAGTACTCATGACATTCTTCTACCTTACTGGCATAATGTGGGGACTCGGGAACATATGATCATCTCCCTAACCACGCCTTCAAACTGTGAGCACACTTGGCGTTCTTATAACTTACTGATATAATGTGGGGACTCGGGAACATATGATCAACTCCCTAACCACGCCTTCAAACTGTGAGCACACTTGGCGTTCTCATAACTTACTGATATAATGTGGGGACTCGGGAACATATGATCAACTTCGTCACCCCGCCATCCAACTGTGAGTACACATGACATTGTTATAACTTACTGATATGATGTGGGGACCTGCGGACATATGATCACCTCCCTCATGTACTAAGCGTAATCAATATTGACAGGCTATTGTTAAAATCATATGAATAAAAAATTGAAAAAATACCATTTCCCTTATATGCTTATATTCTTTTGTTATTGTGCAGCCTGTCCTCTCATGAAGATCTCCATGCCTAACAACATCTACTGTACATTTGACGACAAATGTCTTGGGTTGGAATGCTGCGTACATTTCAAACTCTTTGTGTTCCGAAAAACCTATAAAATATATTCAAGATTTGACCCCTGCGATTTGACATTTTCTGTCGGTGCTGGGAAGTTCAACAAGTCGTTTGGAATTGACGGTGACCTGAAGGATATATATGCAGGTTGGTGACACTTGTTGAATTCACCCTCTATATATTACTCACAGTATCAAGGAAAACATTATGAGAAATGGATGCTGTGTTAGGAGTTAATTTGTATTATTTTCCCTAAAAGCACCAGAGTTTCAGCAAATATACAAATATTTCCAATAATGTTTCCAGATTTTGATTTCTTTGCTTTGCAGTTGATAACCCTTCTGATTAGAGAAATTTTGAATTGCTTTGAATTATGCTTTTATGGTTAATATGAAAGATGGTAATGCTTATCTGTAAAACAATATTGAAAACATATTTTTCGGGAATTAAACATAATTCCAGCTTTGGAATGATAGCTTGTTTGTTTTCGCTTTCTGTTTTATTAAAAACCGATTTGTTTTACAGGACTGGAGAAAACTTTTCCGACGAATGTAAAACTGGATATCTTAGGAGGAATAGAGCTGGTCATTAAGTATGAAGTTACTTCCTCACATAACTGTTCATTGAAAATTCAACTTCGTGTTTTCAGTGATATAATACAGCCTCAACGAGATCGTTGACTTCAGAAATGCAACACGTTATTTTGAAACGTTTACCTAAAGGAAAATTCTATCAACGTATTTCAAGGCCAATTGGTTTACCATTGGACCAACGTGGACCATTTTTAACCAAACTATAACAATTATTATTATTATGAAAGTCAAGATTCTCCGTATTTTAAGAGTTAGATTATAAATCTATTGCCCCTTGTCTGAACTATGCTTGCATCATTCTTAATGGGTTATTTGACTATTTGCCTGGTGACCTGGTCATTTTGAAAACAATTCTAGGGTTCTGATGAGAAACATACTTTTCACTGCCTCAAAGCATATTCGTCTGTACATACAATATGGACGTCAACTACCTTTCCCATATATTCACGGAGGGGATCGCCATACTCCCCACTTCGTAACTGGACTGGACTTTCCTCCAATCCAGACTGTGTCGCAACCATGGGAAGAAATCGCCTCGTTACCTATGTACTACACTGGTGCTCAGTGGTCTAATGCGTCGCAATTCGCAAAACAGAGTTACGCCCCCAAACTGATAGGTTCCGCTGACATTTGGTTCGAATCCAAGATTTATCTTGATTAAAACCTTTCGTCTGTCAGCATCACACCTATCCAAATGGATAAACGCTTCACTGCATTACTTTGAGCTTTTCTCCCGAATCATACTGTAATGAAATAAAGCACTTCCGTAGTTGTAACCCTTGTTTCTTTACGTTGCTATCATCTGGAGTAATGACCTTGTCTTGGCTGTACTGGAGGAGTGGTTTATTATGACATCATTGCAGTTGTAGACATACATGTCTCACCTGTGAGGTGTGATGTTCAGATCCCTCATTCTTCAGTACTGATTCTTCAGAGTGAAGCTGGAGAAGGATGACACTGCTGCTCTGATCACAGTGGCGGCCGGCTTCTGTTCCCAGGATGACCACGAGAACTGCATCGCATTCTTCAACATCCTGGACGAGTTTCTGACACCACTGCCAATATGTCATCCAGACGGCTCAATAACCTGGCCAGAGGGTAAATACCGTCATTAGTATTTATCATCTTGAAGAAACTGTGTCAAAATATCCCTCTAATATCACACGAACGTGACCATTTCTGTGGAACATATCTGATACAGTTTCCTTATCGCAGGTATGAATTGCATATCCAGTATTGGGGAAGTGTCACGTACCAGCCTAGTATTATATTTACTGTTTGATACACGGTCAGGGGCGCTGGGCTGACCTAGTGGGAAAAGCGCTCGCTCGTCACGCTGAAGACCCAGGTTCGATTACCCACATGGGTACAATGTGTGAAGCCCATTTCTGGTGTCCCCCGCCGTGATATTGCTCGAATATTGCTCAAAGCGGCGTAAAATAATACTCACTCACTGATACAAGGTCACCCACTGCCTTTTGCGATGTAATCACCAGAAGACACTTTTGCTGGAAAGGTAGCATATCACTATTACCACTTTCAGTTTAAGTACAAGGCACAACAGACATACATTACTGTTCATAATAAACGTCCCCTCGATCGGGACGAGTCACGTTTATCAAAATCGATATCGCATACAAAAGTGTTCCAGTGATTGCGATCTTTTTGCGAATATCTCGCACGCATATCCTAATTGATGGGACGTTATTGTTTACAAAGGGGATGTCTGGAGGCTGTATTTAGTGACGACTGAAAATTGTATTGCTCGGTAGTTTTGTTCGTACGTCAGTCTAACTTGCATCCGCTCCTTCTTTTGACAGTTGATTACAGGGGTCTGTTTGATAAGGAATCAATTAAGAGACGAATTCGTGAAAGTGCCAAAGAGTTTGCCAAAGATGCTATAAATAAGGGCATTGAAGAACTACTTGACTTCATCCCGTGCATATCCCCTGATGTAAGTATGGCAAGAATGTGGTAATATTGTCACAGAAAATCAGTGTCACGTTCCCATTATCCACTGTCCTTTCAGCATGATGTAAATATGATGAACAGGAACAAATATAGAAATAACGTTGAAATATTTGAAAGGAAAGGAGGGACCATGTTGAAAAAGAATGCTTTTTTCTGGGGATCAGGTTAGAGTTGATATTTTCACTCGTTGCCACGCCAATCATGAACATATCAATTCCAACCACGTCACACGATAGTATAAACCTTAAACAGCCTCCATTAAATACACTCTCTATAATCTTTAAGTTATTGTAACTTGCATATATGATCTCGGCAGAATGGACACTATAGTTCGTATTTATCGGTACTCCTAAACAGTGGTACCCAGGTCTAAATGAGTTAAAGTGGTAAAGTGGTAAACAAATTAGAAAGTACACATGATTGCATTTAAGGCTCCAGGCAAGACAGATCCCTGTCCCAAACCTGAGGCCCTGACTCGGGATATCCTCAAACAGAAACTCCAGCATCGGGGATTGCAGATCACAGGCACAAGACAGGAACTGGAGCAGAGGCTCAGAGTTGGACACAAAAGTGAGCGGTTCATGATAAGGAGAAGTTCTGTTCATATTTAAAAAAATATATATCATTGGGTGAAGAAAAGGTCTGGCACAATATACTCTATGATCTCCCAACACATATTATAAAACAAAACAGCACGTACTGTGCACTGGGTGGTCAGGAAGATTGTGGGAAACTATTCAAATGCAAATATATCGCATTAAGAAAGTGTGGCATTTTACGGTTGCAATTCTGTGGTCAATTATTGCAGGTCTCAGGATGATGGTTTGGATTTGACAATAAAAAGATTGTACAGTACATGTTTGAGTTATTCAATATACTTGTACAAACAATTTGCACACTAGCAATACACGAGTATGGTACGATTTGTAGATCTGATTGTATTGAAGCTGAATATCACTTTTTATGTGTATGTCCAGTGTATAATGATTTAAGAGAAAAATAACTAAAAACAATTTTTACCATAATCCAAATGGTAACATATTAGGTAAATTAATGACATGTGATTGTACAGAAACTACGAGAAATTTATCAATGGTCATTTATCATGCTATGAAACTAAGAAAATGTATGAATTTGTAACATGCCCCAGACAATGAACTATAGGCCTTTGGCCTCATCATAATAAAGATTGATTTTACGAACACTTTCCAAAGAGGGATATGGAACATGAACGTTCACAGTATATAATGTTTAACTTTTATAGTGAAGCCACATAACTAAACGATAATGAAATATTTCATGTATTTCGAATCATAATCAATTCCTAAAACAAATCAATCCTGAACATTATGCAATGGAATGTATAGTAATTATAAATATACCGCATGGCATTGTGTACCCCCAGCTTGCAGACTGCTGAATAGGACAGTGACACTCCCAACAATAACAAACGAGAAGATCAATAAGATCGTTTACATGGAGATAGCCCCGGACTGTCTGCGGTTTGATGCGTGTGTTGACATTAAGATCAAGAAGCTGAATTTCAACAAGGCCGTCAATGCTTACATACAACTTGACCCTTGTAAATTCAAAATGACCATCAACTTTGAAGACTGCACTACGAGATTAATACTGCTGGGATACGACTGGGGTAGGTAGTGGTTTGTAAGTTAGAACCATTTTGGGAAACTGTGAGTCCTTTGATTCAAGCAGTATGATAATCTGAATACAGTTGACTAATGAATCGCACCAATGCTATTTGAGTGAGTGAATGATTCAATGATTTTTTATGCGCAAGATCAGCAGATCGATAGTATAGTGGTATATAGTTGAATGCAGTGTTATGATGAATTACCATAAATACATGTATTACAAATAAATGTTCTTTACCAGAGTTGTAAAAATACAATTGTTACTAGAATGCGATTGCTTCTCCACATGCGATGATGCTTGATGATAAGAGGCGTCAGCATCACATCGTGTTTGCTTCATAGAGATCTTCATCCCTTTCACATGTAACACATTTTCAGGTATACAACACTACTGTTTAGCAAACTATATGATATGTCTGCCATTCCATTTACAGGCAAAGAGAAGACCACTAAACTGAACGACTGGGTTTCCATAAGGTGAGACAATGAGAGCACCTTTTGTATCTTTGTTATATCCATTCGGTCTCCCTTTGAGGAAACGGTGTTGTCATCAATAATTGTTTTTACAATTTCAATGAATATAGACATGTGAGAGGTTTCACGTCCGGAGACATGCATAATGGCAAACTGTTGATCCTAACACTACGGGTTTTTTTCTGAAATATGTAAATCATGATAAATGAGGAGAATGAATAACTACTCAAATGCAAGACATATTATCAGGATGTGACTGTTTCTCTGCGAATTATCAATCTTTCCTACTGATAAAAGATAAATTGATGTCTTTTAGTTCTGAAGTGCCTTTCTTATAAAATGTGTTTGTTTGTTTGTTGTTTAACGCTGCACTCAGCAATATTCCAGCTATATGTCGGCGTTATGTAAATAATCGAGTCTGGACCAGACAATCCAGTGATTGATGTCATGAGCATCGATTTACACAATTAGGATACGATGACATGCATCAACCAAGTCAGCAAGCCTGACCACCCAAACCCGTTAGTTGCCTCTTACGACAAGCACATATACGCCTCTATAGGGCAAGCATGGGTTGCTGAAGACCTATTTTACCCCGGATCTTAACAGGACTATAAAATTAGTAGACGAATGAATTAAAGCAGCGTATCACGTCGATTTATTAAAAAATCGCATTTGGACAATCCAAACAAGTAGTGGATAACAATGAAAAGTATTCAACTCGTCAAGGTACGCTGGCCCAGTTTAATCAGGTCACATAGCAACACCCCACACCCCATGTGTGTGTGGTACTGAGATATTTCGAGCGGATTTCTAATACCAATAGTGTAGTAACGATATGAGTCAGTCAATCAAAGACCAAACTATCACTGTGTTATGTTTACCGTTCTCCAGATACACCATTGACAGAAGTGAAGCAAGGAAGGTGTTTGTGATTGACTTGGGTCTGCAAATAAGTGTTGGAGCATCGGAACCGATTCTGGATAGTTTGTTGATAGAAAAACTAGATGTACCTATTCCCATTTGTAATGAAAACTTCTCTCTGCCGGGTAAGTGTCGAAAACAGTAGATACTTTTATCAACTCATTGTATTACTTAAAGTCGAAATATTCTGAACCATTCATGCAATTAAACTCACTTAGTCGGAACCAGGCAGTCTGGAAATCCAGCCTTCCGATCGAATACTGTGAGAAAATAGAGGAACCTATGTGAACGAATTCAATAGGGTCGATGCCGGGGTTTCGCTATATACCCTATGTTTAGTAGATATGCATTCATCACGCGCATTGCATCTCTAACAATGCCAATCATTTGGTTAAATTCAGCTCAATATGAAGAGGTAACATCGTCAGCTTCAAATACATAACCATTTCATAAATGTCTGATTAAAGGAAGCGGATCTCTGAAGAAGCTTGCGGAGGAAATGGGAGGAAAGCTAATCAGAGAAGTTGTAGATGTGGTGTTTCGAAAACTTGGACTGGATGTAAGTTTTCAGAACCGACTATTGGCTTATATGTCTCCATGAACTTTCCACAAACACACAAACTGATCTTTGATGCGAAACTGAAGTATGCTATGGGCTCGTATCAAAATATTTAGTGGAAACTATGAACTATGTAACTATATAACCCACAAGTGTAGAATGATCGGGTGTAATAACCGACATTTGCACATGTGCATTTTGTCGATGTATTCACCCGGGCCATATAATCCGTAATTCCTCGCAGCTAGTGGTTATTCTCTATATCTACAATGAAAGGGCCAGGTGCACCAAGGAGACAAATGTTGTTATTAATGTTTTGTACCTGTTTTTCAGAAGGTTCTGTTAAACGGAAGCTGTGCAGCATTAACACCCAAACCAGGTAGTATGACAATTCCGCGAAGATCCGAGGTAGAATAGGTCTTATACAACCCACGCTTGTCGTAAGAGGCGAATAAATGGGATCGGGTGGTCAGGCTAGCTGACTTGGTTGATGTAAGTCATCGTATCCCAATTACGTGGATCGATGCACATGACATAAATCACTGGATTTCCTGGTCCAGATTCGATTACTTACAGACCACTGTCACTTAGCTGGAATATTGCTGAATGCAGCGTTAAACCACAAACAAACAAACGAGGTGGTAAAACGGCAGGAAGTTAAAAATCTATGTTTACATTTTATGTTTGTGTTTTACAGAATGTATGTATGGAATCATTTGTTTTCATTATCTGGTAGACCTGAAAGTAATAGATGTTTAATGTAGACAAAGTAAGAAACACAAAAACAATTTTTCAAGACTATCACTCCAACAAAACCCTTCCGAATTAGTTATAAGTTGTAAATAGTTAAAGCCAACTTCATGTACCAATACATTTTATGAACCCTGTTGATAGATACATAATGAGACCTTAACTCGAACTTAATATGACATTTGTGCTTTAAGGCGATGTGATATAATGATTGAGGTCCAGTCTGTATATGCACTATCGTTTAATATTGATACTCCGTTTGTCCCGAACGAGACATAACTCGATATACTTTCGATGGTCCTTCGACCTTGAGACTAAATAAGGTTTCATTGCACCATCTAATACACGCACATAAATACCGCCCCAGGTGGTTGAGTAGACGATATTGTTTGTATTACTACAATATTTAATATAAACTGACGGCCAAAAGAAACGTTACCAACGATATTTCTAGGATAAAATATGACCAACACAATTTGAAGCAGCTATAACAATTGTATTGTGGAAATTCATATTTCAGAACAGTAAAATGCGAATTCAACAACAAAGTCCTTGACCTCCAACAGGGACATTTCTTGACAAGGGGTCATTCGTCCAGTATTCGATCAACAACATTGGTTACAACTAAGGGTACGACGGCCCAGACCATTCAATACGGGATAAAACCTCCAATGCATCTTCGGATGCGGCTTTGAACTGAGTAGACAAGCGTCCTCACATCGACTGCAGGTATCCGATTCCATTCCTCACGGAGGGCAACGATCAACGCTTGTCTCGTGAAGGGAGGATGTTGACGTTTCCGAAGACGACGCCCAAGTTGGTCCCAGAGGTGTTCTATGGGTGACAGTTCTGGTGACAGATCTGGTGATCGAGCTGGCCACGGCAGGACAGTCACGTTGTTGGCGTTGAGGAAGTCTCTAGTAATACGGGCTTTATGGGGCGTGGCGTTATCTTGTTGGAACACCGTCCGTTGTTGTCGCTGGATAAAAGGAAAAACCACTGGCCGTAAGATATTGTCAATGTAGCGTTGTGCTGTCAGATGATGACAAGTTCCGTCTTCTCGTCCCCGCAAATGCCACCCAAGACCATCACACTTCCGCCCCCGTAAGGTTCCACCTCCTGGACACAACAATGAGCCGTATGTTCACCGCGTCGTCGATAAACTCGCGTCCGCCCATCAGGTTTGAAGAGTTTGAACCTGCTCTCGTCCCTAAACAGCACTCACCGCCATTCCCTTTGTTGCCATCGCTGAGTTTGCCTGCAAAAACGTCAATCTGGCACGTCGATGTTGACGGGTCATGGTCATGCCCTTGAAAGGGCGATAAGCCCGGAGACCATAATGTCGTAGTCGCCTGGTCACTGTTTGTCTGCTGACCTGATGTCCTAAGCTGTTGGCAACTTATGACGTCACAGTAAGAAATCTGTTATTCAGATGAAGTACCCGTAAAAAGCGGTCATCCTGCGGGGTCGTGACCTTTGGTCTGCCACTCCGTGGTCTGTCTGCAGCTCTGCCTGTCTGTCAGAGACGTGCGACCAGTCTGGTAATGGTCATCTTGGAGCAGTTCATGTTCATGGCAACCACTCTTTGTGTCGCTCCCATCTGCAGCATACCTATGGCTCTCTCCCTCTGTACAGCGGTCAGTCTTGGCATGTCCGTTGGTGTTAATCATCGCAACAAGTGACTGGGAACAGATCCGTGCGTAATTTATACCCGAAAATTGCACGATAATTTGGGAAAGAATGTTTTAAAAAATTGCTGAAAAACACAAATATCTCCCAAAATCCGCAAAGCACGTGCAAAGAACGACAGAGAACATGAAGGCTGTATTCGTGAGATGTGTTCTTTACTGTTTTTGAACAGGTTGGCATCTTTGTTTCAAAGTGGCAAATCAGTTAATGTTGGTAACGTTTCTTTTGGCCCTCAGTTTAGTTGAAAACGTCTACATTTAAGTTCAAAAACATTTTAACTTGGCATAATGACCTCAAACTGTCTGTTTTCTTCAGACTGCCCTTGGTCCCTCCCAGACTACAAGAAGCTCCTACTCGCCAGTTTCCGGGACAACGTCAACTGTAAACTGCCGGACAACTGTTTCGGTGTAGAGTGCTGCGTGGACTTCTCCTTCGACATCCCGCTGTTTGAGACCCCCCTCGTCAAGCACGTCCCCTTCTTCCTGAAGTTTGAGCCGTGTAACTTCACTGTGGAGGTCGGCTTCGGGAGCTACTACCATAAGGAAAGACTGTTGGCATACAACTGGGGTAAGTCGTTTGACTGTTGACATACAACTGGGGTAAGTCGTTTGACTGTTGACATGCAACTGGGGTAAGTCGTTTGACTGTTGACATACAACTGGAGTGAGTCATTTCACTGTTGACATACAACAAGGGTATGTCGTTTGACTGTTGACATACAACAGGGGTAAGTCATTTGACTGTTGACATCTAATTTCAACCAGCTTTTTTTCTTCTTCTTTTGTGCACCGTTCTAAGTTATCAATGTGTGTTATTGCTCATGTTTATGACGTATTTCGTGCCATATATGTGTGTGAAGGCATCCGTGTGTGATTTCAGGTGCTAACTAGGGGCATAATCTATAAATGATTAAATTTTTTGCTTATGTCACCAAGGTCAGACATGGTCCCGGGTACCTAATTCTATCGGGAAGAGTTGACTGATATTGGGACCTAAGTTGACCGATTCTGTGTCTTCTTTTCCCGATGACGTGATCGGGACTTGTTTGCCTTATAAGTTTATTTACAGGCCGTGATGGTGTGGCTGGAATATGGCCAAACATTTTATCGATTCTTTCGATGTCGATAACGTCTCAGGCAGATGTGACATACATGTGTCAATCATTAGTTTTAAAATATAAACTATACATTTCGAAATAGTATTTATTGATTTTCTTTAATAGATTTTTTATATTTTGCGCTTCATTTATATTTTCCCTAGGGACTGAAAATCAACAGCAAATAGGTAATGGCAACCCATCTCCAGTGATCATCAAGTGAGTAACCTTTTTCACATTTAGAAAATCTTTTATAATCGCTCTGCAGGAACATAAAAAATGAAATATTTCTTGCATGGCCATGAACAAAACTCTAAATATGTAGACGGTGACAGCTTCTGTGTATTTTATCTATTCAAGATTCACGATCTCCAAGTACCCCAAAGGTTTCCTCGTTGACCTGAGTGTCCACACGTGTATCCCTATAGATGGTGACAGCTTCTGTTACCCAGAAGGAGGCATGACGCTAATGAATCAGGAGAAGGTACCTGCCTGTGATGCTAATGCGCTGGTCGAGTTCACAAAACAAAGTAGGTTCACTTTAGCACAGAAATGCTGGTTTACATTAACTGACAAGGTGTTCGTGATCAGTCTGCTGAACAGAAGATCTAACTTTAAACTTGAAATGTGTCTACTTTTTGTCACCGTGTAACTCCATTTTTTGTCATTTTTATTCTTCTTTTACCCAATTTAGAGGAACTGTAATGTTGCTTAAACATTGTTTCCAAATTTTGTAAATTGTTTTTTTCATGTTCCGTTTTGCATGTATGAGGTTTGTAGCAATAAGATTCACGTTATTGAAAGTTATGAAAGTTATGTTCGTTGAAAATTGGTCTTTCATGGTTAAAAGGGGATTGTTGCCTATCGTTGTAGATTTCTCAGTTTCTGATTGGCTGCGTGACCTTGACCTTGACATCAACCTGAAGTCCCTCTCCCAGGCAGCTGCCAGGATGCTACTGGACAAGTTCGGCATCTCCGAGTACCTGCTGGACCAGAGATGTGATGTGTCTAGACCACCATACAGCCCCACTGTTGACGGCTGGTGGAATGGTAGGAAAAGTTTAATTTTCCAAACACGAATCAATTTCGTTTCGATGGGGTAACCTAATGATTAAAGTGTTAGCTCGTCACGCAAAAGACTCGGGTTCGAATCCCCATTTGAGTACAATATGTGAAGCCCATTTCTGGTGCCCCCGCCTTGATATTGCCGGAATATTGCTAAACTCGGCGCTTTAAACAATACTCACTCACTCACTCACTCACTCACTCTAAGACAATTTCACAGTTCTGCGTGCAGGTAATCTTGTAACATGGGTTTAGATGATTGAATCAACGGCCCTCAATACATTGACGACCAGAAGTTTCCAGTCGAATGTACCTCTCTGAATAAGAACGAAAAACATGATATTTTCATACACAGAATATTACCAACAAGGGAATGAATTACACGTTGTGCTTCAGAATGCCCCAAGAGTATTGGCAAGCTGCCCAAGCTTCCAACAAATCTGTACTGCCACCTAGCGGACACGTGCACCAAGATAAACTGCTGTTTCCACGTCCCCTTTCTGGAGATGTCCTTCAACGCCGTCCTCAACGTCGAAATGTGCGACTACGTCATTTATGCTGCCATCGAGAACAAAACTACCACCATAGGAATGTTAGGGGATGATATTGACCTTGATGCTGGTACGTGGCCTATTGTCGGCTAAGATACTGCTCAGTATTTGATGCGGATAAATGTCAAAAGTAGTAGCGAGGTTTATTTAACTCACTCACTCCAATCTCAAGAAAAAAATCTCCTTTGTAATATGAGGCTGATCAAGATACTGGTTTTCAAGAATATAATGCCATTCTATGAACTTATATTACAAAACAGACGTGCCTTAATATTGTTTCCGTAAGCTTATCATTACCCGAGTTATTATCTGAGTCTCATCATGTGATGGTTCATCTCAAGGTACATCAAAGATGCTGGACATCGCCGATGTCTTCCAGATCAAGTAAGCTACTTTTCCGGAGTGCTGGTAATATTAATTAGCCTCAGTAATGTACTTATATGGTGTAATAAGAGGAAATGTGTTTGGGTGTAAATAAAAGTTTCAACATCTGCAATACGATCCAAAAGTTTATCATTTTCATTAACATAGATTTGGTTTGAAGAAGAAAGACAAGGTTCTGCTCCTTGATCTTGACATCGAGGTGTGCTTGGAGAAGGATTCCTGCCTCTTCTCCATGCCTATTATGAAGGGAACCGAAGTTCCACAGCTTGTCTGCGACCTTGATGCCAGGTGGAATCTAAAGAGTAAGCCAGATCTTGTTTATGGTGCCCCCGTACGGAATCTGGATACCACATAACTTCATAATGTATCTGACCAACTCTGAACAAATAATGTTGTTTAGAACTTTGAAATGAATGCACCAAAGTTGCATAGGTAACTTGGGTGGGTCTTGGTAGTGACATATAGCTACCCACTCAGTTGGGTTAGACATTCAATGACAAAGTATCACAGTTTGGAAGGTTATCCCTTTAGTATTTGCAACACATAGTTGTAATTTTCAGAGGCTAAACTATTTGAAGATGGGGATCCTGGGCGTAGGGTGTTGGGATGATTGCAAGGTGTAGGGGTAGGTGTGTAATTGGTGTGAGAGTGTTCCATTAAATCTACCTACCTATCCATCCATACCCCAATTCACCCTTCCTCCTATCTACCTACCTACCTATAATGTTGTATTCTCCAGACTTCAGTATATCAGACTGGGCCAGGGCCAGGGGACAGGACTTGACCAAGGGTCTAGCACGGACAGCTGTGAACCTTCTGTTGGAACAGCTGGGTATCAAGGACAAGATGCTGGATCCACCCTGTAACCGCAGTAGTCTCAAGTACCAGCCAGCTGATGCGGGCAACTGGAAGAATGGTCATTATCATTAGTCACTTTCATTGCACAAATAGGGCACACTGACTATGTAACCTTATTTTTACACACTATGAATAACATGTTTCAATAACATTACATTCAGGTGATCAGGCATGCATGCGCGATGCCCTGAATAGTTCGTTTTTGTCTTAAGTCTTTTTCACATGCATGTTTGGTCTATAAGACGATTTAGTTCTCTGTTTAAAATGATGCATGATTTACATTTTGTTATAGTGACAATAAGAGGCTGGGGACCACGTGGCACTCATTGGCATCTCAAACAAATTTGGGTCATGTTATTCAAACTCCCTTTTGTATGTCTGTAAAAATATAATGTTGTGATGAATAACAATCAAGAAATTAATCATTACCCTAATCACACACAGACACTCAATTTTTTACACAAATTACTCAACAGGTCAAGACCTGTATCTGGGATGATGGCTTCTCTTTAAAATATTATCATCTTCATCCTTATTTCAGACTGTGACTTGGGCGGAAGCGCTATCACCCTCCCAGCAATAACTCTCCCCGCCAACTGCCACATCAACGACAAATGTCTTGGGATAGACTGTTGTCTCCATAGCAACGTACTTGACCTGTCTCTTCACACTGCTTTCAACATTGACCTCTGTAACTACCTTATTGAAGGCTCCATTGAGAAGTTCAGCTTTAAGCACAGCATTCTGAACTCTATCTGGGGTATGTCTTATATGAAATAATTTGTAATAAGAAGACTTTACAGAAAATACAAGATGAAAGTTTAACGATCGAAAAATATGAAAAAATACGAAAGAAGAAAGAGGAGATGCATCATGTTGTTTTCTGCGATTTTTACGGTAATGTTTTTCGGTTCGTACGGTACATAGTCTTGTTTCAGGAAGAGAAGAAGTAATTACATTCGATGGTGTTCCTCTTCTCAAACTGAGGTAAGTGTTGACAAGCTTATTTTACATCTAATACTTTGCCATCATTACATGTTCTTGGCTTTTTAATGCCGAGCGGTCGGGTAGCCTAGTGGCTAAAGCGTTCGCTCGTCACGCTGAAGACCCGGGTTCGATTCCCGACATGGGTACAATGTGTGAAGCCCATTTCTGGTGTCCCCCGCCGTGATATTGCTGGAATATTGCTAAAAGCGGCGTAAAACCATACTCACTCACTCACTCACTCACTCACTCACTCACTCACTCACTCACTTTTTAATGCCCTGCAAACATGGACATTTAACTTATCTTGGCCCAGACAACAAATCCGATAATACACATGTATATAATCTGACTAAAGCTGGTTACATGTACCTTCAGGTGCATGAAGTTATTTCGAAACGTTTCAATTAAGAATTGACTTCAACATTTTTGCGTTTAGGGAGATATAAAAATAATGTAGGAACAGGTAGTCAATTCTTATAATAACTTAACAGCTTATTTAATCATGAGCATATATTATAGAGAATATGCTACATCAATGACATCGTTTAGAAGAATAAACCACGCCCACAGAAAACAGTAATCCGCTGGCGCTGGAGGGGTGATATAATTTTGGAAGGTTTATGGAAGCAAAAAACATAAAACACATTACTTTGGTAGCTAATCAAATGCCATGGAATTGTGAAAATACTCAATGGCCGGACGGTTAGGTCGGTGATTTGGACGATTGTCTGGTATCGACTCGGGTTTCAAGAGACAAGCAAACAAACACTGTTTAATTGTCCCATGATTTTGATTTAGAAAACCAAACATTGAAGGCTGAACAGTATCTGTCCATGCATCAATGCTTATTAGAACTACAGCTTTGATGTATTCGACATTTTCTGAACTCCAACAGATGGTCCACTGTTCTGTCTATCGGTGTGTTCACAGGTTCAAGATTGATCGGCTTCTGTACCAGCAAGTGTTCATTGTGGATCTGTCTGCGAGTCTGTGTCTGGAGGGAGATGACTGTGAGCTGGATCTGAAGGTGCTGGATCAGACACGACTTCCCATGCCAGGGTGTGCCAAGTTCCAGGGATTCAAACTACAAAGTAAGGGAACACTGTCGGGATATGGCGACGTTGCGATATATAATTTAACATCGAACATTAAGGTTAACTCATTCACTTAAAGGAAACTGTGGCCCACTAAGTAATACTTACTTTGACCTTATATGTCGGAGGGGCGGTGGGGTAGCTCGTCACGCCAAAGTGAGTGAGTGAGTATGGTTTTACGCCGCTTTTAGCAATATTCCAGCAATATCACGGCGGGGGGCACTAGAAATGGGCTTCACACATTGTACCCATGTCGGGAATCGAACCCGGGTCTTCAACGTGACGTCACGCCACGTCACGCCAAAGATTGGATTTCTGGTGTCCCCTGCAGAGATTTGGCTGGAACATTGCTAAAATCGGCGTAAAACCATACTCACTCACTTAAACATCGGATGTTGTTTGTTAATAGTCAATCCACAGATCTAAAATATGAGTTATTGTATTGAATATTAATTTGTCTGGAACCATGTCCATTTCTTATCTCAGATTTCTCTCTGAGTGAGTGGCTAAGGGAAAAGGGTAGTAAGATCACAGCTCAGCTGTCAGCAGTCCTGCTGGAAGAGCTCGGTATCAAACAGTTCCTACTGGACAGACCGTGTCAGGACTACCTGGAACCGTACAGGGGCGCTGTGGGAGGATGGAACAATGGTAGGTGTCCCACTGAGTGAATGTTGTGATGTAGCTGATGGCACATAAATATTTCGTTTGTCATCATCATCGTCTGTGGATTCTATTTTACAAACATCGGTGGGATGTTTAATTTAGAGAAAGCTTTACTGGTCAATACCTGCTGGTATTATTGCTTTATTGACTCATAGGGTTTGGGTAACTTTTGAGATGCATACATTCATTGAAACCTTTTTTCAAAAGATTTCTTTAAAAAATGCCAAGATTATGCCAATGGTTATGCATGGCGCTGAAATCCGGGTCTTGAAGAAATATATCAGCTTGATATAGTCCTGCTACATGCATGTAAACGGTTTCTGAATGATAAATCGTCCGCATAAATATGAGGTGTTAGACTATTGTTCATGGTTTCGGTAATCTGGTATATTTAGAATTTGTGTGTGGACGACATCACAATGCACGAAGAAACCGACTTGTATTTTTATTAGTTTAAATTTGTCCTGCTTATGGTAATATGAAATTGTACCAAACAACTAATTTTTAACTATATTCTATTAAATGAACATGCTTTCATAAATGAAATATAATAAAGGTAGGAATGTATTTGTATTTTGTACATCAAGTAAGAAATACAATTATAAATGTTTTAGCATAAAAACCTGCATGTACCTTGTCGTATACTAAGGCCTGGAAACAAACTGACTGATTCAACTCAGGATAGAGGGGGTATGAGTATGGCCGTCAGTTGATTTAATCAGGTAAGAATGTAGCTAATTAATTTTGACTGTTTGACAGTGTACGGTATATGGTATAATGAGTATAGATATGTTGAAAATTTGCAGCTTGTCCTGAGAACATCACCCTGCCAGCTCTGCCTCCCAACGTCTTCTGTCACGTGACCGACTACTGTACCGGGGTCACGTGTTGTGCCAAGGTGTCACAGGTCAAACGGAACTTCAATGCCTACCTCTTCCTGGACTCCTGTAACTACAACTTAAGAGTCGGTATTGAGAAGCTGGAGTTCAGTCATACACTGTTTAACTATACATGGGGTAAGTTGTACGCTGTTGAACTATACATGGGGAAAGTTGTACACTGTTTAACTATACATGGGGTAAGTTGTACACTGTTTAACTATACATGGGGTAAGTTGTACACTGTTTTACAATACATGGGGTATGTTGTATACTGTTTTGCTATGTATGGGGTAAGTTGTACACTGTTTAACTATACAGTAAAGTACGGTTATAACGAACTCAAAGGGACTACTAATTTTAGTTCGTTATAACCGTAGTTCGTTATAAGCATATATACAACATAACTAAAGTAATTAGCCGGGACCAAAAAGTAAGTTCGTTATATCCGTCAGTTCGTTATAAGCGTGTTCGTTATAACCATGGTTTACTGTACATTGGGTAAGTTGTACACTGTTTAAATATACATGGGGAAAGTTGTACACTGTTTAAATATACATGGGGTAAGTTGTAGACTGTTTTAACTATACATGGGGTAAGTTGTACACTGTTTTACAATACATGGGGTACGTTGTATACTGTTTTGCTATGTATGGGGTAAGTTGTACACTGTTTTACTATAGCCAGGGTAAATTGTACACTGTTTTACTATATCCGGGGTAAATTGTGCACTGTTTTACTATACCCAGGGTAAGTTGAACACTGTTTTACTATACCCGGGGTAAATGGTGCACTGTTTTACTATACCCAGGGTAAGTTGAACACTGTTTTACTATACCCGGGGTAAATAGTGCACTGTTTTAGTATACCCATGGTAAGTTGAACACTGTTTTACGATACATGGGGGTAAGTTGTACACTGTTTTACTATATATGGGGTAAGTTGTACACTGTTTTACTATACCTGGAGTAAGTTGTACACTATTTTACTATACATGGGGTAAGTTGTACACTGTTTAAATATACATGGGGAAAGTTGTACACTGTTTAACTATACATGGGGTAAGTTGTAGACTGTTTTAACTATACATGGGGTAAGTTGTACACTGTTTTACTAAACATGGGGTACGTTGTATACTGTTTTGCTATGTATGGGGTAAGTTGTACACTGTTTTACTATAGCCAGGGTAAATTGTACACTGTTTTACTATATCCGGGGTAAATTGTGCACTGTTTTACTATACCCAGGGTAAGTTGAACACTGTTTTACTAAACCCGGGGTAAATAGTGCACTGTTTTACTATACCCAGGGTAAGTTGAACACTGTTTTACTATACCCGGGGTAAATGGTGCACTGTTTTACTATACCCAGGGTAAGTTGAACACTGTTTTACTATACTCGGGGTAAATAGTGCACTGTTTTGCTATACCCATGGTAAGTTGAACACTGTTTTACGATACATTGGGTAAGTTGTACACTGTTTTACTATATATGGGGTAAGTTGTACACTGTTTTACTATACCCGGAGTAAGTTGTACACTATTTTACTATACATGGGGTAAGTTGTACACTGTTTAAATATACATGGGGAAAGTTGTACACTGTTTAACTATACATGGGGTAAGTTGTAGACTGTTTTAACTATACATGGGATACGTTGTATACTGTTTTGCTATGTATGGGGTAAGTTGTACACTGTTTTACTATAGCCAGGGTAAATTGTACACTGTTTTACTATATCCTGGGTAAATTGTGCACTGTTTTACTATACCCAGGGTAAGTTGAACACTGTTTTACTATACCCGGGGTAAATAGTGCACTGTTTTACTATACCCATGGTAAGTTGAACACTGTTTTACTATACCCGGGGTAAATGGTGCACTGTTTTACTATACCCATGGTAAGTTGAACACTGTTTTACGATACATTGGGTAAGTTGTACACTGTTTTACTATATATGGGGTAAGTTGTACACTGTTTTACTATACCCGGAGTAAGTTTTACACTATTTTACTATACATGGGGGTCAGGTGTACACTGTTTAACTATACACGGGGTAAGTTGTACAATGTTTAACTATACATGGGGTATGTTGTACACTGTTTTACTATACATAGGATAACTTGTACACTGTTTTACTTTACATGGGGTAAGTTGTACACTGTTTAACCATACATGGAGTAAGTTGTACACTGTTTAACTGTACGTGGTGTAAGTTGTACATTGATAACATCAGATGGGTACATTTTACACTGTTACAATAGATACTCAAAATCAGTTCACTATCCAAAGCTGGCAAAATAACAACCAGTGGAATACTTCTTCACAAACCTTTGCACACATCCCATCCTTTTCTGGTAACTCCAGGTGAAATAGACTTTTGCAAAATATTTTAAAAAGATAAACATAGTGAATGATCGCATCATATTCTAATTCATCTGAAATGGTGGTCCACATTATTTTCGGGGAAGGTTTGGGTTAAATTAAAATTAATTGGAAATATACACCTGTCATTTGTACAGGTGAGTTCATAAACGCGTTGGTATTGATTACAATATGTTATTCTTCAAAGGTGAAACAGAAGTTATTGATCTTGGAGGACTTGTACGAATTGAGTAAGTATTTAAGTTATCAATTTATAGTTAACATCTAATCAGTTTTAATAAGTGATATTGAAAGGGATACACATCTGGTGCTGACGAGAACTGTTTGGGTTTAGATCTGAATCAACTTTCCATTGTCATGTTCAATGGAAGTCTAGCTCACTGACTTGGTTGAAGCATGTCATCGATATCAATTGCGTGGATAGATGCTCATGATATCAATCACTGGATTGTCTGGTCCAGACTCGATTATTTACAGACCGCCGTCATATGGCTGGAATATTGCTGAGTGTGGCGTTAAACAACAAACCAAACCAAACCAAAACCAAACCTAGTCTAGAAAGTTGATTGTACTATAGTGTGAGTTAAAGAACGATTTACAGTTCTGATAGAAAGATTTACATCTCAGATATACCATCAACTCGGGTCAGAAGAAGTTCCTGGTGAACCTGAGCCTGAAGGTGTGTCTGACTGCTGGAGAGGAGTGTCAGTTTACCTTCCCTGTGTTCACAGACATGATCCTACCTAAACCATTCTGCGACTGGAAGGCCACCACACAGCTACAAAGTAAGTGTACCATTGGTAGCCTTTCTATTTATGTCTCATATTGCTGGATTGATGTGGGCCTAACATTCCAGTGGAATTATTATTTACATGTATAAGAATGAAGTAAGTTATACATTGAAGGACATGATTATTGAGTGTTTCTCAATCCTGTCATTTGTAATCATAGAAATATCCATATTAGAACATAATGACTACGTGCTAGAACATGATAGCTGTAAGTAAAGACACGAACTTATATAATAACGTTATGTCAAATGATGTTACTTTGCTTCAGATTTCTCCCTGAGTGAGTTTGTGACATCAGAAGGCGCTGCATTGGCGGACATAAGGAAACATGATCAAACGAGCGATATATAGTTCTCTACACAATTGTTTTACCCAGCATATCTAATATTTCTTACCTTATTTATAACGAACATTGATGTTCTTCTTTGACAGCAATGGTAGATGGGTGTCTTTGTCTGCCGTTTGATAATATAATGTAGATACGCAAGAGTAAATGTTTTACTATTTACATTGCAGGTGTCTCCTTTGATTTTTGGAAGTCTGAAAAATGTGCTCTGCAAACTTCCGGTAGGTATATTAATTCTTTTATTTGTATGTTTCTAATACATGATCACACAACGTAGAATATGAAATGAAGAAACATGCAAATGTTCGTAATAAATTAAGAGTTCCTGTAAACAATGGTTATATTATTTGATTGTACCTAAACGCATGATTCTGGTATAGCCGGAATTGTACAATGGCGTTTACATTAGCCATGTGTTCTATTTATGATCCAAGCTTGTCCGGCATCCCTCCCTGCTGCCATCTCGAGCACCTGCCGACTGACTGACAACTGCATGGGAATCACGTGTTGTGTGGACGTCGACCTCAAGTACCTCGGCATCTACACCATCACTGCTGGCATCGAGGTTGACCACTGTAAAGACCAACTTGTGTACCATATAGAGAACAAAGAGTGGATGAAGAAGCTTCAGGCTGTGGACTATGGTGAGTGGAGAGGGTAACTGGGGCAGGAATACCCAAAGAAAAGAAATTCATTGAGATGTTCTTCTTTATGAATTTAGAACAATAAAAGCAAAAGGAAAATAATTGAAATTACATACCATAATTAAAACAATCCATTTGATTTTTATCTTGGTGCTTTCATTGTCTTTGACCATGAACTTTCACATTTTCAACACCTTTAGTGAAATCATATCTAGAGTTGTGAGGATGAAATTTCACATTCATGAATGTCGCTCTTTGGATTATGAAAACATACTGAGCAAATTTTAGATTCATTTCTATTTCAGTCATTTTAAGTCGTATTTTGGACGATGTTTCTTGATGGTATTATGGCAGTGAATGAGTTACTTTGGTTCAACACCAGATTTCAGTTATATCAAGGCGTGTCAGCTTAATGTGGGAGAAAATCTCTCACAAGCATGTGTATGGCACAGACAAACCTATAAACATAATCAGAGCGAATCGGGTTTCGAACAAATGGTCAGAGGTTCCATGCACGCCCATCAGTCGCACAGTGAATTACGGCACCTGAACCACCTATGTCCCCCTATTATGACCGTTGACATTTGATGTAGAAGGATTTAGCATGCATGACATACTTTGCCCAGTTAGTAATACAGAAGCTGCAGGGGTAAAGGTTCTGGGTTGGTTCCTCTAGTATTTGTCCGATTTCTTACTCGTATGTGAGGATTTTCGTTGTTAATATGTACAATAATGGCAAACACTGGTATGTGACCAGGCTGTCAATTGTCATGATGTATTTATTATTGTTCTGTTAGACAAAAACCACACTGAGCCAGTTGGCAACGCCATCACATTGAGCTACGTGATCAGCAAAACGCCATCCTTATATGAGGTGTCCTTCCACGTGAAGGTCTGTGCTATGAACGGGCACGACCTCACCAACAACTGCTACTACTACAAACTCCTGGATGAAAAGACATTCCAGATGCCATCTTCATGTTCGCCTGTTGGACGAAGAAGGAAAAGAAGAAGCCCTTTAGATTTGTTAGTGTTGCATAATCTCTTTACTGAGGACATGTACCATTTCCTTTTTCTCCATTGCTTGTATACGTTAGTTGGAAAGTATGTGGGTTTTACAAAAAAAATAACTCTCTTATATACCTGATCTGTATTTCATAGCCCTGTTGACTACTTTCACAAAGTGTTACATCTATTAGCATTTTCAGTAGTTCAAGTATTGTGCTGATGCGGGACTCGAACCTTTTCAATGTCCCTTGTATACATATGCGTGTGTATATATGCGCTTTTGAGTTCCACAACAGTACAATGCTTCAAACTACAGTAAACTACGGTTATAACGAACACGCTTATAACGAACTGACGGATATAACGAACTTACTTTTTTGGTCCCGACTATTTGCTGTAGTTATACTATATATATGCTTACAACGAACTATGGTTATAACGAACTAAAGTTAGTAGTTCCTCTGAGTTCGTTATAACCGTAGTTTCCTGTATTAGAATTGCTTGAAGATGAATAAAGACTCTTTCCAGCTCATCTTCCAGGAAAGACGTTTAATGGAAGGGATTGTTAGCGTGTGATAAACATACAAATGCAGATTTTGAAATTTACAAAATGTGGCTGAAACTCTTGACATACAAAAACGCGCGTGACAAACATGTTCTGAAAATAAGTGGGAAAGGAAATATAGCTCATGTGTACAACATAATTATTTTCCTGAAAACAAATCCTTTGCTACCAACGTCTTGAATTAGCATGAAACATCCAACATGTTGAGATACGAATTTAAGACAAAATATACGTTCTATAGAAAATTCATCCGGTGTCACTCATGGTAAAGATAGAACTAACTAACGGATGTCTAGGTTTTAACAAGACGTCTTCTATGGCCTTCTCCTTCTTCAGAATACCAACAGGCGATGCCAAGCGGATCCTCAATGAAGCGATGAAACAGAATTTCACGAATGAAGAAATCAAGGATCTGTTTGATAGACTGAAGGCTGAAGCAGTATGATACTGATTTTTATCATTTCTTTATGAATCTTTAGGAAGAATCAAAAATACTCTCGTTAACATATAAGGATTGTTATCCGTTTGATAACAGACGTAAATGACCTTCTATACAGGAGGCTGTATCAGAAACATTTGTAAGAAACATGGTGTAGCAAAAATTCGAAAACTGATAGCCCGAAAGTGACGTATAGTGTTTCATCTGCTGGTGGATCACGGGAATGGCGTTGAAGTTGAGGTTTGGTGATCAATATATTAATCCGTAGGAGTTTTAGACGCCGACATAACTTTGTACTCATCATGAATGGGTTTCTATACTTTACAATCTCCAAAATAACTTAAAAAATCCTTCTATGAATTAGATTTTTTTTTCAAATTTCAGAAATTCAATACATTGAAGTATTTACAACATTACTTATCTGATTTAAATGTAAAGAATTTCATATTGGTCAAGCTTGGTTCTGATGTTCATAGAACAATCATTTTATTTTATTGATATACCTTTATTAAAAGAGAAGACAAAATCTACAAGCTATGTACGAGCGTAACTTAAATAGCATTGAAGACGAGTATCACTTTCTTCTCATTTGTCCAGTTTATTCTGTGACAAGACATAAGTATCTAAAAGACTATTACTATGTTACCAACGTTCTTAAGTTTATAGATATGTTAAATAACTCTCAAATTTTACTATTACACCAATTGTCTATGTTTTTATATATTGCAATGATGTACAGAAAGAAGTTTATTTAATAACAAATATATTGTACCTTTTCAATACCACATATATATTTCTCTACCTTCCAGAAAAGAGACAGCTCACTGAAAATATCACGCACGGATGAAGATGGCACAGCAACCAACACTAAGAGTGCCATCAAGAAGATGGGTTTAGCCAACCCAGGCACCATTCTGTACTCAGGGGAGGTCGGCGGTGGAAACGTCGTGCTGGGCATGGAAGGAGGTGGGTAGTTTGTCTTGTCACGAAATGTGCATAGAATTGATTAGTTAACGGTTGTTTAGACATATCACCTTTTGATTTAATATACGAAGATATGCATCTTGTTTGTCTTGTTGTGGTTAGTTTCTTATACATCTTCTGCTATGTCCATTTGGTATCTTAATTGCAGTTACTATTTTCTTTGGCAGTATTATTTACCTGCACGTAGAGAAGCATTAGTAGTACTCTGTCCTTGAAAGTGTTCTTAGAACTTAGCATGTAATATAAACTATAATTCACCTCTCTTTGTAGGTGTGAACTTGCATTGCTTCATCGACATTTTGTGTGTTTGCCTGCTCTGATTCGATCGCAATGTAATGCCTAATTACTAAAAGCCAGTCCACATATTTCGAGTTGGTATTGTCCATTGCAACTACTATTAGAATGTCTCTGGGTACCTTGGAATGATTTTGTTTGCACCCTGCACAATATGGTAGCCAAGTGGTTAAAAAGTCAAAGACGCCATTCCATAATCACTCATCGCTCATAGGTAGCAGTGTCTATCGTACGATTCCGACTGTCTCATAATCACGTGTTAATGAATCACTATCAAATATGATGAAACCAGGAGTTCGCGAAAAGGTGAGCATACCCTGCTCCACCTGTGGCACCCGTCACAAACACATGCAAATGCATGTCAATTATTCACTTACAAAACCCCCGGAACATATGGAAGTTCAAACTAGGGAAGTGCATCGAACATAATTTTAGTCACAGATGTCAGTCAAATTTGCAAATGTCTTGACAACGGTCTTGAATGTTGTAACCCAAACCATCAAATAACTCTTGAACAAGAGTCGTATGACGCTCATTGAAACAATAAGCCGAAGAACTCGTCAAATTGGTGAAATCCATTATGTCTGTACCCTGAGTGACATGTCTTGAATATTGCTAAATGCAGCGGTAACTGCACTCACTGAGACTCACACACTATCCGGATCTAATTGCCTCATTCGTACAACTTGGGAGGGCAATTGTTGGTTAAATTCCTTGTTAAGAGCCTCTTATTTCAGTCACGTTTTAGTACTGTAACTGGTGTTCCCAGGCGAGAAGATCATGAAGGTCCTGGGTCAGGTCACCGACATCCTGGGTCGCGGGGATCAGGCGTACACTGTGGGGAAAGGTCTGACTGGGAAAGGACTGCAGCTGCTCGGTGCTAAACTTGCCAACATGAGCATCGGGGAGATGATCGCATTGTTTGATGCCAAGAACATCGACCCTGAACTTGCTCTACGTCTGACGAGACAACTGAGAGATCTGGCTCTTGCCCTGGTAAGGGACATTCACTATATCACGACAGACGTGTGTTTTGAGTGTACTTACAACGTTAATGCCTCTGCACTGCTAGGTTGTTCTCTTGGGCAGTGGACGTGATGTTTCGATAATTAATATGACATTCAACACCTTTCCCTTTCCTTGGCATAACATATCGTTTTATCAGTGTCAGTTTCTAAGGCAAACTTTCCTCTCCACAAACAGGAAACGTCATACTTGCATGTACCATGTTGATGCTATGTCTATCAAAGGTCAAGTTAATTTTGGTCAAGTTCTGGAAGAACTATCATTGAACAGTGCTTGGAAACCCTTCTTATATCAGCAATGACGGGGACATTTATCTTGATACAGATACAGGAATTATTTAGATGTAGACGTGTACTGCATGTGCTAAAAGTAAGACCAGCATGTATCATCAAAATACTAGTGTCTGTTGTAAAGTAAATGATATTCTCTGCCTTAAGCCAGCTCTCCCCGTATAATCAGCAATCTGAATTTCAGTATTCCGAAATCATCAATGCCGTCATCAATGGCGATGGGGCCAACGCATTCAGCTCATTTGACATTACCCTTCAAGGAGACTTCAGCATACCTAGACAAAGCATCAACTTCTTCCGCTACAAGTATAAGTTCCTGATTGGGGGACTTGTCCCCATGAACTTTGGTGAGTGTTGAGTTATGCTACAATCATGCTAATAAATTGAAATAAAACTGATTCTGCATGACATGGAATGTTTATCTTATGTTTCTACATCCAGATTAAGAGTGTTGCCACTGTCACACGTCACATTGAGTACAGTTTCTTTCTTTCAAGGGGCGATGGAGTAGTCGCCTTAGGGTTAAAGCATCGCATGGGTACATTGTGTGAAACTCATGACTGACCCACCATGACATGACTGGAAAACTGCTTGAAGTTCACTCGTTTGTTCACTCACTCAATACTTTCCCAAAGGTTTAAATACAACTAGGTGGTCAAAGTTAATAGTCTAAGGAGACGCAACTTGACATGGACCATTGCGTCCCACTGATTTAATGTCATATTCGCTTTGATTATGATCCCTGATCTTCACCATACTTATGCATTTATCTACTGACATTGTCACTTTGGGTTTCCTCTTTCATACTGTTTTGAACTTCGCTCAGCATGAAAATCTTCTTTTTCATGTCTTCTATTTACAACTACCCACTCAGACACAGTACACTGACTCCGAGCCAACCAGTCTCTGTTTTATCCCATAATGCAAAGCAGGGTGCCAACAAGTACCATATTTTAATGTATTTTTTTTTTTATGCGACCGAGGATCGAACCCCCGACCTTCCACTCTCCGAGCAAACGCTCCATCCACTAGACCATGGAGGCGGTCCTTGAAACTGAAACTCCTCTTTATGCATGTAAACCACTGAATCACTGTATTAAGCCACTGAATCACTATATTCAGCTACTAAATCACTGTATTAAGTCACTGAATCACTGTATTAAACCACTGAATCACTGTATTAAGCCATTTAATAACTGTATTAAGCCACTGAATCACTGTATTAAGCCACTGCAATTTCAGAATTCGGAGCTGGAGCCACTTATGGAATGGGAATAGTTGCAGGAGCTAAGATCCTTGGCATGACGGTGTTTGGTCAAGTCGTGCCCTATGGAAGTGCCCATGTCTACGGAGAGCTTGGCATTGGATTAATACTGTATGGCAAACTGAGATTTGACGGCTACCTCATGAATATTGCTTTCCCATCCAGGGCTGAGATAGGGTTCTATAAGTTTCCACTTAATTTAAGGTGAGTATACTCAACTAACTCATATAATACCAAATACCTGTCTGTCCCACTATATATTCTTTTTTAAATTCATCTAGACAGCCTAGGTCACCATCCTAATTAACGAGTGTGATATTAGTAGTGTGTTTAAAAAGCTCAGTAATGTTTGAGAAAAGATTATATTTACATTTTTCGTGTTTGCCAGCTTAACTTCAGAGCATTTCAAGGGCTTTGGTCCTGCTCCACATTGAAATGTTATCGTTATTGTTTTCGTTTTTATTATTTTAATTTATTTTTTATTATATTGATATTTGTATCGTAGCATCGCCTATGCGCATGACGATAATCCTCCTAAGTCTAGACATGTTAGACTTTGGCACCATGTAGAATAAGGACGCCAGGTAAAATGAGCATTGTGTAAGTAAATGAGTACCTTGTACAATTACAATATTATTGCAATGAGACTCATAATACTAATGTAAAACTATTGCAACATTAAAATGCCACCAATGTGTTCTCAATTTTGTTCTCAAAAAAGTAAAAAATTACTCAAGGAATCATGTTCCTCTTTTGCAACATTTTCTAGTTTGACCATGGATATAGAACTGGTCCCTCTCGAGATGACCCTGCGAGGTCTAGTCACCCTGGAGGTCAACCTCTTGTTAGATAAGATCAAGAAGATATTGTACAAGGCTGTCATCTGGCGATATGCGACTCCTGTGATAAGGAAGAGACTGATAAATACAGGCAAGAAGGAGGAGGACACGTCTCCACCACAGTTCCTCAACTATGTGGACAATACTGTACGTTGTAGAATAGTATTAAAGTATAAATTTCAGATGCTATCGATAGCATTGGGCGTTTGCATTTCTCAATTGCTTAGGTGCTTTACAAGTAAGCTTTTGAAACAAGATTACTCCACCAAAAGTCCCAGTTAGTCAGTCCAGAAATTGTATGCTTGACATTCAGGTGAATTTACTAAATGTGACACGTCGCTTGCCAAAGGGACAAAGCAATGTGTTTATTATCTGTGTACATCAGGGAGGTTCTGGACGAAAGAAGAGGGCAGTGTCCACATCAGGGAGCTGCTTAGTGAGACAACTCCCCGATAGAGACTACTCAGAGCCGGCTGTAGAGATAGCCATAGCTGCCCAGGATGACCGGAGTCAGGTCCAGATCTTGTTGGATGCTGGGACCAAACCTGGACTCAGTGATGTGCTCAGAAGAGTCAGTCTTGGTGGACCATCTACAATTATCACTCAGGTATGCAGGAAACGTCATCATAGCCTGTTTTAAAATGGCTTGGAATTATGTCCTTCATGGTCAGTGAATGTCGGTATGATTTCCAGAATTATTCAGTGTTTCTTTCTGATGAGCATCAAGCTTGAACCTTTTGGACAATAATACCCTTCCCCTTGTGTTGATCTGACTTGAATCCTCATTTTGGACAACACAGTCCTACCCCCTTGTGTTGGCCCTGAAGTAAATCAGCCTTTGAGATAACACTGCCCTTCACTATTGTGTTTGCCTAGAGTGAATAAGTTTTTGGAACAACACTGCCCTCCTCCTTAGTGCTGGTCTGAAGTGAATCAGCCTTCGTGTTCGCTTGAATAGAATCAGCCTTTAGGACAACACTCCCACTCCCTCGTTCACTGAGGTAGTTGATTTCATTGCCTTAAGTCTGTCCTTACCATGCTGACTCGTACTACAAAAATAATATAGTAAGATGTCAAAAACAAAACACCTTGAATACGAAGATAATATATTACCATTATTAGAAGTTGATGCCATTCCTTCATATAAATAAATATTCAACATGGACTTTCGTATTTATCTTGAGCAGAGCGGAAAGCATGATATTTGTCAAAGGTGCAAAACAGACTTACCTTCAAGTATCTGTATGTTGATAACATCTGTATGTTGATGGACCGCCTCCGTGGTCCAGGGTATAGAGCGCCTGCCCGGAGAGCAGAAGGTTGGTGGTTCGGTCCCGTCGCCACGTCATACCAAAAGACTTTACGCGTTATTACTTCCCCAAGTATCGGCATTAAGGGGAGACTCGTAGGTAGCATATTGTCTATATGTGAGAGTGGTATTCATGTTTAAGTGCGGGATGGTATCTCAGTTGTCTAGCACTATAAATCTGGCATAAGTCCAGACTATTACAAGTAGACACACAGACACAGAAATGCGCGTCGATAAAAAAGTGGATGTGTTTGTAATGCAATGTTAAAACCCATTTGATCTTACCTCACCTGTTATTACAATAAAGATATTTCAATACTTCATTTTGAAGGGATCCTCTCAGTATATATACATATCCATGTTGTAGCGATTTTCCAAGAATGGCTATGGCGTCCCCATCTTTTTCACTGTGTATGGTGAGAACAGTGCTGGCGCGAGATCCACCGTGACTTGCAGCATCCCAACCTATGACGTCACGCCTCCTGGTGGCAGACTTACATCAGACTTCAGTTCAACTAGTAACCCAGCTGAGCTGAGAGGAAATGTGGTGGTGTATGAAGATTCAGATCTGATTAAATCTTCCGTGGGTGTTGGACTGGGAAGGGGAATCTATGGAGATGAAGTCATAGCCTACAACTCTGTCAATCTCAAGGACAGGACCAATGCACACTATGACCGTAAGGAAAATATAACTAATACCATGAAAAACTGATTGACTTTGTATATTCCAAGAACCAAAACAAAAACCAAGGCCTACAAACTAATTGTGGATGACTTAATAATCAAAATCATAAGTAAAGGGATATGAAATGTTATCAATTAACATAGATCAACAAAATATTTGGAAGACAATAAATGTTGAAACTAGGGTTAGTGAATAGTAATCAAGATTGTTATTCAACTTTTGCAATACTAATAAACTATTTTACTTTACGAAAAGGTGGGGTGGGGTAGCCTAGTGGTTAAATCGTTCGCTCGTCACGCCGAAGACCCGGGTTCGATTCCCCACATGGGTACAATGTGTGAAGCCCATTTCCGGTGCCCCCCGCCGTGATATTGCTGGAATATTGCTAAAAGCGGCGTACAACCATACTCACTCACTCACCCACTTTTCGAACAAGTGACACCATCTATGTTACTGTAGTTAAAGCCTAAGTGATACACATTGAAGCTTTGTCATTGCCAATCAAGAATCCGTAGATCATTGTATTGCATTGCTACAACAACCAGGCCATGGTGAACAGTTCATTCAATACGGATACTTGTTGCGCATACTGTCTTTTTATACGCAGTAAATAATATGTCATTTCCCGAAGGTTGAAATCTCCAAATTATATATGATCGTATTTAGCAGGCTGGATATGTGAAAGGCGATTGTTGTTACTCCTTACAGCTTCATCTGATAATTTTGGCCACGAAGCGCTGAAACATTTCACGGGTCTGAAGGACGGCCGACTGATTGGTCCGGTGTTTGCCGAGTTCTTCAGTATGAATCATGCCGGGTCCTGTGTGAAGGAATGTATGAAGTTCCCGGAGACCAAGTGTATGAGCGTCAACTACGACTACGGCCCTAAAGGACATTGTGAACTATTAGAGGGCATTGAAGGACACGACCATAAAATTTTCATTGTGAGCTTATATTATGCATTGTTATGTGATAAACAACTCATGTATGCGATGTCGATTTTTATGGAGCTTTAGATCGGAGTACAACAGAGAAATGGGCATGTCTTCAGGTTTTAAAGTCAAGTCAAAACTTGACGGTACTGATGCGTGGTTTTCGCAGATTTCTACCTCGGTTAACTCACTGGCCTTACATGGCAACATAGCTGGGTAGAATAAATGGGCAGATGTGAGGAGATTTAACTATGAAGGATCCCGGAAGGGTGAGCTAGACTACCAAACTAAACATTCGACTCCCACACTTTCAAATGACAACAAGCTGCCAATATTGGCGCTGACTCATTTGAAATTCGTCCGGCGATAAAAACGAATACCGGTGATAAAAATCCACGATTACTACATTATCTTGAATTTGCTTGCTGTACAAAGATGTCAAACAGCTTCTTGTCATGACACTTCAAAATCTATGAAAACAATCTTGACTTGAGCCTGTCATGTCAGTACGAAAGTACCAGCCAAGAAATGTGCAGTCGCAATGGCAAATCAAATTAATTCCTTCATTTCAGTATAAAACGTATTCTTTCAATGATTAAAGATATGTGTATACAACAAGGTAAATGCGATTATGTAGTGACAAAAGATTGCCCTAAGCTTTAATTTTTCCAAAACTTATCTATTTAGCTCGCAGGGGTGTTCTAGTATGTGACTCTCCATTTACATTTTGCACATTGTGTATTCATAGGCACGTTTCAGCCATTATAAGTACACATAGACATAGCTATATTTAGTAAATAATTAATACAAACGTCGTTGGTAATAAAAACAGGATACAAAACTAGTCATCATTTCATAACGAGATTATGTCACGAGTGGAATATGTTTTTACTCTTCCCGGGCGAGGGACAGAAAAAATATTCATAAAATATAAGGGAAATCTGAAGCTCCTTTAATATTCTGCAATTATTGCATTGATTTTACATTTAATTAACACAAATGGTTCGTGACGGTTTTTTTATGTATGCATTATGTAATATATGGTAACCAAATATCATGTTTATCCTTGAAGTCTGATCAGTATGCTCACTTTGAGAGACTTGGAGTTGGTCTTGCCCACGAGTTCATCTACAAGGATCTGTCTCTACGTCATGGTGTCATGTACTACTTCAACATCCACCTCATCAACGACCTTCAGTTCGAGTCCATCCTCCATAGCAAGGGTGTTGTGGTGGATGTCACACCTCCCGAGCCAGGTAAGATGTTACTTGACCTTGATCTTTTGTATGATAGTATATTGTATATCCTTGATCTGTGAGGATTGACCACAGAGTTTTCAGGTGAAGAAAATACTTGTGTTTGGGACGAGTGCTATCAGTGGGCAGGATACGCTCTCATTTTCGCGAACACCTGGTATAATCACTATTTGATAATGATTCATTAACGCAATGTTATGTTATTGTGTCACTGGCCTGTCAGAATAGGCCATGGGGTTACCAAACTATCAAAAACGTGACAAATGTCAATCTCCTTAGGTCACCTTGTTTGAACATGTGATTTATATGAGCGAGAAATTGTTAAATGAGTCGTGTTTTCCTTATAGTTAATTACTTGGGAAAATACATTGCTCACTGAATACAAAGATGTTCTTGTTCTACTTTCAGCTATTTTTTGTACTTGATGACTTGAAAGAATAACGTTAACACCTGAATAAGATTTTGTGATGCGTTTTCAAAAAAAACGATCGATACCATTTCTGTTTCAGGTCCACTGGCTAATGTGAGTCTGGATGTACTGGAGGTGACCTCGTGTGAGAGTGTGGTTCCAGATGACAGACCGGACTGGGAAGTCAGGTGTCGAGGTGTTAACAGTCAGATAAAGAACCACAGGTGAGAGACAGTTTTTCATAAACGTTACTATATTCAAGACAGGGTTTATTGGTCAGAATTTGTGACAAAACCCGAAGAAAACAAAAGTAAACTTATGTTTCTATTCTTGTGATGATGTGAAATGAACAATTAGGTTTACCTTGTATTCATCTACATGTCTTATATTTATAAAAAAAACTTCTGAAGTACTTAACTTAAAACAATCAGTTGAAACTGGCTTATAACCTTCTGCACATGCCTATCAACATCTCTCGGTGCTTCTGAAGCACGTAACTTAAAACAATCAGTGAAAACTGGTACAAGGCATTTAACCTTATGCACGTGCCTATCAACATCCCCTGCCGCTTCTGAAGCACGTAACTTGAACCAATCTGTGGAAACTGGAACAAGGCATATAACCTTATGCCTGTGCCTATCAACATCCCCTGCCGCTTCTGAAGCACGTAACGAACCAATCTATGGAAACTGGAACAAGGCATATAACCTTATGCACGTGCCTATCAACATCCCCTGCCGCTTCTGAAGCACGTAACTTGAACCAATCTGTGGAAACTGGAACATCTCCTGGTGTGGTGATAGGTTCAAGGTTGCTTTTAGAACCTATTTCAGTTTTCTTTTCTCGGAAGAATATGTAAAGATCACAGATTTCTCAGATCACGGAGCCACCTTTGTACGTGGGTCATGTGAACTTGAGTTCTTACCTGGGACGTGAAATTACTTCTAAATGTAATCGTTGTGTTTTCAGGATAATTCATGACGGCACTGGGTCAAAAACCCTTTTCAATGGAGACACACCCCTCGCCGATCTCTTGTACACCAGAGCAAACAGATACGTATCAGGTCGGTGAAATATTATAGTTTTTAAAAGGAATTTCAACTATGTGAAATTTATTTCGGGAATACGAATTAAACCGTTATGTTGAAATATTTTAACTTGTCCCGAAAATACTACTTATATCCATGTATCGTTATGTTCTTAGTTCATTATCCATAATTTTGTATGTATTGTCTTTTTAAAAAGGGGTGTAAGTGTTTTGAGGCCAGATTTATTTGAATACATTTGGTATTCACTATAAATAATTTCTAATATAATTTCAAATTTTTTATAAACTAGGCAAAGTTCAATGCTAACGATCTTCTCATATATAAACACTTCTGTGACTGTAGATTTTATGGGTTATACCAAACTGAGTTGGAATAGTTTTTGTTTAACGGTTTTGCATTATGCTTCAGTGGCGTATACCATTTCATTTAAACACTATTTCCACTTGATATCATTTCGAAAGCATCACGTCCAATGCTATGACGACGTGTCCCTGTTTCAGCTAACTGGGACGGCATCATGGATAAAGAGACTGGCATCCTTGGCTACTCCTGGACCGTGGGGAGACAAATCTGTGAGGAGCTGATCCACCCTCATCATGACCCTCACAGGCACCTGTTTGACGAATCAGAGTGGACCAACACTGGCCTCATTTCCCCAATACCAGCTCCTTACGACCCCCTCCCAGGTAAAACACAAGTGTGAGGCTTTTAAAAATATGACAACGCAATGACCTAAAATATCACTTAGGATTGGCCTCTCACAAGAAGATCGTCCAACCTTACAAAAATAATGGATGTATATACTGATATGAGTTGCGCAGTTAATAAGCCCTCAATAATCACTTAAAAGACGAGGTGATTGTGTGGCGTAGCTCGATGGCGATGTTCAATGCTCTTATCGCTCTGTAAGTGCAATAATATTGAACATGGTTGATATTTTTTCAGATCATTAGGGATGGCTTCAGAGATGATTTTGGTTTTGTTTCAGATGGGAAATACTATATCACACTCCGTGCCTTGAACAAGGTTAGCTATGGAGGTCCGCTGGGGACAACAATCTGCCACACCACGCCCCTTGGAATAGACAACTCGCCCCCCCTCCTACATGAAATCTATAACATCTCCTACGCCGAAGAAACCTTCTTCATCAATGCACAGTATAATGCCAGGTAATAATTTGTTGTGTTTCAAATGCTGTATTGCTACGTAAAATAAATAAATAATAAAACCCATTCATATTGGAACATCAACATTACCTCCCTTTAAATATTTAGTGACAAGTATTACAATTTAGTTCATCCATTCACAGTGACCCAGATTCAGACATCAAAGAAGTGGACTTGTGTCTGGGACAGACCACACGTGACTGTCATCACATGGACTGGCAGAGATCTTCGCACAGTGAAGGCTACATCACCCGTCAGTTCCAGATCCCAGGTGGAACTCCTGTCTGGATTAAAGTCAGGGTGATCAACAATGGTGAGTCATATAAAAGGTGTTTTTAAGGTGATGGATACGTCGCCGCCTGTTCCAGATCCCGAGTGAAAGTCATGGGTGGATTAAGGTAAGAGTCATCAAAAATGTTGAGTTATAATAACAGGTTCCTACACAGTGATGGCGATATCACCCGCCAGATCATGATCCCAGGTGTAACTCATGTCTGGATTAAAGCCAAAGGCATTATACACGCTTGAGACCCTATATTGTTATGATATCTTATATTGTGATGACATCAAGGAACTTAAAGACTTGATCATAATAAAAATATTGCTGTTACAAACGTTGATCTCTTTATTAAAAATAACCACATTCATCCTGATATTTCAATAGAAATGGCACCGTCCGGAATAACGACGTTTCATTGTGGAATAAAATCATTACCTGCATCACGTCACGTTGTATACAGATGATATGCCATCAGTGAGGTTGGTTAAAGGTTCTTTTGCAAAACTTGTCAGCATCTCGATGTATAGACACCAACAACAATTTGTTTGTTTATTGTTTAACTCCGCTGTCAGTGATATCTCCTCCGACCCACGTCGCAGGGGTTCATGCAACATATAAGATCTGACGTCCCGATCCTCACCAGTCTCCTTTTATTCGAAGGATAGGTTGCTGAAGATCAATTTCTTATCGTGGTGTCATAAAAACAACCTCAAACGTTTTGTAAATATCACATTCTAAAGAAATCCATTATTAATTGTGTGTTTAAGTTGATTTGATGAAAGTGAGCGTTTCCGACCATCCGATCATAGTCGACACATCACCCCCTGAACCAGGCATTGTTTATGATGGACCCGTCTTCAGACTTGACCTCAACTTTACCAAGGATGCTGACAAGGTAGATTTTTACTTCACAAACACGTTCTTTGTAAATAGTTGATAGCTAGGTGTTAATATTCCATTTTAATTGATACACAGCCTCCAGTAACCGATAAAGTTGCACAAAATGCATTATGCCCAAAACTTTTTTTCCCTTTAATAATGGTCTGATTTTATAATCTGATCTTTTTATTCCAGATTTGTGCAAACTGGTTTGGGTTTTATGATCCCGAGTCTGGTATTTCCCACTACGAGTTGTCGGTTCTTGATGACACAAACACAACGATCTCCGAGCCGGTCAGCCTTGACCACAAGACACACGAGACCTGTGTCCAGCTTGACCCTGACAAGAGGCTCGAACACGGCAAGGCCTACAGCTTCTATATCACCGCATTCAACGCTGGTCACAAACAGCTTTACGTATCGGCAATGTCTGATGGAGGTAAAACAATGTCAGATGGAGGTAATACAATGTCAGATGGAGGTAATTCAATGTCAGATTAAGGTTTTGCAATGTCTCCTGAGGTAATACAATGTCTGCTGGAGGTAATACAATGTCAGATGGAGGTAATGCAATGTCAGATGGGGGTAATACAATATATGCTGGAGGTAATACAATGTCAGGTTAAGGTTTTGCAATGTCTCTTGACGTAATACAATGTCAGAAGGGGGTAATACAATGTCAGGTGAAGGTAATACAACGTCAGAGGGAGGTAATACAATGTCAGATGGAGGTAATGCAATGTCAGATGGAGGTTATGCAATGTCTGCTAGAAGTAATACGTTGTCTGCTGGAGGTAATACAATGTCTGCTAGAGGTAATACAATGTCGGATGAAGGTAATACAATGTCAGATGGAGGTAATGCAATGTCAGATTAAGGTTATGCAATGTCTGCTGGAGGTAATACAATGTCAGATGGAGGTAATACAATGTCTGCTGGAGCTAATACAATGTCAGATTGAGGTAATGCAATGTCTGCTTGAGGTAATACAATGTCAGATGGAGGCAATACAATGTCAGATGGAGGTAATACAATGTCAGATGGGGGCAATACAATGTCAGATGGAGGTAATACAATGTCTTCTAGAGGTAGTACAATATCAGATTGAGGTTATGCAGTGTCAGATGGAGATAATACAATGTCTGCTGGAGGTAATACAATGTCAGATTGAGGTAACTAAACTAAATAAATATACAGATACATCAACACTATCTGATCATAATGTATGACACATTTCTCCTCGTACACATATTGTTGAATTGACATTCTACATACTTGTGGATATATTTGTGGATAAAGTCTATCTACAAGCAATGTTGAGTAGGAGCTGTAATGGAGATTATCAGATACATGGACAGAATGTAAAGTTTAATTTCATCCCAAAAATAGTAAGCACCGTATTCTGCTCTGCATCAAAGTATGACTCATATATGACCTTGGGTCTTGGACTACAACTACCACCACTCCCCACCCCTATCCTCTTCACTCCCCACCCCCATCCCCATGCTCACCAATACCCATCTCCACCCCGCCTTCATTACTCCCCACCCCAACCCCTTCACTCCCCAACCCCACCCCCATCAAACCAACACACTGTGATTTCATTGGAATAATGTCACTATTCCAGTGATCGTGGACCTGACTCCACCGGTGCTGGGTGAAGCTGTTGACGGTATACGGAACGGCTTTGACGACGTTGAGTTCAGTACCAACGTTGCCACAGTAGGAACCCAGTGGAGGAACCACAGTGACCCCGAGTCAGCCATCAGAGAATATGCAGTACAGATACTCAGAGCAAAGTAAGAGGGCAGTAAATCACTGAGGAAACATTTGCTATATATAATGCTACAGTGACTCAAACATGTTCTTATGAAATGCAATTTATAAATGTGTATGATGTTAGTGCTGAATAATATTATTCGTAATTATGGCACTATTGTAACATGAAAGAGCAGGATTTCATATATGCAGCGTATACTTAAGTGAAGAAAAACATTTATCATATAACGGGTAGGTTTCTCGGCAGGGTAAAGCCAACGGATAAAAACGATATCCGTTGGGTTCATATGCGGATAGAGATGCAAATATCAAAGTTCAAGTAGGGACTACTTTCAGTGTTTATAAACAAACATGGCGTCGCCCTCGTCATTCGGCGATCGAGTCAGAATTAACCATCGGGAATGTGGATAAACTAAAGGGATAATTGCCATCATTATCAAAAGAACAATCTAATATGCTGAAAATCAGTGTCTAACTGTGACGTAGCTAAGGCATTTTAAAAGTTTTGGCAACTTTGGAGATATAAATTTCGATACAATTTTGCGAGGGCACGAGGCCTAGCCAAGCGGGATCAGTAGCCATATCTGTGCTTTTAGACCTCTGCGGCTTGAAACCTTCTCCACAAATAAAATAGTTGGATTTGGCCGAAATATGTTTGAATTGTTACCTTGTTTCGTTTTGTCGCCAAGGCTCGCTAAATACAATGTTTATTCCTAATGCAGGATATTTACCATCCCGAAACACACTCGCGTGATAACCTCTATTTATTATTTATATTATGAAATAATATCTTGAGGAACATATTTATGCTTACATAGTCTTCAGCGGGATATTTGGGGAACGTCTATTAATATATGACCACAAAGTCATTCCTTCATATCTATGAGTCGATAATCTGGATCAGGTAACTTGAAAAGAGACCGAAGGATTGTTGGAACACAATGTACATGTATTCAACTCTTGGAATATCCCACCACAGTATGATACTCAGATACAGCGATTATGTTATGGCATCTCTCTGCTGTGTTTAAACGTTCCCTACCGACTTCTTTGAGAGGCATTTATAAGTTGGAGTACTAAGTGAGGATAAGATATATCGATGAACAACTTCTTTATTACAATGAGGAGCAACGTTTCGGCTTTTAACATTTGCTTGAAGATGGTGTTAGATCCTACACTGAAACGTTGCTCCTAATTGTAATAAAGAAGTTATTCATCGATATATCTTATCCTTCCTTAGTTCCCTACATTCACCACGCACTGTACGTTTATCTATTCTAGAGGGTTGTCGTCAGACTTTGAGGTAGTAAAGGACTGGAAGACTCTGGACAAAGACGTCAGCCAGATCGAGTGGCACAACTTCCACCTGAACCATCAGGATGTTGTCAAGACGACGCTGAAAACCATCAACAACGCCCTGGGGACTGTAGAACAGACAACAGATGGGTTTGTAGTGGATCTCACTCCGCCCAGGATGGTGTTCCTAGGTGATGGACGTGAACAGAACAAAGATGCGGAGTTCCAGGTGAGGCTGTGGAGTGAAAATGAAAAATCAAACATCATGCTTTATGCAAGCCATTTACTGTTCCAATGACTAGGCGTTATAAATATATCTACCTTTCATTATGTTTGACACAAATGATATGGTCTGGATTTATAATTGACATGAACAGAACAAATATTCAGTGATCGAAATGGGTAATATGTAACCCTAATCACAGTGCATTCATTGGATGTCATATGCTGTCTCCACTATTATTGGGCTGATAACCACATGGTCTCACATTTTGTTTTGTCTGTTCGTCACATTATAAGGATATTGCGATTATTATAAATTGTTTTGTCTCCGATATTCGTCACATGACTGGTTTAGGATCAATTATATTTGCATCAACTTTTCCAGCATCAAAACAAATTTGTCTTCTATACCCCGTGTTATGTACACTACACATTGGCATTTATAGTACATGTATGTGTGTATCCCCTACCTCAGCTCTCCTCAGCAAGAACGTCATCCCATACATTAACATGGGTTTATCCACTAAGATGTTTACATCATCCATTAAGAATAGTTCGTGTGTACACATCTGCTAGATGTCTAGCATCATATTTGTTCTGAAAAGTAAATGAATTATGCTTTATCAGAATACGGTAACAATAAAACCGTGAAGAATGTGAAAAAAACAAATTGAAGACAAATTTATCGCTATCATGCCATCTATTTGAAAAGGAATGTTTTAGTTTACTGAGACTTTGATTTGAACAAATAATGAGCTGTAACTAATTAGGGGATAAACATGCTGTGTTTTCTACCATGACTTTGGAGTTAGCAAATATACTGAGTGAAGTGGCATGGGTTGAGTCCAGTGTTTTGAGTGGGTTATCGATCTTAATTACGGAATCACCGAACAAAATATGACGCTGTATATACTCAAGCAGTTTTTTAAACGGTAATACTTCACTCGAACAGGCATTGAAAGCACGGCAACTTGGTAAGCTAACATGTGGTGTGCACCCCTAAAGAAAACAAAGCAAGTTTTGCATGGCTTTCACTCTACATCGCACGTCAACATTATGACGTCATATCGCGCATTGTGACGCAAAAGATGTGACGTCACAGTCGTATATAGAAAAGCACCAAATTCCAAGCTCTCTATTGTCTCCAAAACGTAAATACATTCCCTTTGTAGATTTCTATCGTGTTTTCTGCATGAAATGTATTGCCACACATCCTTTGAATATTGTAATACCCGCATCTGTGTATTTTGTAACCTGTAAATGTAGATATAATTATTTAAATATGCCTACCGACATTGACTGAAAATAGTACTATTCTATGAATATTAGCTTCCGCGGCGATGCGGCCGTCAAACCAGCTGTTTAAATCAGAGGGGGTTTATTTTGATTTAATAGCCTCTGATTGACCCATCAGAATCGAATAAATTCCAAATTCATGGTTGAATAAATGAAATGTTCAGGGGAAGACGTTTTACAGTTGACAAATGGGGGAAACTGTAGAATCGTTTAACAATGTCTTGTTGGTTTAAGTATATATTTCGTATGGGGGGAACTTCTTAAACCGCAAGGGGTCACTGGGTGTTTTCCGGGCTCTGCTTGTATACTGACACCTCGACATACATATTCGCAAACACCAGGAAGGATTCTTTCGTTGGTGTTCGTGTCTATAAACTCATTTTCATTTTATTTGAATAGAGATATGAATGCACAAAATGTTTCGTCCTTTTGTAAACTCATGTTATCTGCCACTTGGGATAGTGCGGCTTTTAAGGGGCTTAAATTTAACTGAACTGAACCCACCCATTTTAAATTAACTACACATTTTTCATGATTTAATTGCAGCTATCTAGCACAACTGTGGAAGCCAACTTCCAGTTTAAAGATGACGAATCTGGGTTGGACCATTACAAATACCAGGTGTATGAGCTTTACCATGGGTCAAAACATCAGATCTACCCGGGTAAGTGATCTTGTTACATAACTGTATACAATATTTTTAGGGAATACCTTCAACAGCTGAACAAAGAGTGGCACAAGTTCAGAATATTTACATCAATATCATAATGATGTCTCCAAGACCAATAAGTAAGTTCCTGATTCCGCTGGAACAATTCTCAAGTATTAATATCACGGTACGAAATCTTAATGCTGGAGACAGCCCATGTGACACATAAGCATGGGTATGGTGTTGACGAGCATACTATCTGGTATTCAAACCTACGACCAGCGAATCTTGGCGCAGCTAAGGGAAGCACATTCCAACAAGGAATTTATATTACCCATGCCTTCTTTCTTAATTTTTCAAGTTGCACTAATCCCAACGTGACTGTAAGATACAACTCATTCACTCGTTTTGGAACGCGAAAATTCCTAATACAGAATCATATACCACTCAACTTAAAATTTTGGGGGTATTTTTATACATTTTATGTATCTTTCCGTTTTACACAAAATTGAATACCATAATATGTCAAGAGTATACCTGAATAGATATGATTATCGCTGCCACATGTTGTGTAGTATACATGCTTGGAAGCATCCTGAAGTGAATATTTCCCCCTGAAACAGGCTCAGAAGGTTGGGAGATCACCAGCGACCCAGGCAGCACCAGTGTCATGAAGTCTGGCTTGAGTCTCCGACCAGGCGCCCAGTACAGTGTGAGAGTCGGGGCCGTCAACAGAGCCGGGGCCGTCGCCATCTACGACACAAACGGTGTGCTTGTTGATAATACTCCACCTCAGGTAAGAAATATAACCCATATACGAAAGTATCCAATCTTAAATGTGTAGACGTTTTGCTCGGACAGTACCATTACTTAGTACTTGTCCAATTTAAATGGTCTCAACTTGATATACATCACAATTACACCAACACCATAATCTACGTATAAACAGATGACCCGTGACTATCCGGGTTAGAATGGTTCTTCTGCAACCCATGCCTGTCGAAAGAGGCGACGAACGGGATTGGGTGGTCAGGCTCGCTGACTTGTTTGATGCATGTCATCGTATCCTTATTGCGTGGATCGATGCCCTCGATATCATTCACCGGAAAGTCTGGTCTAGATTCGATCATTTACAGACCACCTTCATAAAGCTGGAATAATGCTAAATAAAACATCAAACAAACAAACCAAAAGCCGATTTTAACACTATCAAGGGACGCAACTCTCGGTAGTGTGGCCAAGGAACCTGTAACATTCATGAGAGCTGATGTCTCTTCACAAATTAGTTAGATGTTCGTGAAGTTCAAACAAATGTGTTAGTTTGCTGAAGTTATTTGAATTTATTTTACGAGTTTGACGTTTTACGTCACAGTCGGCAATATATCAGATTTAGCACCGCCACTAGGCCAGATTAACAAGTTGACGATATAATGAGTGATGTACCACGCCGTCAGGGATTATGACATCACGTGATCTTCTTCAGCTGGCTCTAACGACAAGCTGGGTTCTTATTCTGACCTCGGTCCCAATGGGGCTTGTGTTAGGTATTCAGAGGTAACCGACGGGGGTTCAGATAATACTTCTATTTCTTAACTGTATTATTGAGCATTTCATGGGATTTTCATCAACCTCATTCGTTGCAGATGAAATGGGTCTACGTTGGCATTTTCTCTGGCAATGAAGAAGAGTTTATAGACGGCTACATTATCCAGTCTGACCCTAGCGGTATCAAGGCCACCTGGTTTGCCATGGACAGTGAGAGTGGCATCAAGTCGTACATGGTGGCCATTGGAACCGCTCAAGGTTTGTATTCCCCAAATATGAGGAACACAATGTTGTCCTGACTTTTACCCTTTTTAGTTTTTCTAGAACTGATGTTGAAGACATCAGAACCAATTATGTTAGAACCAAATTCTAATATTCTTAAAGAAACTCTGTGGTGTAGTTGATATAAACTGCTCCCAGAGTAAAAGGTCGGTGGTTCGATCCCCCGGTCGCTTCATACCAAAATACGTTAAGAGATGGTACTGGTGGTTTCCCTGCCTGAAGCTCGGATTTAAGGGAATAAAACGAGAACTGGCTAAGACAGTATACAATATACTGTGTCTGAATGGAGTATCCACATTAAAACTGTCGCTTTGTTTCTCGGTAGGCTAGGACTATAAAGATCAGCGTAGTACAAGCACATACACGTGCATGCACGTTGCTATATAAATGAACTAATCTTGAACATGACGTTATTCCATTTCACCTCACCACACCTCACCTCACCTCACCTCACACAAATTAGTGCAATTATATTTGGTTGTATATTCTGAACTATTTTTCAGGCGGAACTGATATCCTAAACTGGAAGGACTTTGGTTCTGACAGAGACAAATACATGGACGAGTTGACCTTGACCGTGACCGACCTTGACACGATGACCCCATTTTACTATGTGTCTGTGAAGGCGAGCAATGGAGCCGATCTGACCAGTGACGTCATCACATCAAACCCCATCCTGGTGGTTGACCAGGACAAGGCAGGTATACATCTTGATTTGTGTACATTTGTCATCGGCTTCGTCGTTGTCGTCGTCATTATCGTTAACGTCATCGCCGCTACTGTCGATTGGAGAAAGAATAAAAGATTAACATATGTATGATATCTTTGCATTTTCTCATACATAAACACTCAAATGAATCTCTATCCCAAGGTATTGTCATCGACGGCGCCGACTCAACCGAGAGAGCCAACTTCATGGGCATCGGTAGCGACATTGACTACCAGAAAGACACGGGAGTTGTGACGGTACAGTTTGCTGGGTTTGAGAGCCACGAGCACGGTCTGACGTACTATGACTGGGCGGTAGGCACGACACCTGGTGGCGAGGAGGTGCAACCGTTCATCATGGCGGGTCTCATACATGAAGAATCAGAGACCAATGTTCCTGGAAATGGTGGGTTAAACATATTTGCAGACAAACAAAAGGGTTTGAATTCTTATCCTCCAAATATAATCCAGACATTGTACACGTGCATTCTGTACAGACGTCGTTCGACGCCTTACAGTACCCTTTACCATCAACATGACAAGAGATGAAAAAACATGATTGCGCATCGTTAGATGTTTGGACAATACACGTGCTAATGAATCTGTTTTGATTTATTTTAATTTTTTGTCGAGAATTCCCTGTTACGATATATAACAACATATTTTGCAGGTATCGCCAGCATGGGGTTTGGCCAGGCTGTTCTACCGCTGTCATCCGGCAGGACATACTACACCACAGTCCGCGGCATCACCAACGCAGGCAACATCCTGGAATCTACGTCAGATGGATTTACTGTTGATATTACGCCTCCTGAAATCCACATCGAAAGGTAGACACATATACAAATCATTATTCAGACTTTTCCCTTGTGGATTCCCAACACCGTGTCCAAATACGTTAAGAGACAACAAAACGATAGTTGCGAAATAACTCTCTCATTAATTATGATACTGATATTTGGTTAAGTAGTAATGTGTGCTCACCAAATATGTCGTTTTTAAAGTGTGCTTGATTGAAATCAAGAAGAAAAAGAAGTTTAATGAATACTCTGCTACCTGACCGAATGTAATTAGCAGGCTTGTTTCTTATCCAACTACTTGATACACAGGTAGCCAAAACTAAACATTGTTTATGAAATGTGGATTATCTAATTATTGTGAACTATGGTTATGAGAACAAGCAAAGAAATCTGACCAAACAAAAACATACGTCAGCAAAACATGGTTCATTGTTCACTCGTAACTACATTTTAAGGCTCAGAACTACCATAGCGGACTGACCACAACAATGTCTAGTTAACAAATCATTGTTCTTGTTTGACTAGCAGCGATGATTCTGAGAAAATCAGAGCAGACTGACCCAAACAGTTTACAACTAAAAGGCACATGCACAAGTAACTAAACATTGATCGTGTTTCCCTCTCAGGTATGGTTCTGGGAACAACCAGGGCAACCTGGTCTCAAACGCTATGTACTGTCAACTAAAGATTGTTCATGTTTACCCCGCAGCTATGGTTCTGAGAACAACCAGAGCAGACTAACCCCTACCACGACACTGTACCAGACTGAGGTGGACTCCATCTCCTCCTCCTGGAGGGCTGCAGACAGTGAGAGTCCAGTCAAGAAGATGTACTACTCTGTGGGGACCTACCCCCACGGGGAGGATGTCCAGCCCCGGACTGACGTGGAGATCCTGCTGACCGGCGAGGGGGCTTTACCCACTGGCATCAAACCCACAACTGATGGTAAGAACTGGCAGTGATGAAGAATAAAACAATGAATTAAATATGAACATCTCGCGCTTGGTAATATTACATGAACTAATTATAAGATGGTCAAGACTGTTAATCTATTTTGCTAGAAGGCCTTAAACGTACTGATCGATTTTCTCGCTAATACAGTAAGAATTATTGGTAGCGTTAATAACAAATACAAGATTAACTGCAAACTATGAAATAAGCCTGACATTAACTTCGATTATGCTGACACCAATAGTCTCCTCGAACTTTTATACAGAAAACAGATCTTGTCTCTGTCAAATGTTGTGTTTTATTGTGTACGTGTTCAGTGCAGAGCTGGCATGAATTTGGAATATTTGTATCAAATATATGTTTCAGGAAAACCAAACATTCTGACTCTGACAGCCGAAAATGAACTGGGGTTGTCTGCTAGCATTATCTCCCCTTATCTTGTGGTGGACACCTCCTCCCCAACAGAGGGGGTGTTGACATGTCCAAGCTTCATTCAGGTATTACCTATAAGTCAATCCGGAAATCCTGGTCAGACTCCTGTTCTTCATGCTTGTCCTGAAAACAGACTTATATAGGGATCAAGCGGTCAAGCTCAGTATTTGGCTGACTGTTTTAGGCTCGATTATTTACAGGCAGCCATTTTATAATTAGAATGGTGCCATGTGCACCTGTCAACTGTCACACAATCACATCCATCGCCAGTGCTCTGCAAATAACAAATTTAACAGTTTCACTATACGACACCAGGAGGTGTTTCTAACATTGTATAACACGGACTTGATTTGACAGCCTTAGGATAAAAGCGTGTTATGGTAGTAATTTTCATTGTGTATTATGCAGTCACCATGATGATTTAATGTTCATCTGTTTCCATTATTATGTTCTGGTAAGATATGAGGAAGAAATTGTTTAAAATATTTACATTGTTTATGTAAATACAGCCGAGATCTGCCGTGGAGTGCACATGGACAGGGTTCTACGATGCCGAGAGTCAGGTTGTAGAGTTTGAGTTTGCTGTAGGCTCCCATGAGGGGCTGGAGGACGTCGTAGCACCTGTCAAACTGCCGGGAAATGCTGCCAAACATCTAGTCTCAGGTACAGAAGGATAACTGAATCTGTGTGTAAAACTGGCTCGTTATTTCAAACTTCTTCGGGTTTCAACCATTATAAAACTATTGTCATTACCATTCTAGATTTTTGTTGGACACAATGTATAACGACATTGTAATGATAATAAAAATGAAAAATATAACGGCTTGTAATAAATTGGCAACGTTTTCATACTTAGGCTTAGCTGATAAGGTGACACATGGTCAGAGATACTACGCCAAGGTCAAGGCCATCAACCAAGTGGGAATGACGTCATCTAGCATCTCCAACGCCATCAACGTGGACACCACACCCCCATCGCCGGGCACTGTGGTTGAGTTGAAGTCTGTCTACATCATCAACGTCACCGACGAGATCATCACCGAGAAACTCAACACCTACAAGTGTGACACACAGGAAGGTGGGCGCCACCATTATGTCACTTACATTTTTCTACATAAATATACATTGTAGCATGACGGCCCATACAGAGTAACTGTGGACATGGATCAGAAAGCAAAGATTGGGTTCCGTTGACCGGTTTATCTTTGACAAGTTACTTGGATCTATGAATGGTTGGTTGGTTGGTTTGCTGTTTAACGCCGCACTCAGAAATATTCCAGCTATATGACGGCTATCTGTAAATGATAGAGTCTGGACCAGACAATCCAGTGATTAATATCATGAGCATCAATCCATGCAATTGGGATCGATGACATGCATTAACCAAGTCAGCGAGCCTGACCACCCGATCCAGTTAGTCGCATCTTACGACAAGCATGCCCATGCTTGCTGTAGAACTATTCTACCCCGGATGTTCACGGGTCTTGATCTATAAAAAAGCCAACAAAAGATCAGAAAGGTCGCCCTTTTTGGGCAAGGGGATATATGTCGTTTTCCCGATGAACATGTTTCGATGCTTTGCTCATGTCTTGAACCGATTATAGTTTAAAGAAGTTATTTGACTTATTTATAACATCCTAAGTAAATACTTACTATTCACCGTTTCGCAATCAGTTGTATTCTGTTATGTGAAACATAACTACATCCTACACTATGTGCAACATTACTACATCCTTCACTATGTGTTACATGACTACATCCTACACTATGTGTAACATTACTACATCCTTCACTATGTGTTACATTGCTACATCCTACACTATGTGTTACATTACTACATCTTTCACTATGTGTTACACTGCTACATCCTACACTATGTGTTACATTACTACATCCTTCACTATGTGTTACATGACTACATCCTACACTATGTGTTACATTGCTACATCCTACACTGTGTGTTACATTGCTACATCCTACACTATGTGTAACATTACTACATCTTTCACTATGTGTTACATTGCTACATCCTACACTATGTGTTACATTGCTACATCCTTCACTATGTGTTACATGACTACATCCTACACTATGTGATACATTGCTACATCCTACACTATGTGTTACATTGCTACATCCTACACTATGTGTTAAATTACTACATCCTTCACTATGTGTTACATTGATACATCCTACACTATGTGTTACATTACTACATCCTAAACTATGTGTAACATTACTACATCCTTCACTACATGTTACATTACTACATCCTACACTGTGTTACATTGCTACATCCTACACTGTGTTACATTACAACCGTGTACACTATGTGTTACATTACTACAGCCTTCACAACTGTATGTCCACAGACTGCCTGGCTATAGACGCGGTGTGCCAGGAGTCTCTGTCCACTGTCAACGTGGCCTGGCAGACCTTCGCTGATGACGAGACGGAGATAGTCAAGTACGTCTTGATGACAGTCATTTAATATGTTCTGAACCCGCAGTATTTCAGTGATGCAGGAAGAAAGCATAAAGTAAACTGATAGCCACTTTGCACCGATACATGTACATCTGAGCACTTCCTGTATGATAAGACTTCATCAAAGTACAAGAGTAACATCTTCTCTTCAATTTTATCTATATAAAGCTTTGTTGTGCTTCTCATTTTGACGTTTTGGCTTCTCCAGATACGAGATAGCTGTTGGCACTTCACCTGGAGGGGGCCAGCTAAGGGTTTTTTTTGAGACTGATGACGTTACAAAGAGATACCTGTCAGTCACGGGCCTGATACTGAAGGGAGTGAGACAGGTGAGATAACTCTTGACCCTTGACTCTTGACAGAGATTTCCCTGAGTTGTATATGTAGTTTGTGTCATGCCCACAAGATGGGTAATGTGTTATTCTGGCCATCACTTCCATAATAAGCATCACAGGGGAATCTAAGTTTGGATTTACTAGGAACACACAACGCATCCAATGATGAATTTCAAATTACAGATATTTGTGACAGTAAAAGCTACCAATGGAGCTGGCCTCAGCACAATATCCACGTCTAACGGTATCTACATGTCCTACCTCAGTCAGGGCTTGGAGCCGCTCACTCATGTTGGAATCTGGGATGGCGACAGTCACGATGGAGACCTGTGAGTATTGTCTGTGAACACAGCTTCAGGAATATCTGTCTCAAAGCATGACACCAACAACTCAGACCCACAAGATACACAGCTGACAAAACGCCCAGTGTCAGGTAATATCATCATCTTCTTATAAAAAGATGAGTCGGTATCTAATTTGTAGTTGACCTTGTTTCTCTACAGTGATTTCCAGACAAGTCTGTCCCGAATGGGGGCCAAGTGGGACGTGTCAGGTGACCCGTGTCCAGTGGTCAAGTATGCGTGGGCAATACAAAGGGCTGACGGTCTGAGGGTCCAGGAGTACTTCAATACAGAAGGTGGGTGTTGTGACAGCAGCTGACAATGATCACGTGTATTCAATACTGGAGGCATTTGTACATATGTATTTCGAGAACCTTAGAGCTAATAATTGGATTGAACACAGTTTTATTACTGAACTCAGCTATAAAAATAAATAAATCTGTTCTCCATTAGTGAACTTTTCTGTTGACGGAACTAATAAGGAGCCTATACCCTTCTAATGATTGTGATGTTTTCAGATTGGGACAAAGGAGATACACAAAACTAAAATATAATTTACTTGGTTAAGCAGCTGAATCTCATCAATTGTTCTTCAATTCCAGGAAGAACTCATGGCGACAACGACCAGCTGAGCCTGAAAAACATGGAACGCTACTACCAGTACCTACGTGTGACCAACGCCATGGACTACACCTACACCATCAGGTCGAACGGCATCACCATCGAGGATGACCCCCTGGTGCCTGGACAGGTCAATGATGGAGATGTCGTGGGATTTGACCTTGAGTTCTTCCGAACTAAAAGTAAAGTCAGCGCCAACTGGGATAAGTTTGGCAGTGATGGCAATGCTGACGACGTGTCAACTGGAATAAAAGCTGGTTAGATAATGTTTTTGCAATATTATATTTCCATATCTCCATACAAATGATGAGATAAGGATAGTCTTCCTGTAACTCATCTAGGAACTCAAGAAGAAAATATGAAAAGAATTAAAGAACATTCAGATTATTTAAAACAAAGCCGTATGCTCAAAGATTCAAATGTATTTGCTTGTGTTCTCGAAATAAAGGGCGTTTTCACTTTTTCGTTGTAGATGAGGACAAAGAGAAATCTTCCAACCAGGAAGTCGCTTTCTACGAGGTTGCTGTTGGAACTGACCGCCGTTTCCCCAAAACACGTGACAACGTTGTACCGTTTGTCAACGTTGGCCTCAACAAGACTGTGACCTTTTACGACCTTGACCTCACCCCCATCACGGCAATGTATTACTTCACTGTGAGAGCACACAGCCGCTCCGGGTCTAGGACTGACGTCACGTCCAATGGCTTCTCTATTGGCTTTGATGGAGGAGTCTCCGGTGAGACCTTCACTTTTCCAGGACTTGTAGAAATATGTAGATTAATATATGGAGAAAAAACAGACATTACAGAGCAAGAGTATCATATGGTTCTTACTGGTAACACTCTGTCAAATCTTAGTCAGGACGTATACAAACACGACTAACAAAGACACCTTGAGATGTACCATCTGCTAGCATTTGTCTCCTGTTTGCTGCTGCTGTGTAACAATATATAATGTACCGATCCATGATAGTGAAGACCACTTCCTGAACACATCTCATCACCTTGTGTTTCAGCTGGTTTCATCGACATGAAGGAATTTGTCAATACTAACACTTCCGTAGATGTACCTTGGGACGGGTTCGGATCCAAGATCGGCATGATGATGTACTACGTGGGCCTGTCCAACAACACGGAGGCTGGCAACTTTAGATGTGGACAGTTTGTGAGTATAGATGACCCTCATAGAAAATTCTACGTATACGTATCTATTATAACCTTTTCTGTGGCAGGCGTAATTTAAGATTTGAGTTCCATCGAAAGACCTTATGTTGATGATATGTTTGCAGACTGAAAGAGGCTCCATCACTGACGATGAACGACAAGGTATTTTCAACATTGTGGACCTGCAAAATGTCGGGAAGGACACATTCATGAAGTTTGAAATTCTGTCTCTGGAGCAGAATGGTGTCTACTATGCTTGGGTTGTCGGTAAGTTGAAGCTAAAAAGGTAGATATTATGTGTTAAGCCCCATATTATAATACATAATAACACATAATAATGAGTTGCTAGAGGGAGATATATCCGGAACTATATTTACGTCTTTTGGGATAGTTTCTTGGGATAGGTTGTGTTACGAGCTGTTTTCCAAATTGGAACGCAGAGGTTAACCCAGAAATCAGTTCGCACAGAATTAAAATGTGAAGCAAGTATACATGTATGACCACACTAGATCAATAAAAAATCAATAATTCCAATTTTAACACACATTTCTTGTTTACAATAAAAAAAAGGTCAATGCCCTTGTTCAAATAAGTCGCAGATTCAAAACGAAACAAGCCCTAGATTAATATTAGTTCATTTATCCATGTTCCGAATATTGCCACTGTTGAAGGTCGTGAAAAAAGCCTCTCTCTAAATAAAAAAAGGTATTGAAGCTGGCAGACATTCAGTATCAAAACAGTATTTGGCAAGTAGATAACAAAGAAGCCTGGTAGAAAATGCATCAAATCGCCCTCATGTCGCTCCTTTTAAGGTAAAGCCAGCCTTCTAGAAGCTGCCCCTTCAAGAAACGCATCATCAGAACCCGCGTTGTAGAAATCCTCCCATCCCTAGACACCCGCCTAACAACTCACAGCATCATCCGACTCATACACTCCTGTATCAGCTCTACATACTTTACCTGGAAAGACACATTCTATCAACAAACCCACGGCCTCCCAATGGGATCCCCACTATCACCCTTGATCACTGAGATATTTATGACCCACCTGGAAGAAAAAGCCCTGGAAACATCCCTAATAACTCCCCTCTGCTGGTTCCGCAAAGTTGATGATACCTTTACCATCCTACATCCCAACAACGACCCCAGAACTCTTTTGGACCACCTTAATTCCCCAAACCCACGTATGCAGTTCACCATGGAGGAAGAAACCAATCGACAGCTCCCTTTCCTTGATGTACTCGTACAGAAAGATAAAAACGACAAACTCCAGACCACTGTTTATCGGAAACCCTACCACACAGATCAATACTTACACTATGCATCCAACCATCCACCTCAAGTCAAGAAAGGAATTGTGTCAACCCTAGCAAGACGAGCCCACAGCATCTGTTCCACGAAGCAACATCTAACTTCTGAACTTAGACACCTCAAACAAGTATTTACACAGCATAACTGCTATCCTGAGCAACTAGTACAACAGACGATAAAGACCATCACAAGAAATCCCAGAAATCCCCACGTCCACAGTCTGCACCCTTTGTGATCAGCCTCCCCTACTTTGGAACAGTTAGCCACAAAATCCAGAGACTCTTAACGAAACAGGCCAACATTGATGTAGTCTTCAAAAGAAGTCATACTATTCAGAACACAATTAAAGCCACAGGGAAACCACCATCCAGCCACAAGCCAGAACCATCAGGAGCAGTGTACCACATTCCGTGCATACTTACTTACTTACTTACTTACTTTGGAGATTTAACGTGCGCTTTCCGACTGATGTGTATTTCGCACACGGGCCCGGCCAGGCCATTTAATGTGTTTCCGAAAGGGGCGAAGGTGGTCTGTGCAACCCAAGAGGGGGGTTTTAGGGGTTGCTTATATAGAATTTGGGAATTTTGAGATTTGGAATAGATGCCGATGGGATTAGGGAGGAGAACTAAGGGAGCTGGGTATGGTGGATGTTTGTTTGTTTATGTGATTTTGATTTGGTGAGTTATTGTGTTTTAAGATGCGTTTTATTAGTTCCGTTTTGATTAAGAATACGCCTAAGGCCTTGACGTTTTCTAGTTTATTTTGTGGGTTTAGTATTGCTTCTAGAGTTAGAGCCTTGTTTAGATTGAGGGTGGTTTGTAATGCGGTTCGATGTGTTAGGTAGTGTGTGCAGTGGATGAGTGCGTGTTCTGGGGTTTCTGGTTGTTTGCAGTGTGGGCAGTTACCTGTAGTGTGTTTTTTTAAATTTTTTAGGTGGTTATTTAGGTTGGTGTGTCCTGTTTGGAGTTTAGTGATTACTCTGTCGATTTTTTTGGATGGATGGAGAATTTTTGGTTTGGTTAGTGGTTTGCTGAGCACTTTTTTGATTTGGCTATTTGAGTTTAGATATAGGTTATGCCATTTTTTGGTGAGTTTTTGCTTGTTTACACTTTTAATTTCTGATTTTGAGATGGGTAAGTTTAAGCTTATTTCTGGGATTTTGAGGGATAGTTTAGCTGCTTTATCGGCGTTTTCATTACCGTATATTCCTACGTGGGCGGGTATCCACAAGAAGGTTATTTGTTTGCCTGCCTTAGTTAGGTCGTTGGAGCTTTTAAGTATTTGATTTATTAATTTAGGTCGGTTTTTGGTATTTTTGTTTTGGAGGGCTTGCAGTCCACTTAGGGAGTCGGTAAGTATTAGGATTTTTTTGTGGTTTTTGGATTCTTGATTATGGAGGGCTGAGGCCATGCCCATTAGTTCTGCCGTGAATATTGATTGGTTGTTTGGGAGTCGGAAGGATTGTGTGGTTTTAGTTGGTTGTGTGGTATGGACTCCGAAACCTGTGTGTTTGGAGGTCGGATCTGAGGATCCGTCCGTGTAAATGTGACACCAATTTGGCCAATTTTCGTGTATGTATGCTAGTGTGGTAGTTTTAGCTATGTTTGGGTCGGTTTGTTTATTTATTTGGCTAGCTAGTGTTGTGTCTATTTTGGGTATTTTAAGTTTAGGGGTGAAGATATTTGATTGTTTGCAGTTTTGTTTAAGATTTTTAATTTGGTGTTCATTTAGGTAGTTTGTTATTCTTTGGGATATTGGGGTAGATAAGGGGTGTTTACGAGCTAGAGCTTGGTTTTTGGGGCTGATGTTTTGGTTTATTAAGTTTTGGATGAGAGGGTTTGATTGGGACGCGGCCCAGAAATTTAAGCTTAGCTGTTCCCTGCGTAGACTTAGTGGCATTTCTCCTGTTAAGGCCTGAAGTGAGGTGTAGGAGGTGCCATGTTGGGTGCGTGTAATTAGTTTGAGAGCCTGATATTGTATTGAGTCAAGTTTTTTAGATAGAGAGTTGTTTAGGGTGTTGTATATGGCGCAGCCGTAGTCTAGTTTTGATCTAATTAGTGATATGTAGAGAGAGAGGAGGGTATCTTTGGATGCTCCCCAGTTAGAGCCAGTTAGGCATCTTAGGGTGTTTAGGTCTTTACTGCATTTAGTTGTTAGGTTTTGGATGTGAGCATCCCAGGTGAGATGTTCATCGAAAATAAGTCCTAAGAATTTGGTTTGTTTTTGAAATTTGATTGTTTGATTGTTTAGCTGGAGGATTGGGGAGGCGGGTTTCATGTTTTTATGTTTGAATACTATTCCTGTTGTTTTTTCTGAGTTAAGGGAGAAGCCCCATTTGTCAGCCCATTGTTGTATTTTATTAAGAGATTTTTGGAGTAAATTTTGGACCATGTTCATGCTTTTAGTGCGGATCCAGATGGCTCCATCATCCGCGAATTTTGATGTGTTTACTTTAGGGGATAGGCCCTCGAATAGATCGTTTATCATTATATTGAAGAGGGTGGGGCTGAGGATACTGCCCTGTGGAGTACCATTTTCTAGGGGACATTGGTCCGATAGAGTTTGGTCTATACCCACGGTTATTTTACGATTGTTTAGGAAGTCCTGGATGTAGTTTATTATCTGACCTTTGAGTCCTATTTTTTTAAGTTTTTGTATTAGCCCATCGTGCCATACCATGTCGAAAGCTTTAGAGAAGTCTAAGAAGATGCCTGTGGTATATTGTTTATTTAGCTGTCCTGTCTTAATATCTTGTTCTAGTCGGGTGAGGTTATCTAGGGTTGAGCGGCCAGGAGTGAAACCGGTTTGATCTGGGTTTATGATGTTATTTTGGGTTAAGTAATGTTGTAATCTATTTTTAGCCATTGACTTTACATAAGTTTGAAGTTAGGGATATTGGTCTATATGAGTTAGCTTGATTAGCTGGTTTATTAGGTTTAGGGATTGGTATGACTAGGGCCTGTTTCCAGGGAGTAGGAACCTGTCCGTTTAGGTAGATGAGATTGTATAGTTTGAGTAGTGCCTGGAGTAGTTTTAGGGGGAGTTTTTTAATTATTTGGTAAGAAGTTAGGTCTAATCCTGGGGCTGTGCCCTTTTTCCTGTTTTGGATTACGTAGAGGAGCTCCTCCATTGTGTAGGGTTGATTTATTTCTAGATTGTTATTGTTTGGTTCTTTTGTGGGTTTGTTTTCTGTTTTAAGTTTATCTTGGAATTTTTTACTGAAGTTGGTGTTACTGCTAACGGCCGAAAAGTGGTTGGCGAGATTATTTGCTTTTTGGGCGGGGTTGGTTGAGTTGTCAATGTTAGGGTTTTTTTTATGTCGTTTTAAGCCTATGATGGCGTGGATTTTGCGCCAGACCGTTCTGGCATCTGTACGGTTATTTATACCTTCGCAGAATTTTTTCCAGTCTCTACTTTTGGCTATTTGGACTAGTTTTTGAACCTGGTGGTTTAGTTCGTGGGCTATGTTTAAATATGTGTAGTCGCGTTTTGCTTTATTGAAGGCTGATTTACGTTTTCGTCTAGTCTGTTCTATTTCCTCATTCCACCATGGTACCGTCGGTTTGCCTGTCTTAGATGTTTTGAAGGGGATGGAGGTTTTGGCTGCGTTTATTATATAGTCTGTTAGGTTTTTACAATAGGTTTCTGGATCATTATTTTCTATTTCGTTTAAGTTAGCTTCGTTGCAGATATCTTGGAATTGGTCCCAGTTAGCTTTATTGTAATGGAATTTTGGTTCTTGGTTTTCTGTTTGGATTGGTACGTTTGTATTTCCTATGGTTATGTTTATGGGGAAGTGGTCACTACCTAGCGGGACGTCGTGCACTTCCCATTGAGTACTTTGGGCTAGATCTGCGGTGCATATGGTTAGGTCGATAGCCGACATTTTTTGGTTTATCTTATCGTACCTCGTGTGTTGGTTGCTATTAAGGAGTACTAGGTCGTTTGTTTCTATCCATTCGGAGATTAATTTGCCATGATTATCTATTTTATCATCTATGCTCCATGTAGGATGGTGAGCGTTAAAGTCTCCTAGGAATATAGTAGATTTATCGCTTATATGGAGTAGTTTGTTTAGATCCTCAGGTTGGACTTTTTGTTCCGCCCAGTGGTAAATATTTATGATGTTTATGTTTCGGTTATTTAATGTGATTTTAATGCCGTTGGCTTCTAGGTTTGGCGTGTCTATTTTTATTTCTTCGTAATTTATATCTTCCCTGATAAATATGATTAGTCCTCCTGCGGCTCTTCTTGTTTTCGGTTTAGCTCTGTCAGTTCTAACTGAGTTGTAGTTAGGTAGTGTGAATTTGGATTTTTTTGAGAATTTGGTTTCCTGTATACAAGCAATGTGAGGGCCTTTATTTAGTTTAAATTTAGTTTTTAGTTCATGGCCGTGGGAGGTGAGTCCGTTGGCGTTCCACTGAAAAATATTTAGTCCTTCGAATATTGGGTTCGGGTGATTGGTGATTTATTTTCTATTTTTTATTTTATTCGGTGAGTTCTTTTAGATTGAGGTTAAAGAGGAAGAAGGGAAGATCGGTTAATTTTAGATTGAAAGCTACTTTGTAGAAGGATTTCATGCTAGCTTTTGGTGAGTTTTGACTATGCATGTATGCTAGGAGTAAGGTGAGGTTGTTTAGGTTTTGGGTGTTGGCTGGTTGGGGAGTTTGGTTTGTTTTAGTTGGAGTAGTGTCTATTGTTTCCTCAGTAGTGGAGAAATCTTCGTCATCGGTTAGATTAGGTTTAGCTGATTGAGTTTCCATGGGGGAGGCATGTGATGTGGAGGATTGTGAAGGTGTTTGTGGGATGGGTGTAGCTGACATAGTGTTTGTGTTTTGTTGTTGTGCTTGCTTGTGGGAGAGCGTTGTTACCATATGGGCTGTAGGGTGCTTGGATGAGGGTCGTCTTGTGGTGGTCATTTTGAGGTTTGTTTTGCATGCGGGGGTTGATGTTTTGGCTATGTGAGATGTGGGAGGGTTCGAGGTTGGTTAAGTGGCTGCTTGTATGTGTGAGGTGGGTGCGGTTTCTCGGTAGGGGCCCCAGACAGAGCTGTCGGTTATGGGTGTGGTGTTTGTTTGTGGGATGGTGTTTGGGTGTGGTGTAAGGAGGAGTGGTTTAGATGCAGGTGTAGCAAATTTTCGTGTTTGGATTTTAGCCGTGTCTATGTTTATGTGTTTGTTGGCCTGCTGGGTGAGTGTGTGTCTGTATGGGCATTGGTTTGAGAGTGAAGTGTGTTGGGTGGATTTGCAGTGGATGCACCAGGGTGTGCATGTGCCTGGGCAGTCTGTTTGTGCGCATTTTTTACATTTAGTTTTACGGTATGTGCATTGGGAGGCAGTGTGGTTGTATTTGAGGCACTTTGTACATTGCTTAACCTGCTTTATATAGGGTTTGACTTCTAAGTTGGTGTGGGCTCCGAAGGATATGTGTTTGGGGGCTTCAGGGAATTTAGCGGTCTTTTTGAAGTTGATTATGACAATGGAGGTTGGGACCGTTTTTTCCGTTTCTAGTTGAGGTTATTCTACGCGTGCTGGTGATTAGGGGTTGAGGGTTTTGGTCTTGGTTTATGTTAGCTTCTAGAGAGTATAATTGTAAGTCCTCAGTTGTTTCCCTTGGGTTAACCCTAATTACGCCTCGTGTATATTGTTGCCAATTAGGTGTTTGTTTGATTACTGTGACGTGGAATATTTGAGTTATTTTATTTGCTGCCTTGTAAGATTCTCGGTTAGGGAAGATTATCTGGTATCCTTTGTTGGCTTTTTTAATATTGTTGTAATTTATTTTTTCTCTTTTAAACCAAAGTCCTATTTTATCTGCCGAAAGTTCTAGTGAGAGAGTGGTGCCTGAGCCTGCTGAGAAGAAGTAGAGGGCGAAGGTCGTGAGGAAGGTGGCCGGGGAGGGTGTGGGCGATGGAGGTGGAGTGGATGTGTCGAGTTTGCGTTTTTTGGTGTTTTGAGGTGGCGAGTTAGCTGGTTTGGTGGGGGTGGTTAGTGTCGTGTTTTCGCCATACTCGGTCGGGACGATGTTTTCGAGTGACCTCCCGGAAGTGTTGTGCGCTTCCGCAGGCGTGGGTGAGTTAGGAGCTGGCATGTCTGCGAGTGTGGCGTTGCGGGTGTCAGTCATGTTGTTTGGAGAGTTGGAGAGCGTGTGTTGTGGTGAGTGGTGGTGGAGTGGGAGTGGTGTTTTGGGGAGGTGAGTTGGTTTGTTGTTTTTACTTGGTGAGTTGTGTTTAGGAGGCGGAGGAGGTTGCGGTGGTTATTTGTTGTTGGTTTTAGTAGGAGGGTTTGTGAAATGGATTAATTATTAAAGATTTATTTTGTTGCTGGAAGGCTGGGGTTAGGTGAGACAAGTGGAAAGCGGGGATCAGGAGATATTTAGTCGAAGGAGTGGAGGTATGTGAGTGGTGGGCGTGGGTGGTGAGTAGGAAAGAGCGTGCGTTGTGTTAAGGAGAAGGGGGGATTAGGTGTTTTTTGTTTTTAGGAGTTGGGTCAAAGGGTGTGTTTGAGTGGTGGGCGTGGGTAGCGAGTAGAAATGAGTGCGAGCTGTGTTAGGGAGATGGGGGAGGATACGGTGTTGGTTATTTATAAGAGTTGAGTGTTGTTGTTGGTTTTAAGGATTTAGGGGTTTTGTGATTAATTCGGTGAGAGTGATGTATGTGAATAAGGATGAAAGGATGACGTGATAATTACCGATGATGGAGTTTCCTTGGCTGGCTATCAGGCAATGCTCTGTGCTGGCTTGGGAAGTGTTGCTCGCTTGGCCAAGACTCGATTATTTACAGACCGCTGTCCTATAGCTGGAATATTGCTAGGTTCGGCGTTAAACAACAAACAAACAAACGATGAGAGTGATTTTAAGAGTATGTGAATAAGGCTGAAAGGATAACGTGATAATTACCGATGATGGATTTCTCCTTGGCTGGCTATCAGGCAATGCTCTGTGCTGGCTTGGGAGGTGTTGCTCGCTTGAAAGTACAAACTGCAACTGGCATTCCGTGCAATTGTGGACAAGCTTACATAGGAGAAACATCTAGGCCCCTCAAAACCCGAATTAAAGAACATCAAAGCTCAGTCTCCAAAGATGACTCTAAATCAGCTCTATCAGACCACATCCGTGACAACCCAAGCCACAGCATCCAGTGGGAGAGAGTCACAACCCTCGCCACCAACCTCAAAGACTTCAAGATCAGGAAACTACAAGAAGCCATCAACATCAAAAGACTTCAGCCCTCAATCAACCGTGACCAAGGCTATTACATACCCCTGGCGTACCATCAATTCGTCAAAGACCCCAAAGACCCCAATCAGCCATAATCCCATTGTTTACATTACTGGCTTCATCCTTTGTTTCATGGCACTGACTTCACCGATGGTTATCATCACTGCCCTTGTGTGTACACAACAGGCTTCTCAACGCCAGTATAACAATATCTACCCTACTGTATAAACATTGCCTCCTACGTGTATATATACTTGCTTACTGCACTCTGTATAATCACTTGCTTGATAACGGTGTTAGAACCTACACCGAAACGTCGCTCTTAATTGTAATAAAGAAGTTGTTCATCCATAAATTTCTTATCCTTACTAAATTGACACTTACTTCAAATATATGTATGACTGTTGATACCGCCACTGATATTACTTACATGTAACAGCTGATAATTCTGATATATCTTTGGCTCACTGAGTAATTAATCATGTTTTGTCTTCATGAGCACAAATATTCCCTGAGAAACTTTGAGATTAGCATACCTGTGTTGTGTTCATTATAGTATCACTGCACATCATTATTGATAAATTTCTTTTCTTAATCTCATCTCAAGTCACAAAAACATGTTATTAAAGAAACGGTGATGTGAAAAACTGCGGTTGAAATGTGTATCAATGCTGCTGACATATGTATCATTCATCGTCGCGTATGCGCCAATATCCCTGACAGCAACGTTTCATAATTAGGAATTTGATCCATACACCAGGTGCAGACAAGGCCGGAGAGTGCAACGTGACTAGTCACATGTTCCAGGTAGACGTCACACCTCCTGTCAAAGGCAGGATCAGAACAGGGCCCTATTATGACATGGTACGTGACAGGGGCCAACTTCGTAAATCCAACTCTCTGTTCAGGCCATGCTTGCTAATACCCGTAGTATCATTACATGTTCTTATAAGGTCTTGAAGAATGTATTGATATAAAGGTGTTAAAGTCCACCAGTTATCAATGTGTGTGGATTTGTGGTGCACTCTATGTTTAGTGGCACAGTTGTATCAGGATGGCTACATTAATTTTCTTTGAACAATACTTTCTTCATAAATGTTGTCTCGTTATCATGTCCAGCAGGACAGCTGAGTAGTAGAAGTAAAAACATTTCTCATTATATTGTCATAGCGACTGATTTACGACAATCATTGTCTGAATGAACATTTAATTCCTAAAGCTTATTACCCTGGAGCCATGACATCTATATGCCTTGAAACACTGAATTGCCGTTATTTATAAGATGCTAATCCTAATCGTTAATCCCCATTGTATTGTACATCAACTGTCGGCCATCCTGAACGAGATGTGAAAGTATGTCACTGAAGAAGTACTGTTTACATTTATTTATGACTTACTAAATGTCAGTTGACCTTGGCTGTAAGCCTTGATCAGAGAGAGAGAGAGAGAGAGAGAGAGAGAGAGAGAGAGAGAGAGAGATGTCTTACGCTTAGCCTAGCTAGGGTTAGGCTGGGTGCTCCGGGGCGCCAAGACAACAACCACGACCACTATGTGCTGACCTGGCACATGGTGTCTTTTGTATGTATATATCTACCTGCGTAAAGTAAAATTGTATATACAGCAAGCCATCGTCTCCAAGTTATGATTTCCTACTGAGAACCCTATGCCGACCCCTTGCATTTACGAGTATGCAAATTATTCGTTAGCAACGTCACGTGTGTCTGCAACGCAGTGCACCAACGCGTTGTTAATATCTTAGTACGTGAAACGTGACCACATGTAGACACATATTTGGGGCTCATTTGATGTGTTTGCATTCACTGTTGAACAAGAATATGTTATCGTTTCTTTCATATCAAATGAAAGAAATGGCCCGTGACTTTAGAAATCTTGTTTTAAAAAAGTCTCAAAATTAAAACAATTTCAGATGACCATACTTTGTTTCGTAAATAAAAGCGATCAAAACCTTCACAAAATCAGAAGAAAGGGGGAGTTGGCTATTGGAAAGTAAACATGTTTAAGATGTTGTCGGAAGCTTACAATGGACGAGATTTCTTATCATTATTGAAATAGGTTCGTCACTTTTATGAATGATTCACCAAAAAATAGTTATGACACCAGGTATGCACAAACCAGTGAACGTATCCTGAAATGGATATATTATAGAAATAACAGGACTAAAAACAAACAACATTATATAGGGGTGTATAATGTACTGTTACATTTGGCAGCAACTGAGTTACACGGCGAGCAGTGAGAGTCTTCAGACCTACTGGACAGACTTCAGTGATGAAGACTCGGGCATCCGCTGCTACCACGCAGCCCTGCTGAAGAGAGCCTCCTGTGACAAAGACTCGGCGGAAGAAACTGTCGTAGATTCCATAGAGATTGATGTAAACTACACATCTTATAAATTCATGGGCATCACTATGCAGGTGGGTGATTTACAAGAATTCCATGTAGAGTTTGACACGTGTACGGACACATTTTAGATATTAAAGTTTCATGTTTTCTTTCCAAGGGCAACCCTCCCTACTTTGTGCGTCTCGTGGCGGAGAACTTTGCTGGTCTCAAGTCGACATTAGACTCTCCGCCAGTGCTGTACGACAACTCCCTCCCCTCCTCCGGCCTCGTCATCGACGGACATGACTTCACTCACGACATCAGCTGGAGCGGCTCTGCCAACACCGTCACAGGTAACCTATATATATTACGGTTTGGTTTAGATACGTAGGTGCAGAAATAATGTGTGGGTTTTCAGATACGGTAAATGGTAAGTGCACTTCTCATTGTACACAAGGATGTCTTCTCCAGTATCGATTATTTACAAGCCACGGCTCCATAGTCGTACTTATTGCTGACCGTTGTATAAAACAAGGGTCATTCACTCATGCGATCTATTCCCTTCGATGTAGCGGACACATAATTGCTCCAACCGTTTGTCAAGTAAAGAGAAAAACTTGGAACCTACTTCATTTTAATCACTTACTTTCTGCTGTCTGTAGGCACATTCCTACACCACCCTGTGCCCGACGTGTCTCCATGTCCTGTCAGACTGGTCACATTTGATGACTCGGAGTGGAAGTACCTGGAGTCAGACCGGTACTACGACAGCAACAACCGTAGCTTGACCTTGACCTACAGGTCAGCCAACGTCCATCCCGAGTCCGGCAAAGTGGACATCAAACTGTCCCGAGACACCAAGACTGACACCATGTTTTCTGGAACCTACTTCAGAGATGCTGACCTTGTCAATGGCGGGGAGTATAAGGTATTAAGATACAAACTGGCAAATAGTTTTTGTCGCCTATTCCCACAAATTAAGTTTTCCAATCTGTCCGCAAATGCAAAACTTACTGTGACCTTGTCAATGGCGGGGAGTATAAGGTATTAAGATACAAACTGTTACATAGATATTGTCGCCTTGCATGTCTCAGATTACTACTGATGTCTCACACACTGACTCCTTGTGCTTCAGCTATCTATCCGAGCTGCAGCAGGTGATGGTCAGGCGGTCACCAGTGTCCTGTTCTGGGACGGCCCAGATGACTACATCCTGGACTATGACTACACACCAAGACCGGACTGGACCGAGTCTGTCTGTGCCTGTTGCAGGGTGGAACCTGTTAATGCAGTATGAAGCCTTCTGTAATCAACTCATTTCCTAACCCGTGCAGTAAAATAGCCGACATTGTCTCCACAATTATAGTCAATGTACCAACAATAACGAAACGGCGGTATCGCCCAGTAGTCAAAGCATTGACTCGTTATGCCAAAGATCTTGGTTCGACTTCACACAAGAAGTGAAACTAATTCTTGGTCTGTCCGTCTGTAACATAGCTAGCAAAATGCTTCACTCACTCACACTCAATCACACTCAGTCACTCACTCACTCATCTACTCATTCAAACATCCACGCACTCACCTATCCACCCCGCAGTCCTCCTAGGTGATATGTTCATAATCACCAGGGACAAGGGTAACAGGGTAATTTTGCCCTTTGGTCGTGGGTTTGAATCCCAAATTCTTCATGTTTGTGTTTCTAGGTTGGTCACCGTGTGCTGGTAGGCCTCAGCAATATGATAAATGAAAATGTCTAGGAGTTGACGAAGTTAACAAGCCGTGATACAACTGAAATATTCTTCTAAGTAGGTTACACCAAACCTGGTCAACCATACTCATCATATGTATGTTTCAATACCGTGTCTCTTCTTTCTTGGTCCTGTACCTACCCCGACCCCGACCCACCCCGCCCCGCCCTGCCCTGCCCTGCCCTGCCCTGCCCTGCCCTGCCCTGCCCTGCCCTGCCCTGCCCTGCCCTGCCCTGCCCTGCCCTGGAAAATGTTAATACTCATCCTATGTCTGTTTCAATGCTGTGTCTCTTCTTTCCTAGTCCTGTACGTGCAACTGTGATTCTTACCTACAAGCGGAGAGGTACTACAAGAACATCATCAAGAGATCTGTGGATGAGGATGATCCTGGCTACGAGGTGAAGAAGCTGACGGACGAGGAAAAGAAGAAGCTTCAAGAGACAGGATCCATCACTGGCAAGACTGATATCGGGAATCCTAATCTTAACCCAAGGAAGGCATGTGGAATACAATTATTTGGAGGTTGGTGTATTTCGCTTCTGTTTCCATGTACATGATTGTAATGAGGAATCCAGTTTTATACGGTAGCCATGTCCAAGCAAATGGACAACGTGAACAGAACAGATAGGCTACAGATTACAACTGTAGTTTCAGTCATGGACCGTGAAGGTGAAGGTCTATGACCAGTACCATCATACATTGATAAGTGGTCCTCAAGACACATGACATTCCTCTTTTATTCTTACATGACTACAGGTGAAGTTTGATTCCAGTATCATCATACATTAACATGACAGCCCTGTTTTCTTCTGATTAAAGGACGTTACGTGAAGATTACATGTGATGCATCTATTGTCAGCCTTAGCAGTACTGATGATATTCCTCCATACTGTGTATAGGTACAGCAGCCAAGTTAGTGGCATGGTGTGGTTACGGAGACTACCTCAACGAACCTGTAGAAGCAGTGAAAGATCTTCAACAAGACCCCTCCAGAGATTACCATCAGTACATTGTCAAGTTCACTACACAGAGGGACGAAGCAAGGGGATCAGAGGTGATTTTCATAGAAACCTGACACCATACCAATATCAGATGTTCTTAAGTATCTCCGTTCTTGCCTGAATTTAACTCGCTGTTAACTTTTGAACATGTTCAATGTAACTAATGGTACAAGCTGTCGGAGAAATATATGCTGGCCACGTGTGGGGTGTAGCATTTAGACAGGAAAATACCGCTTTGACAGTATGTCTGTATGTGCTGTATGACCGCGTGTAGTGAGTGAGTTTGGATAAACGCCGCTTTTAACAGTATTCCAGTTATATCAAAGCCTGTAAGCTTAATGTGCTTAAGCTTAAGCAATATGCTGGAGGTTCGTAAATATCTAAATCAATTAATCATATATCAGTTGGTCGTATTTGAAGATGTCTCTGGTTTTGAGATTGTTTAACAACATCATACACACGGCGTATGATAAACATGCTATATGTTTAAATTTATTGTTGTAGGTTACCTGGTGCATGGCAGTCTTCATAGACGGGGATCTGCTGACGGAGCAGTGTGGAATACCGCGTCTCTCTGTTGACACCAACCTCTTCCTGGGAGTATGGAATCACAAGAACTATATTCCTGACACTGAACGAGATTCGGAAGGACACTTAAAAGTTTGGAGTGCTACGGCTTCATTTCGTGACCTGGTGATGCCAGCTGACAAGGAGAAGTTGTGTCGCTATGGCAACCATTTCCAAGGAGGCAACAACGCCATTGTTCGGTATGAGGCAGGAATCGGGTCAGCTTCCGGTCTCTCTGATGTAGTGCCGTACCAGCAGGTGAGATATGGCGCATGTTGATAAATAACAGCGACAGATTGACTGCATCGTACACAGATGAAAAGTAATATGTCGAAGAAATTAGAAATATCTGGTGAAAACTAATATTTCAGATGATAATGAAAACCCTGTGGCAGAGAGTGTTCAACAACACTCACTGGAAAAGTTATTTACGAAACTATGAGGTTTGAAATAGGGGTAATTGTAACTTTACACGGAGGGAGGCACGACGGTAGAGATCATTGCTGTACCCGACCAGGACTTGTAGCACCACCTCAATTGCGAATGTGACATCTTCTGTGTCTTGCTCTGAGACGTTGTCAACTGACACTAACGTGATGTATGTTTTACTAGGTACATACACCGTGTTTTCCCTGCCTGACACCCTGTGACGTTACGTCATCTTACTCTAGCGTGTTCTATGTGTTGCTAGGTGTATACACCGTGTATCCCCTGCCTGACACCCTGTGACGTTACGTCATCTTACTCAAACTTGCTCTGTGTGTTGCTAGGTACATACATCGTGTATCCCCTGCATGACACCCTGTGACGTTACGTCATCTTACTCTAACGTTCTCTGTGTATTATTCTGTACATACACCGTGTATCCCCTGTCTGACACCCTGTGACGTTACGTCATCTTACTCTAACGTTCTCTGTGTTATTAGGTACATACTCCGTGTATCCCCTGCCTTACACCCTGTGACATGTACACATGTGACCCAGCTTGTGACAGCTCATCAACAGACCAGGTCAAGATCACCCTCAACGACCTTAACCTTACAGAAACAACAGTCGTGGAGGGAGAAGTAGTCCCTCTATTGTACTACCTAACAGGTGAGAGAACAACAGTTGTGGAGGGAGAAGTAGTCCCTGTATTGTGCTACCTCACAGGTGAGAGAACAACAGTCGTGGAGGGAGAAGTAGTCCCGGTGTTGTACTACCTCACAGGTGAGAGAACAACAGTCGTGAAGGGAGAAGTAGTCCCTGTATTGTACTACCTCACAGGTGAGAGAACAACAGTTGTGAAGGGGAGAAATAGTCCCTGTATTGTACGACCTCACAGGTGAGATCACAACAGTTGTGAAGGGGAGAAGTAGTCCTTGTATTGTACTACCTCACAGGTGAGAGAACAACAGTTGTGGAGGGAGAAGTAGTCCCTGTATTGTAATACCTCACAGGTGAGAGAACCACAGTTGTCAAGTGAGAAGTAGTCCCTGTATTGTACTACCTCATAGGTGGGAGAACAACATTTGTGAAGGGAGAAGTAGTCCCTGTATTGTACTACCTCACAGGTGAGAGAACAACAGTCGTGGAGGGAGAAGTAGTCCCTGTATTGTACTACCTCACAGGTGAGAGAACAACAGTTGTGGAGGGAGAAGTAGTCACGGTGTTGTACTACCTCACAGGTGAGAGAATAATCAAATTGTATTTCTTCCTTGTGGGGCTTCTGCCACAGAATCTGTGGTTATCCTCTCAAAGTGGCAACAGTCAGTTCTAATTGTGACCATGTTAAGTGCTTGCCATCGTACACCAAAGACATGAATCGCCTTGTATGATACCTGCAATATTGATGACATGGACGTACAGAAATGTTCATTTACTCGCAAACGTTTCAGTGAAAGCTGTCCTTGGGTCTGGAACAGAGGCCGTATCGTCATCTGACGGCTTCAACATCGACACGTCACCACCACTGTTCGACACCGACGTCATGCTCTACATCGACGTCACCCAGGGCAACTTCACCCCTGTGACGTACCAGGGATCCAACGACACCATCAAGGCTATATGGAAGTGTAATGACAACGAGAGTGAAATTATGGTAACGCGAGGCTTCTGTGTGGAAAAATATATACATGGTTAAATGTGTTCGGAAATCTTAAAAAGGAAAGGTGTGTCTGCCAGAAGTGTTTTAATGCTTTATCGGGTCCGTTTCATACTGTATCCAACTTGTTGGGGATCAAATATATTAAAGGCAAAATGGAGTGGCCCCGTGGCCAAAGCGCTGCTTTGTCACAACATACACCCGGGTTCGATCCCCATACGTGTGTGACGCATTTTTCGCCACTGTGATATCGCTGGACTACTGGTATTACCAAAATGCAGCGAACACCACACTCACTCACTCACTCTGCTGCTGAAACGTCGACTTTGAGGCCAATTGCAAAGATACCTAGTGAAGGTTATTTAACATGTAACAAACTTTATATAAACTGGGTAAATATCGAGCTACAGGAATACATGTATGACATTACAGAACTACGAGTGGGCGATAGGCACAGCGCCAGGAGGAGAGGAGTTGCAGACATTTGTAGGAACTGGGGAGTATCCTGGATCGATGAACTCCGGACTTGAGGGCCTCCTGGAACACAACACGACATACTACGTGACCGTCAGATGTACCAGCGGGGGAGGGCTGGTCACAACATACGCTGATCCTAGAGGTGCGTACCTTAATACATCACACAGTAGAGTGTTACTATTTTTCCGAAAGGTGCGTACCTTAATACATCACACAGTAGAGTGTTACTATTTTTCTAAAGGTGCGTACCTTAATACATCAAACACTAGAGAGTAACTCTTGTTCCAGATGTGCGTACCTTAATACATCACACAGTAGAGTTTTCTTTTTCAAGAGGTGCGTACCTTAATACATCAAACACTAGAGAGTTACTCTTGTTCCAGAGGTGAAGCTTAATACATCACACAGTAGAGTGTTACTCTTTTTCTAGAGGTGCGTACCTTAATACACAAAGCGATAAATTATAACATGTTTTCCCGTGGTACGGATCTTAATACACCAAACAGTAGAGTATTACTCTGTTTCAAGAGACGTTTCTGCAGTAGAATAATTGCTACCTTTGAACTTGTGACATTTCTCAATTAGCGTTTTGTCAGTATTTTTTTAAGAACCTGATTCCACCCTGAATGAATTAATCAATAAAGTGAAATTTGTGACCTAGGTGTGACCGTTCTGCTTGAACCTCCCCTTGTTGATGATGTCAACACGACAATAGTGGGTGCTGAATCCCTTGGAGAGAAAGTGGTGCCGCCAAACTCCATGAAAACCAAAGACAAAAACACCGTGGGTGCTTCCTGGACGGTGTCTGCAGATGAGAGTGTCAGGCGATATGGTAAATGATAATATCATGTATAATGAACGAGCAATATCATTAAAATCAGAAATGTTGCTCCAACAGGTGAATCCCGAGCGAACCTATTTACTGCTAAGTTCAAGAGACAAATCAGCTCCTAGATCTGCTTTTTGCATTATGATCATTTAGCTTCATTTTTTTACATCTCTGGCCTTGTTTCAGAAATGTCGATCTGAACAAAAAGATAACATGCATGTAAAGCTGGAATAGTGCTCAGTGGGGCGTTAACCAACACACAAATCATGACAAGTTACTGAAATCAATATGCTGGTCCAAATGTTCTGCTCGCTCCATGCTAAATAACTGATTCGAAAGCTGTACACTCCTGTGCAGGGTTTGTGAGATCTTGGCGTCGACAGGTCCCGAAACTTATGTCATAAGATCAATCTCATTAAAATCAGATCGTAGTGCTCGCAACGGCGCAGCATAGATCTGTGAACATCCCGTTACATGTCATGTCCGATCGACCTTTTGTCCGACCAATCAGAGACTCCGAATGTGTTTTTAGTCATACAACCTCGAAAAGCTCAACACGGGACATTCAGAACTGTAGTGACCACTGATTCCGAATGTTAGACATCATCTATCTCTCGCTTCAATAGATAAACATTTAAAACGGAAAAGGGACTTGCCATAGCTCCGTGAGAGTACTGCCAGACAATCTCGGACATAGAACAGACATTCCAGAATTTTGATTTAGTTTTGTTCAGTCCCAATATCTTGGTTTAGCGGCGGCGATAACTAAGATCTGATTTTAATCAGATTGTAATAAAACGAACGTTTTGAACTAGTTACAAGTACACCTTTATGGGATGCTACGAAGCTTGTTTCTAAATACATCAAGGTCTTACATCATGATCAATAGCATTTGCGATACCAATTGATACTTTTCTTGCAAGAATTACGGTGATGACACCAGGTGTTCTCAAAATGTACCCTGGCTCTACCATATATAGGTGCGGCCTAGTGGTTTAAGCGTTCGCTCGTCACGCCGAAGAGGTTCCAATACCGACATGGGTACAATGTGTGAAGCCCATTTCTGGTGTCCCCCGCCGTGATATTGCTGGGATATTGCTAAAAGCGGCGTAAAGCCATACTCACTCACTCACTCTACCATATACATGTATTGTATATTTGCAGGAAATCATTTTTATGTATTACTATTGACTGACTTTGGATAAAAGAGAATTTTAGTGGACACGTGTGCCCAGTCGTCTAAGGCGACGCAATTCGCTGAGCAGAGTTGCGTCCCTTCGAATCCCCGTTCGCCCAAATTATGTTTCTAGGTTTCTCAGCACCATACCAGCACCGTGGGTCACTCACTCACTCGTAAAGATCATTTGATCATTAAAACAATTGAAATCTTAAAATCATGAACTACTTCAAGACAACTCCTGTCGATAATATATATATATACTGATAACTTATTTTGCCTTTTATCGCTTCACCATCACAAGTGGTCTGTGGTTAGAGCCTTCGCTGGTCACCCCATAGTTTGCAATCCAATATGGATACACTGTGCGGAGCTCATTCTTTGTGTCCATTGCCGTGATATAGTTGGAATACTGCTAAATGTGGAGCACCTCACTCATTCACTCACTCACAATTAAATATACAGAAACCTGAAAGACATCTATGCTTCATCTTCAGATTTCTGTGTGGGGAGTTCCGAGGCCAGCATCAGTGACATCTTCCCCTGCACGTGGGTCGGCTACAACACGTCGGGGACGGTTTCAGTGGCAGATGGTTACCTTAAACTAAACGGCCGCAATATCTACATGCTGAGTCAGTACAAGCAAGGCTATAATGCCTCGGTACCCGGCACCACGGACAAGTCAGCCTTCACCATGGCTCCAGGCACAGAGATGTTCATCTTCATGAAGATGTGTAATGAGGCCCAGCTGTGCACGACCAAGTTGCTGGGCTCCACCATAGTAGAGACAGACAAGTCCACGATGGCGACGTCGCCTGATGGTTCTGCCGTCACTGTAGATGTTGGGGGTGGTGCGAGGAGGAAGAGGGACATTTCAGGAGTAACGGTATCAACGCCAGATGGTTAGTGTACAAAATAACGTCATAATGACCAGAGTTACGTAGAACCATTCTCACTGACTCTTTATCAGACATTGAAAAATTGGTAGAATAGGTCAATATTAACCAATGACTTTCTCTTAAGAAACAATAGGGACACAATAGGTTACCCTGCCTGGTGCTTCTTGTCAGGGCCGACTTATAATATGATTGATGTGTTTGGTTTGCCTAGTAGGCCCGATTGTTTACAGGCCACAGTTGAACTTGCTGTGACACTTGATTCAACAAACAATGTTGTACAATGTATGTTCGTATGTTTCATCATCTCATCAAGGTATTGCCTTGTCTGTGATCCAGGGTTACAAGTCGGTCAGAGCATTGTGGTCACTCAGCTCACGAAGCTTGACCTGGAGACAGAATACAAGTCTGACGCCTCTGTGGAGTTTGTCCCTTACATCACTGACCCATCTACATCAACCACAGAAGATGCCTTCACCGACAGAATCCTCAGAAAGAGGCTCAACTACCAGGAAACATACCTCTCCTTCTCTCTCACGAGTGTTGGTAATCTTCCCATGCCAGGACCGGTGAGCGTGACCTTCACCTATGACCCCACGGTCACCAACACAACCTTGATGCTGCTTCACTGGAATACTGGTACGGCCTAACATTTGTAAATACGGATAATGGGATTCTATACGGAGCCATCTCGATTGACAGGGATACGCTGTATAACTAACTGAGGACGCAATAGATCTTTTATACTGTACACGGTGGAGTAAAACAACGTTCAGTCACACAGCGGGATGACCGTCGGTCAGACCGTAAAAAGATGCAAAAGTCTTTTATAACAATCCAGCAATAAATACAACTGAAAGGCAGCGTGAAATAAATTGTTAAAAAGAATCGCTGGTCAATGATGTTTTGTATGATGCAGATGCCCGACAGTGGCAACAGAGCAACAAGACCTGTCACCATGAAACAGACACAGAGGTCAGAGACCCCGTGACTTCTCAGGTCACGGTCAAAGTGAGTGACATGATGTCTTATGATGAACCCTGATATGGTAGGGTTCCACAGATGTAGGGGGCGGTCGGGTAGCCTAGTGGTTATAGCATTCGCTTGTCACGCCGAAGACCCAGGTTCTATTCTGGAGAAGGGTACAATGTGTGAAGCCCATTTCTGGTATTGCTAGAATATTGGTAAAAGCGGCGTAAAAACAAACTCGCTGACTCACTTACTCACTCACTCCACAGGTGTACACTACTGCCTAGAAGTTCATTCCCCTTACACGCATGGGCAACGCGTTACGCAACCAGTGTGCATCGGGTTGGTCACGCGTGTGAGACCCGTGTGCAACGCGTTGCACACGGGTGTGCACCCCGTCCGCCACTCGTGTGCAACGCGTGACACACTCATTAGAGGGGGAACAAACTTTTGACCAAAGGAGGACCCGTCTTAAGCTGAACCTGGAGGTGGTAACATGGAGAGAAAATATTGTTATCCTGACGAAAATGATAATACACACGTATTTCCTAATGTCTCCTTTCTTTATGTGATTTTAGTGGGAATAACATGAATACTGTTGCGATTAAATAGATCTGTTTTGTTTTATACGACCATTGCTTCTAAATCCGATGGTGTTAAGAGAATACATGGCCCTGGAACATGTTATTGCAATTGAAATGCTTTTATTGTGATTTGACATTAACCGTCTGTAGTACGACTTTCAGTGATAATATGTATGAGGTTTGGCGGCGCATTGTTTTTATTGGACCCTAATTACTTTATGATGACTTGGACTCTTTATCACAGCTCCATAGCCGTGAGGCTGGAAAAGAGCAGCATGTAATTAATGAGGGTGGGTTATATCATTGAGGATACACTTGAGGGAGAGAATACTAATTACCGTACTACAGGAAGAGACCTGTAGACGTAAGCGCGGGGTTGTGTTTTAGCTGGCCGTTTGATAATGGCCGCCAGGAGAAGTGAGCTTTGCCTGCATCATCTAAAATAAATAATAAGATACAGCAGTGTTATTTTCACGGTCTGTTGAATAAACTCCCAGCGCAACGGTCAATGTATCTTCTACTTGATCCTTGATACATCATTGTGTCTTTCACAATATATAGTATTTCAACGTACAAAGGACACTGATCTAAAGCAATTCCGCGGGAGTAGTTGTTACCTGTGCATTACTGTATTTTCCCAGTGAGTACCCGGATGATATAGCAGAAATCTAGACTTGTTCGCGACCTGTGCTCGCCATTCGTAAGCGCATTTTAATTGAAAGTAGAAGGACGTATGGTCACACTGATCAACAAAAATGAAATACAGTTTTTGAAATGTAGGTATATTTGTGGGGAGCATCGGTAATGCTGATGCAGTTTTGATAAGCCACTTGCTTGGTAATTGTGCGATCTTCGTGTACACTATTTTGACTTGCAACACAGAGTAAATATTTCACTGAACATTGCTTATTTTACCGTGTGTATATGTTTACATTCAAAATGTAAACAGATTTCAATAAGGAAATGTATTAAAACGCCTAAATATTCAGTTTATTTTACAAATTAACTGAAAAATATGTCCATCTTTATTAATATGATAACGAATTCCAAATATTTGTTTATGTTTAATACCATCACCAAGTACAGTTCTGTATTGTTTGGCTTCTTTTCTTAGCATAATTAATATATTGTGATGTGTTTAAGCTCTCTTGGTCGTCTTTATCATTTTTAGTCAGTCGGTTAAATAAATGAATGGATTATTCAGTCAATTTGTAAAATGACTGAAATATTTAGCTATTTAATAAATTGCCTGAGTGAATCATATTTTACACATTGACTGTAACATATACACGCTTACAAAAGAAAATACTTGTGAAAACACCGTCTATCGCGCATCGAAAAACTTCCCAACCGAACGGAAAGGAACAAGAATGATTCTGTTCAAAGCTGCAGCGAATGAATGAAAACAAAATGCAAATATCATTATAACAACCTACCAAAGTTATAATGTATCCGGGAATATCAACATACAGGAACAATATCCATTGCGTCTGCAGCTGTACAAAAATACTTATTCGATGTAAAATGTCTATGTGAGAATCAAATACTTTAATAATAATTATTTGGAAACAATATTTGGAATATATATGAAATATATTAAAATACTTAAATATATCGTTTTTAAACGTTATTTAAATGTATCGAATAGTATAACCCGTGTTTGTTTCTTAACTGATCACTTATTTTGTTTCAATTGTTTCACATAGGTGCCAAGTTAGCTGAGAAAGCCCACGTGACAACTATTCTTATAATGTCCACGGTTCTTAAAAACATACATTGAGTTAGATAACAATGAACAACCAGTCAGTGTATTATCGGTTACCCTTTGAACAAAGTACATTCGATGGTCCTTCAGCATCAACATTGTCGAGGTGTAATTTCATTTGTTTCTTATAATAAAGCTTGAAATTCTTTATGATCCTGGCATCTAGTGTTAATTGTTAAAGTTAATCTCTGCAGCCGGTGCGTGTCAAAATACGGGGTTGTGTACTCGCGGGCAGATGACCACGGAGTACGCTGACCACTGTGTCGGATTAACGAGACTGATTAATGAGTGATTTCAGTAATTCGTTGCAAATTAGGTGTGTCGAGTCGGAGTGCGAGAATGTCAGATTAACGGGACTAAATAGCGCTGAATCAATCGGTTCCCATCATTTGTGTCGGATAAAGCCGAGTGTCGGATTAACGACTGTCGGATTAACGAGACTTGACTGTATGTTGTTTTTACATCTGTACTTCACGCCATGATATGAGTATTCCCTAGGTTTAGTAACCCTACCTTCACATGTAAACACTTACCTTTGACATATCCACTGTGCAAGATAACAGTAATTAATCAATCAATGTATTTCCTGTTGATCCTTTGATGTCTGGGAATGATCAGTTGATTTACAAAAAAAGTAAAGCAACTGATCATACATCACTTGCTGGGCTGCGACGTGCATAACTCACATTCCACCTCACTTCAAACCTGGATTTAGATTAAATAATTACCCCAGGTACAAGAAAGACCAAATTTGAACCTTTATCGGGTAATCTGAGTGGTGCTACAACTAAGTATACATGTTATAAATTCATTAACTGAGCAGCATGTGAATTACGACAAATACAGAAGTGTAGGGTTATACCAGAAAATGTGGATGACAACAAGGGAGTAGTAATTGTATCATCCACGCAATCTGAAATCCGCAAATGCTTTCACTCAGGACATTTATTTATTAGCAAACTGTAACAATCAGGGGTATTTCCAAATGACGACATCCGATGAGCTTTCGCCGTAATTTGTCTGTTTGTTTAGGCTGAAGAAATTAATTACCATGCGCCCTTTGTTGAAATCTTCATAGATCACGGGTAACCAATCAGTTTTCAAAAATGCGTAAGTTTATTTAGCTGTCCTTGCAGACTGGTAGCCCAGTCTCTTGTCACGCTCGGTTGCGTTAACGAGCAAATTGACTCACGGCAGCTAGTAAGCCCAAGCGGAAATCCAAAGGTCGTGTTACCTGAAGAATCAACCTTCATTTGCGAAATATCTACTGCTCTCAAAATCAATATTTCTCCCAATACTAAAAGTCAGAACTTTCTAACCAAGGAGTACCAGTTGAAACTGGTCGATGGCTGAACATTCCCAGGGAAGACAACCAGTGTCCACTCTGTGATTCTATCGCCGTGGGAGATGAATTGCATTATATTCCGATGTGAAGCTTTTCACCAACGGCGATATGAACTCTTAAATAAGCAATATCTTAAGTTTCCAAACATTTAAGAAAATTATGACCACTAACAGTGTAAGAAATCTTAAAGGCCTATCTAAATTCCTTAACAATGTGTACAATACAATTGGTAAATTGTATTAGTATCCACGTATCCTATTTTCATTAAATTGTACATAATAAAAATTGTCGATAATTGTATGTCATGTTATTCTAAGAATAAATGAGTTTGAGTCCGACACCCGAGAAGAAGCCAGAGATTAGTGCCCCTTTTTGAATAGTTTACAATCATGTGTTTTACGGTTAGCTGTGTTGGCTTAAACGTATTTTTATTTCAAAAGAAATCTGGAAATCGGTAAACAAGCAAAACATGCTTATGTAATACCTCTCCAGGCAACAACTTAACAACAGCTGGATATATATAAGAGAGTGATGAACATAAACATACAAAATGCACAAATGAAAGCAAGCAAGTGGTGTCTTTGAAATAAGGTAATGCAGTTTTCCTTTACTACATGCATAAAATTAAGCTACTCAAACCTTTTGCTTTTGACAATGATGTCATGAACTGATTTAAGAAGAGTCATGTTTGTAGAACTGCTTAACTACTGCCATGTAATATAATTTTTAGACCATACCCATGTGTGTAGAAATACACAGTGTTTCTGATATTATCGTATTTTTTAACAGTTATAGAAAAAGTGAATTGCATCTTCAAGGTGATATCCACAAGTGCAGTCTGGTATGTCTGATACATGTCGTCTAAACTTATCAGCGTTTAAGTCACTGCAGCCGAGCCTAAGGCGACAGTGGACAATTTGGCATGATCTATGAAAATATTTGAAGTCAAAATTATTAATAATTGCATCAGAACGATTAATTAAGGATTTGATTTCTTTTAATGAGCGAGCATTAGTTACTTCATCGGATAGAGGGTTCCGCAGGTTGATCATATCCAGAAGAAATGATAATAAGCATAGGACTGTGTTCTACATTTGATTGTTTGTATGTTGAATCTTTTTCTAAGGTTATATTTCCTGTTATCAGAGAATTGAATATACACTTTTCAAATAATTTGGCTAAGCAACTTGTGAGTGCTACAAGTCTATAATTTGAGCATTCATGTTCATCGCTGACACTGACACCGCATCAGCCCGGCAGTGGACTTGACCACCGATTATATAACTCCTACAGACAGGTGGGGTGGTTGTTCAAAGCGAAACGGACGACCCCGTCTGTTATCTAATAAATGCTGTGCGGCGCCTTTGATCTTGCCTCCAACCATACACCTTATAGTAGTAAACGACGATCAGGATGGCCTGGAAACAAACACAATTCTGTCTGCCCAATGCATCCACAATTAACTAGAATGCTTCATATCTACAAATATATATAGAAAATAGATATTTGCCCACAGCAAATATTCATTTGCTTAATTGCATCAGTGTGGTTTATCAGAACATGTACAATGCTTTCTTACGCTTGGTGAGGCAGACTGGTGTGTGTGTGTGTGGGGGGGGGGGGGGGGGGGGGGGGGGGTTGCACTTCTTTATTTAATCATTACCCTTTTTTACCCTAATAGTACAAGTGCTTCCCCGTGTGCGAGATAGGCTTAAGTCGGAAAGCGCACGTTATATCTCCGAGGTACCTATCTACCAGAACTCTATTTGCTGTTCTGGCCATACATAAATATATGTAAGTTACGTACATGGGGAGGCTAGATTATTTACAGCTTACAGCAATATAGTGCAAATATTATGTTCAATAAAAGAAGACGTTGATAGATCTATAACACACTTTTTGTACTATTAAACCAACTGTGGACTTTTAAGACATTTTCGCTTATTGTAATAACATCTAGCTAACCAATCATGTCTATCTCTGAAATCCACAAGCATAGTTGCTGTCAAACCTAAAAAACATATTCAGGGAGGTCAGTTTTGATTTGCCAAGCACCTTAAGGTGAGTTTATTTTTAAACTGTCAAAAGCGATTGTCCCTTCAATACTAGTATATGTCTGGAAGCTGTCTCTCGGACTGTTATGAGTTATGATGTATTTTATGATATAACTGGGGAATGTTCAAATGAGTTACTGTCGTTTAATCCAACGTTCTAACTGTCAACTGTCTCAACAGGATCATAGGTTAGGTTATATACCTCCTCCCTGTCTCTATGTCTTAAGTTTTTAATCGGTAACTGCGGTCCAAATGTATCAACTTATTCATCTATTGTTGCAAACTTGACTGATTTAAACATATCTTATTGATCATGAACTACTCAGTCAGTCAAGCACCTGTATCAGAAATGTAAAACCAGCCATGTTTCATGTAGTCCCAATATCACTGAAAAATGCCGATGTAACGTGACAAATAAATTTACTCACAGGCAATATATTTTTCGTGAGAGTGAAGCACAATTTTATTAAAGTTTTATTAACAATTTCATAAACTATAATAATATTAATATTAAAATTCATCATCACTTGCCAAGTTTATGAAAATGTCCCCATTTGGGAGATGTCACATATAAACAAGGATTCGAACTAAGTTTGATCGTCTTTGACACTGAGGTTTATCCCCACTTTGCCAGGAAACTACAGAAGATTAACAGTGAGTGAGTGAGCATCGTTTCTATGTTTATACAAGAAAAGATGTCATGCCAAAAACGCTCACAGTAGTTAGTAAGTAAACTCACGACCTGTCATGACCTGGTTGAGTGACTTCCTCAAATGAACGTGAAAGGATTACCCACAGAGAAAGAAAGGATTAAAGTCACCCATAAATCTTATCCTAACGTAGTACTCCAACTTCTAAATGCCTCTCAAAGAAGGATTAAAACCCTAAATATATCCTATCTACGTGGTATAGGTACTCACAACCTCTAATAATAAACTGTTACGTTTGGTATCCCCAGCAATACTCACTATGGTAATTGGGCAAATGTAAAAATCACAAACCCTAACGAGATTCTGTCTACATGGTCACACCCGGTGATTGTGAAGATCTCAAATTTTATCAACTGTCAGACAGCATGGCTGTTCATATTCATTTACAACATCCTCTTATAATTAGTATAAAAGTGTCCAACACAAAACCTTCTTTTATTTATTTTTCAAAATACAACACAGAAAGTTGGGTGTGGGGAAATGGGACATATTCCTACGTGAAATAATGAGACATTAGTAGTGGTGACGGCTATGTCATAATTGAACTGTCTAAAGCATAAATTTGGCGAACGAAAAACGTTATATTTACAATCAAATGGAATGACTCGTGTGGGCAAATGAATATGTTCGCAATCCACAAACAATTATTTTATTAATGGCGAACATTTACCAACCCGCGACAATCGTGTCAACACGGGGGTTTCTTAGCAATAAACTCGCATCTAAATTCACTACTGTTCAACTGTCGGCTAGCCACAATGGCTAGACTGGACCCTAGTGGAATGGTTCATGCCATAAAAGTCTAGCAACCGAACACTAATTAAGATGGGCCGACCTTGTATTTACGGTCTGGTGAACACAGCTCAATGGCCGCTCATTAACTCAAATTTCACTTCTCACTGTTTTGTTTTATTTCACTATTCATTTGATAAATTTGTCAACTTCAACTGGAACCCGGTCCCGTGTTACACGCGTGGCACACGCGTGTGCAACGGGTTGCACACGCGATTCACACCCGTTGGACACGGGTGTGCAACGGGTGTGAATCGCGTGTGCAACCCGTTGAGCACCCGTGTCACATGCGTGTTACACGCGTTCTCAACGCGTGTTAGGGGAATGAACTTTTAGGCAGTAGTGTAGTTTGTTTAGACAGGTGTAGATTGTTTAGACAGGTATTGTTTATTTAGACAGGTGTACTTTGTTTAGACAGGTGTTGTTTGTTTAGACAGGTGCAGTTTGTTTAGATGGGTGTACTCAGTTTAGACAGGTGTACTTTGTTTAAACAGGTGTACTTTGTTTAGACAGGTGTACATTGTTGAGACATGTGTACTTTGTTTACAAAGGTGCTCTTTGTTTAGACAGGTGTAGTTTGTTTAGACAAGTGTACTTTGTTTAGACAGGTGTACTTTGTTTAGACCACTGTAGTTTGTTTAGACAAGTGGACTTTGTTTAGACAGGTGGACTTTGTTTAGACAGATGCAGTTTGTTGAGACAAGTGGACTTTGTTTAGACAGGTGTACTTTGTTTAGACACGTGTAGTTTGTTTAGACAGGTGTACTTTGCTGAGACAAGTGTTCTTTGTTGAGACAGGTGTTCTTTGTTGAGACAGGTGTACTTTGTTGAGACAAGTGTAGTTTGTTAAGACAGGTGTACTTCGTTTAGATAAGTGTACTTGTTGAGACATTTGTAATATGTTGAGACAGGTGTACTTTATTTAGAAAGGTGTACTTTATTGAGACAGGTGTACTTTGTTGAGACAGATGTAGTTTGTTTACACAGGTGTAGTTTGTTTAGACAGGTGTACTTTCTTTTGACAGGTGCACTTTGTTCAGACAGGTGTACTTTGTTAGACAAGTGTACTTTTTTTTACATGTGTACTTTGTTCAGACAGGTGTACTTTGTTCAGATAGTTGTACTTTGATCAGACAGGTGTAGTATGTTAAGACAGGTGTAGTTTGTTCAGATAGGTGTACTTTGTTCAGACAAGTGTAACTTGTTTCGTCAGGTGTACTTCGTTAGACAGGTGTAGTATGTTTAGACAGGTGTAATTTGTTGAGCCAGGTTTACTTTGTTGAGACAAGTGTACTTTGTTAAGAAAGGTGTTTAGGCAGGTTTACTTTGTTTAGACAGGTGTAATTTGTTTAGACAGGTGAAGTTTGGTAAGACAGGTTTTATTTGACACATTGGTATTGCTGGAATGAAGTTCAAAGGGGAGAATATCGACGGCCACACATTTTAACATGCATGTCGAGCGACTAGAGTACCCGATCGCCCCTTCAACATACTGAACGAAGGAAATAGCAGAATGGATATAAAATGTGTATTATAAGCTTACCGGATGTTTAAGTATCATAAATGAACACATCAAACTTTTACCTGTATCTAGTTGTGTTAATATGAAAATTATTGAGATCCAATCATCTTCCGCTAAATTATGCAGTATTTTTAACATCAGTATGCATTTAAAGGCCGCTGTGAAGGTTTATCATTTCCAACACATATGATAGTTCTGTCTTCAACATGTAATGGACATGCTAAAGACCCTTTTTTGTTCACAGTGGTATAATCTTTGCATATTAGTCATTATATGTGGTGATTGTGTCTATCGTGTTCTGTTTAGGTTTGTAACACAAGGTCGACACCAGACAGCAGCAGTTCCAGACGTCGGCGATCTGTGTCTGACACGTACTTCAGACACCCGACCCAGTTCCTACTGACTTCAGCTTTGACAGAGATACCAAATTCACCTCCTCAGCTCACCAGCACCACGTCTCTTGTCATGCAGGAAGACCAGGGTATGAGTCTCTTAGCTTGTCTCTGTTATCTTGCAGGAAGACCAGGGTATGTGTCTCTTAGCTTGTCTCTCCTGTCATACAGGAAGACCAGGGTACGCGTCTCTTAGCTTGTCTCTCCTGTCATGCAGGAAGACCAGGTTATGTGTCTCTTAGCTTGTCTCTCTTGTCATGCAGGAAGACCAGTGTATGTGTCTCTTAGCTTGTCTCACTTGTCATGCACGAAGACCAGGGTATGTGTCTCTTAGCGTGTCTCTCTTGTCATGCAGGAAGACCAGGGTACGTGTCTCTTAGCTTGTCTCTCTTGTCATGCAGGAAGACCAGGGTATGTGTCTCTTAGCTTGTCTCTCCTGCCATACAGGAAGACCAGGGTATGTGTCTCTTAGCTTGTCTCTCCTGTCATGCAGGAAGACCAGGGTACGTGTCTCTTAGCTTGTCTCTCTTGTCATGCAGGAAGACCAGGGTACGTGTCTCTTAGCTTGTCTCTCCTGTTATGCAGGAAGACCAGGGTATTTGTCTCTTAGCTTGTCAACCTTGTCATGCAGGAAGACCAGTGTATGTGTCTCTTAGCTTGTCTCACTTGTCATGCAGGAAGACCAGTGTATGTGTCTCTTAGCGTGTCTCTCCTGTCATGCAGGAAGACCAGGGTACGTGTCTCTTAGCTTGTCTCTCTTGTCATGCAGGAAGACCAGGGTATGTGTCTCTTAGCTTGTCTCTCCTGCCATACAGGAAGACCAGGGTATGTGTCTCTTAACTTGTCTCTGTTATCATGCAGGAAGACCAGGGTATGTGTCTCTTTGCTTGTCTCTCTTGTCATGCAGGAAGACCAGGGTATGTGTCTCTTAGCTTGTCTCTCTTGTCATGCAGGAAGATCAGGGTATGTGTCTCTTAACTTGTCTCTCTTGTCATGCAGGAAGACCAAAGAATGTGTCTCTTAGCTTGTCTCTCCTGTCATGCAGGAAGACCAGGGTATGTGTCTCTTAGCTCGTCTTTCTTGTCATGCAGAAAGACCAGTGTATGTGTCTCTTAGCTTGTCTTTCTTGTCATACAGAAAGACCAGGGTGTGTGTCTCTTAGCTCATCTATCTTGTCATAAAAGAGGACAGGTGTATGTGTCTCTTAGATGGTCTATCTTGTCATACAGGAGAACCGGGGTATTGTCGCATAGCTTGTCTCACTTGTCATGCAAGGACATCAGGGTATGTGTCTCTTAGCTTGTCAATCTTGTCATGTAAGAGATCAGGGTATGTGTCTCTTAGCTTGTCAATCGTGTCATGTAAGAGATCAGGGTATGTGTATTTTAGCTTGACGGGAACAGGTTAGCTCGTGGTATTGCGCATCACAAGTCGCTGTACACATTTACGTCACCAAAGTAAGACATGAATCACTTATGACTCTCTTCCTCCATCATTCAGCCATGCCTTTCTAGTGGAATATTGAAGAGGCCACTCACTAGAGTACATACTTACATCACTCGTTAATGTTCCAGGTACAATCGTATACCAGATGACGTCCACAGACGCCAATGGAGACGTGGTCAAGTACAAGATTACTGACAACTTCGCTGTGGCTGATTTAGAACTGACGCTGTCAGAGGATGGATTGTGAGTGGCTACTTCAGACAGCTGTACAGTTGTATATATGTTGGTGTGTAGTATGAGAAAAGTCGTGTTCAGAGGATTTGGGCTGGCTCTATGATATGTTTGGAAACCAACGTTTTATACCCTGGTCTATGAAAGTCTGCGTCAATCAGTATATTGCATTTTCCAAACATATCAAAGGAAAACTTGACACCTTTCTGACACCAACATGTGTGTCTGTGCAACAGCGGGGCAACCGGATTGGAAGGACAGGTTGACCCTTTTCTTGAACACAAGGGCCCTCTTGCACGAAGCGGTCTTAGCGCTAAGATGATCTTAACTCCCATACTTTTACATAGGCTTTTACAATAGTACTTAGCGCTGATATCGTTTCGTGCAAGTGGGCCCTGGTGTAATCTCTGGTTTTCAGTGATCCATTCATGTAATTGTCACCGCCTTTTACCCCAAGGGGAGTCGTCGGATAATCGAGATGATTTATTTCAGGATGACATATACACCTGCTACCAACTACTACGGATCAGTAGAGGTCCCGGTAATTCTTTATGAGGTGCCTCAAGCTGAGATACCACCGGCTGAAACGGCAGTAAACATCAGCATCATCATCACCTCCGTCAACGACGCCCCAAGCGCCTTCATCTTCAGTGATGGAGTCAGCCTCCTTCACGAAGATCCGGCCCATCCAGTCCTGGTAGGCGACATATCAATGTGTTGCTCCCTCTCTAAGTCTACAAAGCGCCCATGTTCTTACCGTGAATTCGGTGATGGTAAAATACTCATTTTATGTCAGATACCGGTACGTTTGCTTGTCACGTCGAAGACCCAGGTTCGATTCTCCGTATGGATACAATGTGTGAAGCCCATATCTGATGTCTCCCGCCGTGATATTGCTGGAATATTGATTGATAAAAGCGGCGTACAACTATCACTCACTAGATAGTGTTACGTAGAGATGCCGCAAGCTGTCTTTATGAAGGGAAGCAACCAATGAGCAACATTTTGTGTAAGGAGACCACATGCAAACACCTTACATTGTCAAATAAGGTTTTAACCTTGTTCACAATATCCATTTCACATATTCTGAGCGGGTTGTACATTAGGCGTGTTTAAAGGACTGTTGTCTGGTTATCACCTTCCAACATTGTCCCCATGTTGGGGTATAAATGTGTCTTACCATTGGTCAGTGTAGAGTAACTCGGGGCACAGCTGGTGGGCTGTTTGAATGCTTTCTAGAACTGTCATGTGGTCAGAGCCCTAAATTCCTCTTTAGGGACGGACATGGTTGGGTCATTGGCAAGCATTATGGCTTATACAAGTATACATTTGTGTTTGTTGGTTGTTTAACGCCGCACTCTGCAATATTCCAGCTACATGACGGCGGTCTGTAAATAATCGATCTGGACTAGACAATCCAGTGTTTGACATTATGAGCATCGATCCACACAATTGGGATATGATGACATGCATCAACCAAGTCAGCGAGCCTGACTACCCGATCCCGTTAAACGCCTATTACGACAAGCATCATTGGTTGCTGAAGACCTATTCTACCCCGGATCTTCACGGGTCAAGTATACAAGTAATTAATAAAGTTATAGCTATGGAGCTTCAGCTTGGTGCGGATATCGGACACATCGTCACCAAGACAAGGCCCTAAAATAGAAAGGCTTTGTTTATGACAGGGTAATTTGCTGGAGGAGGTACGAGTAAATGACAGCAACCCTACAACATACAGATGGGAGTTCGGTGCGTACGACGTTGACGTTGACGACAACATGACCATCTACTACACTCAACCATCAAGCGGGAACCTCACCGTCGGCAACGTAAACACCGTGGTGCCCTGCTCATACAATACGGTCAGTCAGAGTCGCATTGCATTCGTGAATTTATAACATGTATTCATATAAAAATGACCCGTCCTATTCAGGGCGTAAATTTGAAACAGTGTCCTCGTGTGATGTGACCGCCTCTGTGGTCCAGAGCGTCCGTCCGGAGAGCGGATGATCGGTGTTTCTGTCAACGACCGCATCATACCAATTCCCAAATGACATATAAAGAAGGCATTCGGTATAAAAACAAGGACTGGTCGGCTCGGAGTCAGTATACTGTCTGAGTGGGGTAATCATGTTGAACTGCGGCATGGTATCTCAGTGGACAACCACTATAAAACCGGCATTAGTCCGGACCAGTAGAAGCAGCCACACATGCATGTACGTCGCTGTATAAGTGCAATAATCTTAAAACAGACGTTCATCCCCATTTCTTCTAGTGTAATGGTCCAAACATCAGCGCATATTGTATTGATTTCAGAGCGGCATCCCCTGTGACAGGCTCAACCTCCCCCATCCTCCTGACTCCCTCAACTGGGTCTACGGGACCTTCCAGTACCAACCTGACCCTGGTTACCATGGTTACGATGAGATCCGTGTATACGCACAGGACCATGCAGGGGTATACTCGGATGTCATCACTATCAAATCAACTGTTATGGAGAGGCCATGCGCGAATGGAGGAACATGTAAAAGTAAGCCATGATATATATATATATATATATATATATATATATATATATATATATATATGTGTGTGTGTGTGTGTGTGTGTGTGTGTGTGTGTGCGTGTGTGTGTGTTTGTCTGCTGACCAGCTTGAACTGATTTGGCTGGAAGCCTAATGGTTAAAGCGCTGGCTCGTAACGCCAAAAGCCAAGTTCGAATCATAACACATGCAATCGTCCTACGAAAATACGCATCAACTTACTGTAGCCTATATTATAACATACAGGACCAAACATTTACTGAAAAGATATACCCATTATGATCTGATCCAGAAAACTGTTGCTATAACTGAAATAAGGTCATCGTCAATATTTCACGTGTTTGTCACACTACGCTCCTCCATCAACAGCTCCGAACCTGCATGAACCGTGTGCGAACCTTACCATTGCTTCATATTACAGCAATGTGTAGACTAGATGCGTCCAGAGCTGCAGCACATGTTGCACGAGAAATAGTGCTGATTGGTCGATGTAATCTGAGCGCCTATTGGTCAGAGCACTCGCTGGTTTCCTCGTCATTGGGATCAGGCCGTGACTCGATTCGATAAACAATGGCAACTACATTTCAAAACGGTCATTTGTATGCATGGATGATGGACGAACCCATTGTATGAAAACCTGCTAAGTATTGATGATGAAATTAAACTGACATTCCGGTTTAAGACGAGACTTGTCAATTCCTAAGAGGCGAAAATGTTTTCTGTCTCTTGTTCCATCTCTGGAGCGGATGTTTCTAATCTATACTGCACAAAACAAGTTACGACAGATATGAAAGAATAGGGTGTTCTTTAACTTCTTTTGAGTAGTATATATTAGAACACTAAGTTCAATACCAACAAGAAAAGAATTACCTACAAAGTCACTGTTAAAAACACGGATTGTATATATCCTACAATCATACTGGTTGAAGGAAACCTTTTTAAGGATTTGAAGCGGGGAATCTTCATTGAGTGAGTAAGTGAATATTTAACGTCACATAGGCAATAGAATCTTTATTGAAGTCATTCGCAACGTATGAAAAGTTTTCATGACAAACATCTTCCCTTTCATGAATTTTGTTCTCGGTTCGATTAACAATTGACAAATATATTTCACAGCTGTTTGGACACAGAGAAAGAAAGCAACACATTAGCAATAACTTTAACATTTTTAAAATCGATAAGGCTTCCAGTTAAAAATATTCCTGGACACGAATAACTCGATAAGACTCGCTGTAAGAATCGCAGAATGATTAGCTCTTTGTCATACAATCTCCACAAAATCCTCATATGCCACACACCTAATTCACGTTGCACCTCCACATACATAATTCCAGGCAAGAATGAAAGCTTGTACAACTGCACCAACTACCGCCGTGCTGAAGGTTTTGACCTCTACTATGAGTGTGCGTGCGCACCTGGCTGGACCGGCATTCATTGTGAGGATGACCTCAACGAGTGCAGCAGCTCTCCATGTTCCTGGCCGTACGTCTGCTACAACGACGTCAACAGATACTACTGCGCATGTGCCAAAGATAATCCAAAATGTGATGGGTTGCAAGCATGAATGATCGAGTCTGATTGTTTTGGCGGAGATATTGATAATCATCTTATCCTTGCTGGCTTGGTATCTCTGCATGCTCAAACGAGGGTAGGTACTGCGCATGTCCGCATGGCTACGTCAATCAATGGTTCGTCAATCAATGGCTACGTCAATCAATGGCTACGTCAATCAATGGGTACGTCAATCACCTGTCGAGTATAAAACGAGTAAGACACCAAATATAACACGACGTTCCAATTCCATTCAAATTGCCGAAAATACACATTGAGAGGACCTACTGGTATGACGATATAAGCACTATAAGTTTAGCTGACGAAGATGAAAATGAAATTCTAGTTTCTTATTTCTAATCAACAACTATCCTTTACTTAATATTTAGATTTTCTTTACAAACAACTTAAATTCAACCCTTACAAAAGGGCTTACAACTATATATCACCTGCTTTACAAATCAATCGACCCATAGTTCACAACGTTGAATAACATTATAATATGAAGAACAGTAATTTTCTGTTGAGGTCAAATTTGCACAATGAAAAGGCGATCGATATTGGAAGGGAAATAACTCTTTGTTACGTGTTATCAGAAACACGTAAGGCAGCCTCAACCTATTTGGTCTTTAAACCAAGTAAACCTAGTAATGCAAAAGTGTCTCAAGTACACCTCTGTTCTAACTTCAGCTGGTCGAATGAATCCTTTTCAGCAAACCTTGGTGCGTTCACAAGTGCGTAAAATCCTCACTTGTACATTTTTCGATGTATAGATATATTCCGAAGATTAGAACTGTTTATGTGTTACAGAAAACAATATTTACCTACTGTGTCATGATTCTGGCAACATTCGTATAAGGAAGAATATGCATGCAGTCAACCCAGGTAATTTAGCATGATTCAATAACTGGTGTGAGCTGGCATGTGCAAGAACTTTGTGACAAGGTAGTTCACTGAAGGATGTTATATTAGTGTGATACATCTGCTTGCTTTTTATAGTTGATCACTAATGGATCGTTTGTTGGCATGGTCATGGCTTATGTATACTGCATGTTCAGTCTTATCACGCCAGTGGAAGTTGTGGTTACATTTTTTAAATATCGCATAGTTTGCTTGGATTTCTTATTACTCTTTTATTCTTCGTTTCTTTATAAACATACCACCTGTTAACGCGCCCCAACCATTATCCTTTTCACTTTCATTGGAAGAAACAAAAGTCCATGTAGCTTGGAAGGGCATTGAAGAACGTTCACTCCAAAATGTGTGAAATGACCACTTGTCCAAAATTTCAAGCAGTCGAATGAGTTCATTCTCAGAATAATTCCTTATGCAGATTGCATTGGCTAGCACCGGATCAATGGGTGTAGTTTGGAATTGCTTTGCAGTGTGTACTGCGAACGTCGTTGTGATATGTCTAAATACAAGGTGTGGCTGAAGAGTTGTAAGATAGGAAGGATGTATGGTACACCCTTAAAAGTTTCCGTGTATAAAATACAATAAGTCCCGTGTTTACAGGCTGCATTTGAACCAAATACACAACCAGGCAGCATAGTTCTGCAGGCAGCAAAGTGACCAGGTATTCCCTGTTGATGAAAATGCTCAAAACTGGTTACCGTGCTGTCATAACGTATCGCCAATTGAAAGGGCTAAGTCCAACAGCCATACATGCGGACATGGTGTCAACGTAAGAGGATGATACTCCTTCTTTTGCCACTGTTGTGGAGTCGGCAGCGGAGTTCAAGAGGGGAAGAGAGAACTTCGATGATTATCCAAGATCAGGAAGACCTTCAACCGCACTTACTAAGGAATAAGACACATGATAAGACAGATAATATGATTATGGATGATCGACGACTCACCACACGTCACATAGCAATACAGTCGGCATCCCCTATGAGAGAATTGGGAACATTCTTAAGAATGACCTGGGTATGACAAAGGTTTCAGAACACTGGGTTCCAATGCTTCTGTCTCCTGATCAGAAACGGTTTGGGTTTCCCATCTCTCAAGATAATTTTCGTCGTTTTGAAGCAGACCGATTAGCTGGCAACATGATGGCTTCAGTAGTTTGGGTTTCCAACGGAATCCAACTGTCGAACGACCTCACAAGAGGTCAGACCATTTACGGCCGATATTGTGCTAATCTGCTTTAGCAACTGCGTGAGAATATCAAGGCTAAATGACGTGGAAGACCCACGAAACGTGTGTTCGACCATTGACCTGTGCACAAGTATGCTGTTGCTATGGCTGCAGTGCATGAGTTTCGATTTGAATTATTGAATATCCTCTGTATAATCCGTCAGAGATCCACGTCTTTCCAAACTTGTAGGAAGAACTGTCTGGCAAGCATTATACAAAATGGTGATGACATCATTTCTGCTGTGGGGAACTTTTTGGGATGAAGGCGCTCCAGCATCCTTGGAAGACGTGTGTGGACCTCAAATAATACTTAGAGCAGTCCATCAAAGATAGGTTCAGAACTCTTCAGCCACTCCCCGTATATAGTCGAAAGTAAGATGGCATTTGTGTTTGGGAAATAACGTAGTTCGTGACATGGATACGTCTGAAGTGTTTGGTGTGTATCCCTGGGGCATATAACACATATGTGTGTCTTACAGAACGGTATGTGTGTTATTGTCGTGCATAAAGGCACATATTTGGATTCTAAATATATCATATACCGTCTTCCAAAACAGTTCGACCAGATATGATTCTGACCAAACAACTCTGAAAATGGACAGGAACTAATTTAAACTTGCAAATACTGATACGTTATAAATTTCAATCTCGCAACCCTTATGTATAAGTTTCTCATTTTAACACGGTTAAGTACTTGTTCTTATAAATACTCAATGGCTCAAGGGTTGTCTTAAATAATTCGTCATGTCTCGATTATAAATCCACAAAATGAAACCTAAATACTTGCTGAAAACCAACATGAACGCCTGATGGCATGTTTGCAATGATTCGAGAGTGCACAGTTCTAGGAGTGTGTCAAATGCCAGTTGTACAGGTGTGAATCGTGTTGATTATGAGGTCTAACACTGCGCTGACCTGCTACAAGAGGATGTCCATGCCACTTTGGTAGCGGCAATTACTGTCAAGTTCTTCAAGATTGTTTTCACATTGTTTTCCAGTCGTTTCCACTGGTCCTTTACAGTGTACATGATCATCCGACCTAAGGGATCCAGAACACCCAATGAAGGCTTTAGTGATGTAAGTATGTTGAGAAGTTTAGAGTACACCAATGTTGCAATATTCCAGGAAGAATTCAGAAGGAACGAAGACACAAGAAAAGGCTGAACTGGTATACTATAACCAGTATGCTTCCCCGTGTACCACTTATAAGATAGCTCCTATTCATTCAACACGTAGGGTTAGCAGTCATGGTTGTTTCATGACAATTAGAAGTCTTTTAATTATTAGTTTTTAAATTTCTGTCTATTCCGTACCTAGATTCCCAGTCCCCTTGACATATAGTTATTACTAACTTTGCAGTGGATGTCCATAATTGATAATGCCCGCATAGTGTACACAAATATGATGCTCACACTCTCATCCACTCTTTCGTTTGACACGACTGCTATTCAGCCAAATCATAATCTGTGACAATTTACCTCGTGATAAGTAATCAATCATGAGTAATGAAGAATATTCTTTGGTAAAAAGTAAGTAAGAAATTGTAAAATTGCATTGTAAAAAATAAGTAATTACTTCTTTCAGGATTTGAGCGGAAGTGAGAAAAGCCATAAGGTAAGTGTCAATATTACCTCATAGTGAACAACATAAACTTGAACCTCAAATGTAGTGTAAGTCCGGACACTGATTTGCCCGGACACCTTTTTGATTAGTACCAAGATTACTCTACTTATTCTCTAATTGGCTTTATTAAAGAAACAAACGACTCGTGGGCGTTTTTATCATACAATAAATCCCTCCAGGGAGAATACATCAGGAGGGGCACAACCCCGAGTGGTTTATTATCCCTGCAGTGTTTTATTGTACGACAAACAACGACCACGAGTCGTAGTTTTATTTCTTATATGAGATATCTATATTTTTATAGCCTCTTAATGGGTGTTAATAAAATGTACAAGCTTCAGAAATGTTTACAAGTATTTACTGATGACTCAACTAAGCATTCTGTATCCTATTAAGTAGTATCTCCCAATAAGAGTCCTCTGGAGGTAGCAGGGGTGGTGGGTGAGCCTAGTGGTTAAAGCGTTCAGTCGTCACGCCGAAGATCCGAGATCGATTCCCTACATAGGTACAATGTGTGAAGCTCATTTCTTGTGTCCCCCGTCGTGATTTTGCTTGAATATTGCTAATAGCGGCCTAAAACTATACTCGCTCACTCGCTCACTCGCTCACTCGCTCACTCACTCACTCTAGAAGTAGCCATTTTGACAGTGGCGACACAGGCTTAGATCTTGCACTGTAGGTATGTACTTTTAGGATAGGTCGTCATCTGATTATATTCATATTAAACTGTTTACAGTCCCGTGCGTTATCCGAAGCGTCCGGCATGTTCATGTCCAGTCGGCGGCCATTTGACCCCACAACTCCGATGAGGTCAGAACGATCTCTGCGACCGGTGTGGTTATTTAAATATACAAACATTGCAGAGTTGAGTTTAACACCGCTTACAAAAGTATGTCCATGATATCACGGCTTAAAGTGATGCACGAGTTTCGTATAAAACACCAAGGCATTCGTGTCCAACTCGTGTTATTCCGGGACAAGCCGAATAGCGACTCGTGCCCCTCTCATGGCCATTTTTGTGACCGGGTTCCGTCTTAGCGCAAACGGGCATACCTAAAACAATTGTCAACTCGTTGCGTAATGGTTCACATATTATTTCCCCATGTATTATATATATTTCAGATGCAATTTAAAGCACATTGGGACGTGCGGAATTATACAGTATGACTGAACATATTTAACTTTGTCTTGGGTATATTTTTAGATGCAAGATATGTAAAATCAAAAAATATTTCTGAGGGATTCTTTGACGAAGAACTTGAAATCATACGCGCATTCTGATTGGTTTGTCGTATTTTCGCACATAACATTCATAGATAGGGGGACGAGTCTTCTTGCAGGTTACGGAAAGGGGCGAGTGGTGACGAATGACACCAAGGATCACAATCAGGACGAATCCGGAATTAAAACGCAGGACCAGTAGCTTTCCAGACATGGAATGCTGAAAATGTACTAACTAAGTTGGTGTTTTTTTCTCCAGGCAAGAGTCCTAACCAGTGAGCCACATCTGGGAGAGGCAAACATCCGCTTTGTCCACTCCAGACATCAACTGATTCGTCCTGACTTCGTTCGCGGTGCAACAACGGCCCGGCCCAGAACACCAGTCGAAGATTACGAAGAAAGACCAAGCAGTTCATCCTCTCTTATCAGGGGCAAGTCTCTGGTCAGAAGAAATTCACGCCGTGTTGCCCCCGGCCCCGAACCGGAACCAGACCATGATCCATAGAACTCCAGAAATCTTTACACTGTAGATAGTTGTCTTTCAGAAAATGCTCAAACGAATTGTTTCCTCTATAACATGTGCCCTGCAAATGGTTGATTTAAAATAAAGGTTAATTAACTCAATGTCGATAGAAAGCAGTTAATTAAAAAATTAAATCCCCAGTCTAATAATCTAATTACAAGGGCTTTCATTGATGGAAACTGCTGACAGGATGTCATCGCTACATGATATATGATTGTTGGCCGTGTGTTTCTATTAATTAAATCTCACAGATTATTCTGCTGTTGTAACAAAGTTTAAATTAGCGTCTAGACACGCATATAACTCGAGCGGACAGTGGAAAGTTGAATATGAACTTTGTTGAAGTTACAAAAATTAAAAACTTGTATATTTTAATCCGTTTAAGACGGTTATATTAAATATTCTCTTTCAAGATCAACGCTGCAGATGTTACTGGCATTTATCACAACCGAACACGCACCAGACATGAATGTATTAATATATCGCATAATTGTACTTTTTAATATAATAATTGTATTTTATATATTTTTCTCCAAAATAAATATTCTTCAGCAAATCAAACGTTGTTTTCGTCAGTATATTCCCTCTCGGTCGTGATGGAGGCCGAGGTCCGGTCAGACCGCCGAAGGGGTCGAGTCCGAGGTCGATTGTTTCGTATATTGACCTCGTCAGGAGTTTGATTGTTTGTTTGTTGTTTAACGCCACACTCATCAATATTCCAGCTATATGACGGCGGTCTGTAAATAGTCGAGCCTGGACCAGACAATCCAGTGATTGTCATCATTAGCATCGATCCACACATTTGGGATACGATGACATGCATCAACAAAGTCAGCTAGCCTGACCTCCCGATCCCGTATGTCGCCTCTTACAACAAGCATAGTCGCCTGTTACGGCAAGCATGGGTTGCTGAAGACCTATTCTACCCATGATCTTCACGGGTCTCATTTGGAGTAAGTATTCGTTTTGTTTTACCGAAATTCACATAAAGTTTTTGAACCCTTGAACCGTCCTGTTTCATTACAATAACATAGCTGCCAACCGTGCAATGATCATGTGACGAGACAATGTTCGAATGTCCGTGTCTGTCATGATTTTAGGGTCTACATTGCAATCCATTGTTTTGTCACAATGGTATGGATTAACAGATGGAATTGCAGATTCTTAACTGAGGTGATATAACATTAATTGAGATCCTACTGTAACAAATAGTTATGAATCTTCAATCGTTGAGTGAGTGAGTGAGTTGGGTTTAACGCCGTTTTTAACAGTATTCCAGTTATATCACGGTGTGTCAGCTGAATGTGGGAGGAAAGCCTGAAGTGATGCAGGCCTCAGACGTTTACCACTTCGGTGAAACCCACGAGCACGGGTATGGTGCTGACAAACCTAGAAACATAATCGGGCCGAACCGGGATTCAAACCTACAATCATAGGTTTCTGGCCTGCCCAAGGGATGCAACTCTGCACAGCGAACCGCAGCGCCTTAGACGACTGGGCTACTGTGCCCCCTAATCTTTTACGCCGCTTTTAGCAATATCCCAGCAATATCACGGCGGGGGATACCAGAAATGGGCTTCACACATTGTACCCATGTCGGGAATCGAACCCGGGTATTTGGCGTGACGAGCGAACGCTTCAACCTCTAGGCTACCCGACCGCCCCCATTGTTATCTGATAAAGACAATCCAAATCCTTAAATTCAGCTCAGTTGCGGGTGTAACCACCACGGGGTTCGATGGCCACGTCTATCCTGCTTCTCATGGAGTCGTTAGGGTAGGTAGCCCAGTGGTTAAAGCGTTCGCTCGTCACGCCGAAGGCACGGGTTCGATTTCCCACATGGGTACAATGTGTGAAGCCCATTTGTGGTGTCCCCGCAGTGATATTGCTGGAACATTGCTTAAAGCGGCGTAAAACCACACTCACTCGCTCGTTCGTTCTCATTCCAGTGCGTCTTTTGATACGGTGGCGAAGTAACTGCTGCACTCCTGGTGCAGTGCAGCTGCTGAAGCTGTCAGGTCTTGCACTCGTAGATCCACTGCCTGCAGCCGACGTCCAAGAATGTGCCAAACATGTTCCAATGGATTCAAACAGGACTAATGACGGGCCAAAGCAATGTGTATTTGTTTGTTGTTTAAAGCCGAACACAGTAATATTCCAACTATATAGACGACAGTCTGTAAATAATCGAGTCTGGACCAGACACTCCAGTGATTGATAAAATGAGCATGAACCACGCAACTGGGATACGATGCATCACCTGACCAACCGATCCCGTTAGTCGCCTCTTACGACAAACATAGTCACCTTTTACGGCAAGCATGGGTTGCTGAAGCCCAATTCTACCACGGTTCTTCACGGGAGCCCAAGGCAAAGTGTCGGAAGCATATGTACACAGAAATGCTGTCGTCCGGGGAAGAGGCGGCTACACCTACTCGGAATGTGATCGTCTTTATGAGATTCCAATGAGCGATCTTCGCCTATAATCCAGCCTCAATCCCCTTTAAATTTATCCCCCAACATTTCAGTTTTGAGCTGGATGAGAACACCGCGCGGAAAATGAGATACCCGAAGAGCCCATACAATCTTCTACAGTCTCCATCTCTGCGTTTTACGCATTACGGGATCAAACTGTTTTATTCTCAGGAAGCGAACCGTGTAACATAACAACCGGATGGGTTGCATCATGAACAAGTGATGGCAAATGTGGTTCTACCTCTGAAGTCGTGCTCTTGGGGGTTGGTGGGGCGTCATGTCAACACCCAACAGCTACTTGCTGGTCAGACGTAGGCAGCATGAAATTGTTATTACATTCCTCCTGCGCAGATCTACATATGTCATATCAATGATAGTCAATGGATAAGGAAACTTTATGAAATGTCATACTTTTTAATAAATATAGACACTAAAAATAATAATATTATTGGGACATATTCAAACACACACACGCACACATTTTCACCTCTTTTTGCGCAAAAAGTACGTACGATATTTCTATCTATCAAGTCTTCTTGTTAACTGTTTGAATGACATTTTTAAAAATTGGCAAGCAACAGTAAAGGTAAGATATTTTAGGGGTGACATGTAGGTGAAACTTCCCGCCCCATAAACGTGAGAAAAAAGGACCAAGAGCATCTACCACCAAATCTGATCGAAAATTAGCTCAGACCATATCATCAACTGCCATAATCATAATATCATGTGGGACAGTGTACACATGCTATCAAACAATCTCCAGGACCTCACCAAATGAAAAAGAACAGAATCAGTTCAAATCCGCCGATACAAGCTACCAATTAACTGAGATCAAGGATACCATCCCATCTGCCTACAATGTATTGATAATACAATGGAAGACTCCAGGTATCATTTCTAATTATTCCTGTCAGCACTGTATATTTGAATGTTGTAAACTACAGCTGACTTTTTTCTGTTGTTACTATAACAATCAACCATATCCTTTGTTGTTGTTTATCCCTTTCATGAATATCCTCATGTTATTTTTGTTAATCCTGATCAGATGTACATAGGTCTGTACTATGCTGTCTTACCTCACACTTGCTTGACATCTGTATAAGAGTCGATACGGAAACGTCGCATCATAATACAATAAAGAGGTGGTCATCCATAAAATACCTTTACTTTTCTTGTTATGCGGAGCACGGATTTCGCTAATCGGAGTTTCGGTTCCTGGTCATGCAAGGATCCGCTGATGTTTGATTGGAACTTCTCCTATTATGATTGGCTTGTTAGCACCTGATTCTGGGTTTCTCACAGAGTGGTACGCATGTTTCACTTCCGGCTTCCCCCCGTGAAGATCCGTGTTAGAATTGGCCTTCAGCAAACCCATGCTTGTCTACCCCGTGAAGATACGGGTTGGAATTGGCCTTCAGCAACCCATGCTTGTCGTTTCCCCATGAAGACCGGGGTTAGAGTAGGCCTTCAGCAACCCATGCTTGTCGCCCCGCATGAAGATTCGGGTTAGAATTGGCCTACAGCAGCCTATGCTTGTCTACCCCCGTGAACACCCTTGTAAGAATATGCCTTCAGCAACCCATGCTTGTCGTCTCGCATGAAGACCCGGGTTAGAGTTGGCCTTCAGCAACCCATGCTTGTCTACCCCCGTGAAGACCCGGGTTAGAATATGCCTTCAGCAACCCATGCTTATCTACCCCAGTGAAGATCTGGGTTAGAATATGCCTTCAGCAACCCATGCTTATCTACCCCAGTGAAGATCTGGGTTAGAATTTGCCTTCATCAACCCATGCTTATCAACCCCCGTGAACGTCTGGGTTAGAATTGGCCTTCAGCAACCGATGCTTGTCGCCTTCCAATGAAGATCTGGGTAGAATTGGCCTTCAGCAAACCATGCTTGTCGTTTCCCCATGGAGACCCGGGTTAGAATTGACCTTCAGCAACCCATGCTTGTCTACCCCGTGAAGACCCGGGTTAGAACTAGCCTTCTCCAACCCACTCTTGTCTCCTCCCATGAGGACCCGGGCTAGAAGTGGCCTTTAGCAACCCATGCGTGTCTACCCCTGTGAAGATCCGGGTTAGAATTGGCCTTCAGCAACCCATGCTTGTCTACCCCCCATGACGATCCGGGTTAGAATTGGCCTTCGGCAACCCATGCTTGTCTACCCCTCATGAAGATTCGGGTTAGAATTGGCCTTCAGCAACCAACGCCTGTCTATCCCCGTGAAGACCCGGGTTAGAATTGGCCTTCAGCAACCCATGCTTATCTACCCCGTGAACGTCTGGGTTAGAATTGGCCTTCAGCAACCGATGCTTGTCGCCTTCCAATGAAGACCTGGGTAGAATTGGCCTTCAGCAATCCATGCTTGTCTCACCCGTGAAGATCTGGGTTAGAATTGGCCTTCAGCAACCCATGCTTGTCGCCTCCCGTGAAGATCTGAGTAGAAATGGCCTCAAGCAATCCATGCTATTCGTTTCCCTCGAAGATCTGGGTTAGAATTGGCCTTCAGCAAACCATGCTTGTCTACATCCGTGAAGCCCCGGTTAAGACATGGCCTTCAGCAACACATGCGTGTCTACCCCAGTGAAGATTTGGGTTAGAATTAGCCTTCAGCAATCCATGCTTGTCGCCTCCCGTGAAGATCTGAGTAGAATTGGCCTTCAGCAAACCATGCTTGTCTACATCCGTGAAGACCCGGGTTAGACGTGGCCTGCAGCAACCCATGCTTATCTACCCCCGTGAAGATCTGGGTTAGAATTGGCCTTCAGCAACCCATGCTTGTCGCCTCCTGTGAAGATCTGAGTAGAATTGGCCTTCAGCAATCCATGCTTCTCGTTTCCCTAGAAGACCCGGGTTAGACGTGGCCTTCAGCAACCCATGCTTGTCTACATCCGTGAAGCCCCGGGTTAGACATGGCCTTCAGCAACCCATACGTGGTGACCAAGTGGATCAGATGATCAGGTCCGTTCATATTTTTTTCACAGCAATTTAATATTTACGCCAAATTGTAATCTGCTTCGGTGGATAATCTAGACTGGTTATTCTCTTGCTTGGACAATGGATATTTTCT